CACATCGATATCTCGGTCGTATCTCAAAATGAAAAAAGAATGTTTCATGGAAATTATCGCCCTTTGGACGAAGTGGCACGGGAAGGCCAGGTACCAGCTCTGTCACCCCTCGAAGAATCTCCCACAACTGCAATCGTCAGTACTTCAGAGTCCGAGATTGAATCCGGTGACGATATAAGTCGCCAAAGTCAAACAGATGACATGTCAACAACGCCGACGCAACGAAGCACACTTTCTAGGAGGCCGACAGAGGTCCAAGGACCGCCGAGGACCAAGGGCAAGGTCGTTCTCGAGCCTTACAAACATCAAGTAGGAGGGCATTCGACGATATTTCGCTTTTCTCGTCGAGCCGTCTGCAAACAGCTGAATAATCGCGAGAATGAGTTTTACGAACGGATTGAGCAACGGCATCCGGACATGCTCAAATTCCTTCCCAGGTATGTCTACTTATCCTAGCCGACTTTACCCCTTCTCGGTCACGAAGGCTGGAGAGAGACGGGATTGCTGACGTGAATAGATACATTGGCGTACTGAATGTGACATTCTCAAAGATTCCGAAGCAGGTGCAGAACTCTGACGCTAGACCCGACGAGGATACGAGGACTCGGAACCCTGGTCAAGACGAAGACCACCCTAGGGAAATTGAGAACACATCCGACGTCGGCTCGAGGCCAATGATTTCGTCTGGAGACCAACCACGAATCGTCAGCCACTCGATGCAGCAAATCGGTAGCATCCCGGAGGTCATTCTAGAACAGAACAAGCACATCATCCCCTCTAACTACTTTGCTTTGCCAGAGCGGCCTAAAAGTGCCGACCCCAATCACGGGCGGCGGCAAAGCAAGGATTTCGACCTTCCCGGTGCCCTGGCGCAGGACTTCCCAGAAACAGAGAAGTCCCCGAACAGACCATCCATGCTCGAACATTCCAACAGTTGGGGCCATACTACTGTCAACGAGGGCTTGAAGGACAAAATCCTACGCGAAGTATTTGGCCCTCCTCCCGTCCAATATTTCCGTCGTCATATACCCTCGCACAGTACTATTCCGCGACTCAGGGCCCGCCACCCTCCGCGCCGGAGGAGCAACCTCTCCACAAATTCGTTCCCCCACACTGATGCTAAGGATTCGGCCCAGTCGAAAGACTACCTCGAAGCACCCACAATGCACAAAGAGACTTCTTACATGTCTCCACCCAATGAGGTGGCATCGCAGAATGGCGACAGTGCCGGCATGTATTCTTCATCGGCCTCGGCTTTTGATGACCTCAAGTACAATCTCGAACATGTCAAGACAGCCGGAAGTGAGGTGTCCACCTCCTCTGGTCCAGACAACAGACAACATGTGAAAAGGCGTCATTCTGGGATGGGCCTACGGCGTCGGCGCCAATCAGTAAATGAGATGCAGACTCCTGGGTTGGAGTATTTTGAAGACGAAGCCTACACAACGGATTTTGGACCTGACACTGGGGGCCATGTCTTTTCCATGGACCAAGAGAAGAAACGAGATGTTGCCAAGTCCCGCCTCAGTAATTCGACAACCAACGGCTCGATCAAGTCTCGAGCAGAAGAGGCCAAAATTTCTAATGCTCACCTAAACAATGCAGGCAAATCCAGAGAGACAGCTTCGACAAGCTTGATACCCTCCAACCCAAAAGAGGCTCAAAAGACTTACAATGCCTCTGGCGACCGAGTAGTATACTTCATCTTGTTGGAGGATCTCACCAGTGGCATGGGACGACCGTGTGTACTTGATCTCAAAATGGGAACAAGGCAGTTTGGTGTCGAAGCTACTAAAAAGAAAATGGAATCTCAGCGCCGCAAATGCAAATCGACAACCTCGCAACAACTAGGTGTCAGAATATGTGGCATGCAGACTTTCAATGCAAAAACCCAAAAGGTATCATACGAAGATAAATATTATGGTCGTGATCTTAAAGCCGGGCGAGAGTTTAGGGACGCGCTCACTAGGTTTCTCCACGATGGTGTCAGCTATCACAGCGTTGCACGGCACATCCCCACCATCTTGCACAAACTTTCCAAGCTTGAGAGCATGGTGCGAAGATTGCCTGGTTATCGATTCTACGCGAGCTCCCTTCTCATGCTATACGATGCCGAGCCCTACAAGTCTCGGGAAGCGGAAGAGGCAACAAGGAACGGTATAGACATCGCCGAACAAAGGAAAAAGGAGGGCAAAAAGTGGCCGCCACCTATTGATATCAAGATTGTGGATTTTGCCAACTGCATCACGGGCGAGGATGAACTCCCTACCAACGCCCAAGCGCCGCCTGCCCATCCAAAAGATATTGATCGAGGTTATTTGCGCGGGTTAAGAACTTTGAAAGCCTACTTCGAACGCATCCTAGCCGACATCAAAAACAACGAAAAGAAGGAGATAAGCGGTAGGGAGGAATTAACCACCGATGATGAGGGTGCCAGCCATGTTTCCAACGGCGGAAACGATACTCCGGAGGATGAAAGTGAAGTCAGCCTATAACGGCAAGCTGGCATGCACTAGGGCTAGATTTAATACGGGGCGATCCCGAACTTGTCAAAAACCATCAGCTTTTAGCGAGGAGTGCGGAGTTTTGAGTCCTTGTACTCAGGACCAAAGTCATTGTTTACATATCTAGGACGGTCGGTTTTGATCACAGTCAAGTCCTTGTCGTCGCCCAAGCCGAAGAGAAACCGCAAGCTTGGAACTATCTTGGAATGTCCTTTTGGACCTGTACAAGGTGGGCTGGCCGGAGTTGGGCGGGAACCGTGGAACTTCTCATACCATGTTGCGAATAATGCAGTGCACCGGTCACGCCAGGGTATAGAGGTGTACGAAGATTAGCATGAATGCATGAATGTCTGAACATGGTACATATCTCGAAACCCTCTACCGCCAGAGGCCGACTCCGGCCTGCGCAGCCCAAGAACCACCTTGTCCACTTGTTCGGTGCGTTGCCTAACCACAGCTCGCAGCCTTGACTCTTTGCTTCCCTGCGTGGAGCTCCTATCTTCTCCGATTTTCCTCGAGCACAGTTTGCGCTCTATGGGTTATGGTATGTCCTGGCTGAGGACCTTGCTAAGATGCGTTTGTGAAGGTCACTTCGGGCGGCGTTGATTGGTTCGACCAATCACATTGCCGGTCCAGCCAGCCTTGCCCCTTACCGGCGATAATGTCTCTGGCCTCGTTTGCGAACCCAGTCGGAGAGTCGAGGACCTCTCGCAGCCAGCCGGGGGGATAATGCATATAACACAGGAGCGCACGGTGCCCATTCACTATTTGTGTCTCGTCCATGATTCGAATACACACTCTGCTCGACAAGCACTCCGGATCTTTCTTCTCCTATACTCGACAGCCTAGTCAAGCACAATACAACATCACACAACCTAGCTCGACGTCGCCCAAGCATTTCACAGACATTTCCTCGCCAGGAAAACAACAACCGAAATATCCGATACCTCGGCACCCACAGACCCATAACAATATATAATATGCCTCCCAAGTCAACCACTGCCAAATTACTTATGATTCTCGACAAGGTGGGCGGCTCGCTCCGCAGATCGCCCAAGCGGCTCTCCGACCGCTTCCGGGAGCGGTATACGCTCGAGCTAGAGAGCCCGAAAGCGGATGTGTGGCGAGGGACGTCGTACCTGCCGTACGGAATGGAGACCCCGACCGAGGCGGCGGAAACATTCGAGAACTCTATAGGCGCTAGTCCCAATTGCAGGACGGAGAGGTAGCTGGTGCCCCCAGTCAGGGAGGACAACCGTGGCGCCTCGACCTAGGAAGGCAAAAGGACGTCCGTGGCAGTCGGGCAGGCGAAGCCCTCTGGACGGGTGGGTGAGAGGGTGGCCAGACCGCTGGCGCGGTTCCAAACAACTCGGACAACAATTGCGCAAAGCCTTGCCGACGTAGCGGGGAAGGAGAGAGACGAGGGCAGGGTGAATAAACCACAACCACGACAGGGAGGGAGGGAATGGGTCAAAGCAATGAACACTCTATCCTAACTAGGCATAGACGGCGTTTTATGCACTAACCATAAGCGAGCGTCGCGAGGCACTCGAGGGAAAAAAGAGAGAGAGAGAGTGTGTGTGTGTGTGTTCTCTAGAGCAAGGCTCGTGGCGAGGAGGAGGACGTTTCCCAGCCTTGGGGCTGCTTTCATTTACAAGCCAGTACATTGGCGCATCTCCCCTGTATCTTTTGTAGGCCATGACAATCATCGAACAATTTGAGTTGCCGCTCGTGAGGTCGGAATTTGTCTGCGAATTCCCGAATTCCTCAAAAGGGCAGTGCGGTGCACTGCACTGGATCATATTCCTGTGACCAACCAGCCAGCCTCGCCACCGACAGTCTCGACTCTCAGGCCATGCATGCGGGTGCGAAAAGAGATAGCCTAAAAATGCCACCGAGAAGGGCCAAGGCCGAAGACATAATGCGCTGTTCTCCCCAAGATCGGAGTCCGTGCTGCTGATTACGGACGATGAGATGGTGGGCGGATGGGTGGGTGGATGGGCGAAAGCCTCGGTTGGGACCAGATGATGGAGATGAAGGTGAAGATGAAGGAGAAGGAGAAGGAGAAGGACGAAGGCACTTCAAAGCGCCAGGGTCATTCATCGTGTGTGTCTCTGGGGAGTGGCCCATCACTTATACTGCCTAGGTATCGGTGCGGAGGACGTGATGAGTACGGGAGTCTGTTTCCACAGGGATCGGCGTCGTCCCTGGGGTCAACGGACATGGAAATATGCTGCGTACGGTAGACTACATAATGGTGCTTACTATTTCCTTGTTCAAGTAATATTAATCGATTCATCACGAGGCGGGACTTCATGTGCTGCTTTCTGGACTCTTGATGCCATTTCGTCTTTCCTCTTTCTTCCAGAAATTATACTTCGACCATATGCTAGGGCAATTCCACATCACGCCAGAACAGATCGACAACTATTGGTGGTGCTGTTGGTCCCCCTGTAGGATCTGCGTTCCAGGATAATTCTAGACGGGCTAAGTGAGCTAGATTCCCGAGTCCGTCTGCAGGGGCTCTTCGCCGGGGTCAATGAGATATCCGCACGGGTCAGACGGGTCGTGGATCTTGGGACTCCAATCGTCCCAGCCCTTGCACATGTCTTTGAACCGCTCCCCCCAGAAGGGCGGGATGCTGATCCTCCCGCGATTCTCGACGATCTGCACGGCCAGGCCTGAGGACGCGTGGAACGCGATGTGGCAGTGCATGATCCAGACGCCCGGGTTGTCCGCCCTGAACGCAACGATCAAATAACCGCCGTTCGGGAGGAAGGCGACATCGCGCCGCGGAGGGTTGTTGAGTGTGAGAGAAGCCTTGGACACGTCGCATTCTGTCGAGGAGTCTGGGACGCATTGGTCCAGCACCGCGAAGTCGTGCCCGTGCAGGTGGATCGGATGTTGGCCGGGAACAAAAATGCCAGGAACCTTAGGCACCGGATGCGGTAGGAGCGGTGCTTTTGACTTCTTGGGTCCGGATATGATGGTGAGTTGGATCCATTCTTCCTTGCTGGTGTCATTCGTGTCGACCACGGCCAGCCAGCCCTTGTCCGTGAAATTTTGGTTGAGGTTCCAGAGCGTCGGGCCGCTGAAGTTGAGCCACATGGGGTTATTTGGCACGAGCTCGAATCTGCCCACTGTCTTGTCGCACGGCCAGTATGGGTAGCCCTTCATCTGCTGGAAGGTGAGATAGAGAGGATCCATTTCTGCTCAAGAATGTTAGCGGCGCTTTACAAGATGGCCCACTTTGTCTGGCTTTCATAGAGTTTGTTTCATCTTACCTTGTCTGCGGCGCCCGACACTCCAATGGACTATTGGAGTAATGTTCCTATAATACGTCTCGTCCGCACAGGTAGCTTCGAAAGGATGTCTCGAAGTACTCGGCAACGCTTTGTTGAAGGTATACCGAACGATGCCAGTGCGTTCATCAGGAATCGGAGCGGAGGTGTTGAAAGAACTGCAGTTCGTAGCAGGAGTCGTACGGATCCAGTAACTCTGATCATAGGTGAATTTCTCTGGGTTTGCGTCGACGATGATATTATATCGTTGCCCTGGAGCCAAGAACATCGTGTCAGAAATCGAAAATAGCCAAGATGCAATTCTTTCTTCCGACGCTCACCTATCCCCACCACTACGTGATCGGTATAGTATGGCTCAATCGCCACAAAGTCCGTGGAAATAACCCAGAACTTGTGGTCGTCGATTGAGAATACAAATGTCGTGTCGGCGGCGCCGTTGATGAGTCTCACAAGGTATTTCACTCCCTGCCTTCTGATCAGACAAACTTGAACGAAGAGCGCATATGGGAGCTTGTACCTTCTGGAAGAATAGCTCGTTGAACTTGGGCTTGACCGCAAGCTCGACGGGAGGCGGCCAATGACCTGAGAGGTCGCTCTGAGCCCGGTGACCCCGTCCAAGGCTGTATTATGCACTTACCAATGCCATTTTGCAGAATGTTGTCCACGAATATCGGTTTCCCGCTTTTTTGGATCGATGCATCCCACTTCTGATATACACTGAGGAGCCACCGACATTAGAGGCAGTGACGTGGAAGTTCGGAGACATCTATTACATACCTCTGGTGGAGCCAGTCCGTCATAATAATGGGATATAACTGATGATCATAATTCTTTGACGTCGGGCCATAGACAGTCAACGGGCCCAGTGCACCTGCAGCGTACTAACAAAAAATAGTTCAGTCCCCGACCTAGAGCATCAGGTGGCTAAACGCAACAAACCTGTAAGGAATAGTGACTGTGATACCACGACGTCCCGTATTGGGTGATGTTGAAAATGTATGTGAAGCTGGAATTTGGCGCAATTGGACACTGCGTGACGGCATTGACACCGTCCATATAGCCGGTATGCCACTGTCTGAAGCCGTGCCAGTGGATTGCGGTGCCGTTTCCAGGGTCGTCGGCTGTCTGACTGCCTGTCAACTTGTTTTTGATTGTGATGTGTACCTGATCACCCCAACAAGCTTGGATTCGGGGGCCAGGGAGGCTCTTGTTGAACAGTTGCACTGACAGATTTGCAAATCCGTCGGGATTGAGAGTCGATTCTTCTAACTCGAGGTAGTAATGTCTCACGATACCTTTTGGTCCCTTGTTCTCGTAGTCGGTAGCGATATCAAAGCGTTCGCCAGTCTTGGTATTTTTAAGCCAACACTGTCTGTCTGCCTTGGTGTTGCACGACACCCAGCCGTCTTTTTCCGGGTAGTCGGGGTATTCACATCGAAAAGGAACATCTTCAAGGTCATCTGGTGGATTGAAAATCGGGTATCTTGTTGCCTGCGGCTGAATTGGCTGGACTGGAACCTGCAGATTTGGAGTAGTCTCTGAAGAATAAAGCTGGCTTGGAGAATTTGTCAGAAAATCGAAGAAATAAACGATGCCAGTCCACAGTGCTCGTATTGGAGCCATGCCGACGACGGGATCTGGTGATGCTGGTACTGTCAAGCTCGATGGATGATAAGGCCCACCTGCAAACGGGTGGAAGGGATATATAAAAGAGCTTCCATGCGAGCAAGAGTAGAACCCCGCTCATGGCTTGACGATGCGGATGCTCGTCTAAACATTCCCGTCTCACTCCTGATGGCTTTTGCTTCCTCTACCAGCCTGACCATCCATGCGTCTGGCCCCAATGGGCTGGATGGTCCTGACTCTGTCATTGAGTAGCCAGTCATGATGCATGACAATACCTCACTTGATCGAGGGGGTGTCGTCATGTCACACAGGAGAACGCCAAACATCCAACCAACGCGTCCAGATCGAGACAGATGTATTTTCAGCTCAGTCTTAGGATGGCTTGCACGAAAGCAGTTCCAAACAGGGTGGCTCGGGGGCTGAAAATGTGCGTAGCCCAGCCCAATTCGAAAGAGACGGGAAAGTCGTTGGAAGCCTGATTGCGAGGACTTTGGTAGAACTCAGAGCCATGGCCTCGAAACGAATCTGCAGACCTAAGCGAGCTGAGAAGCTCTCGCATCAAGGGGATTCGTCGTCACCCCTGGCTTCCCAGGTTGGCAAGCAGTTGACCTCCACTCACCTTGGCTTCGAGAGGGGAACTTGAAGAGAGCGAGACGGTGGCTGGCTGAGCCTGGAGCTCTGATCAAGCGAGTCGGTCAGTCTCTGAAGTTACCGCTCACCTCCATTCAACCGCTGTGCGGGGCTTCTTGCAAGTCAATTCTGTGAGATCGGCTGATATCGACGCAGAAATGTCGAAAGCAGGCGAGTTTCGAAGCATGGTAAATATGTATGGGGGAAGTTGGCCAGGATCAACCCAGGATTGAGTGATTCAGCTTCAGCTTGAAGTTGTCAGTAACTCGACGGCTACACCCGCATACTATGCCTGATCCAGCATCATCACACGAGTAAGACTCTGCTCTACCACGAATGCGTAGGACAAACCCCTCCGGTCGTTTACGATGACAGCGAGTAACTACGCACCTACTTCGTGGATGCCGCTGCTCCTTGCCTAGTTCTAACAAACCCCTCCTTGAATGTCACACTATTCTGCCGGACATTCCTCTCCTAGGACTCTGGATCGAAGCAGAATTCCCCTCTTGTAAGGGATTCTCCAGGAATGGCACCGCACACTGGACCCTTGCCGACGCACTACTCGTTCGGGAGGGGGTCATGGAGCATGTAGTGAACAGGATACAATAAGTCCAAAGAGGAGCGTGAGCAGCAAAGCTAACATCGTCCTCGCGATTCTGTTCGAGAGAAGCACGTCGGCAGAGTATGACGGAAAGATCGACCCCACATTCGACCACCGTCAGTTTGGAAGACAGGATCAGGTTCAAATGAGCGAGCCGTACAACATTAGTTCATTAAATTCCCTACCGTGCAAGGACCCCGTTCCCATTGTAGAGATTCCCCAGACTCCACCTTCAGAACTAGTCATCAACCACTTTATTCACATGCGCCTTCTTCCACAGAAGTACGACACGGACTTCGGACTCCATAAGACAATAGTACAACAGCCTCCCGCATGCAGATTGTATAGATGCTTCTTCTAATCTTGGGTCTGGATCTTGTGATCGCCCTTCACGACTTCCGAGTAACTGGGCGGCGCACCAGGCTCGTTGCTTCCTGCGCCTACACTTGGTCCAGCAGGCTCCTCTGCTTGGGATGTGGGATTAGAAGGCGGCGGTGGAGCCGGTCTGTTGTTGCCCTGACCCGTAGGCGGAGCAGGGGCAGGTCGATTGTGTGCTTGAGCCTGAGTACCATAATCTCGCCGCGGCACGGTTTCATGGCGGATGTAATAGTATGTGACTCGCCCGCCTTGACCTCGCTCGGAATCGGGAATGACTTCGTAATCATAGTCGTGCTCGGGGTTGCGGGCGATGATGTACCATGCGTGCAGAAGACCAGGGACGTAGCCGAGCATGCAGAGGAGGATGTTGATCAGAGAGTCACAAGAGCAGATGCCGGACTTGATCCAGACTATGAGGATTGAGAACGTTAGCGAAAAAGACCTCACAATTGCAAGCACGCGGATGCGACAAACCTGCGATTGGGGGGAAGAGAATGGCTATCAGAGCCAGGAAGATATCACCACATGTCATGGTGATGGTTGTTTGATTCTCAGAGATGGTGATTGGCATCGAACGAAGAAGTAGAGAGAAGGAGACGGGTGCAGAATTAATACTGCGCAGATCTTGAAGAGAAGTTTTCCTTCTGCAGAAGAAATGAAGATGCCTGGCGGTGGTACGAGATGAAGGTTAAAGGGCGCAGGCAGAGGGTTCGACTTAGGCTGTATTGGCGAGGCTGTGAGAGGCTGAGCAATGACGCCTTCACGGACTCCAGCGACTGTACCGGATAGCGGAGGCGGCCGGATTCCACGTGACCAATGCCCGAGGCTGCAGGTACAGTGACTGCCAAGATGCCAAGTCCCAATGTTAAGTCTGGCCGGAAGCGAGGAAGTTCACAAGCCTCGGTTCAACGGACCAGGGAGCCATTGCCGACTCGAGGAGGAGAAACTGGGACTTGATTACTTTTACAAGCTCCCCATCTCCTCCACAACCCTTGGTTTGCTGCTGTTTGTGGTCTGTGGGATCCGTCTGACGGACGCTTTCGTTCACTTATCCATTCGTAGCAGCTGCTGAAAAAGGGTCACGAATCCGGCCGTAAGATCGCGGGTCTCTCTTGATTACTTTTGGTCGCGCAGGCACCTTGTTTTATATCGACGACGACTCCTTTCCCCTCTCCTCAAATTTCTTCCAAGCAGATTGCAAGCATGTCTAGTAGCGACGCGGCCAATCCAGACCCCAGTGTCGTCCCGCAGGACCCTGCCGAGGTCAGGGGCGAAGTTGAACCCGTCAAGCCTTCGCAGAACCCGGCATTGAGCAAGGTGCCCAATGAGGTCAAAACCACCATCTCCAAGGCCGACGAGATCATTCTGCGCATCAGCAAGTATGTGGTTTACGGGAGCAAGAGAGCCAAGGGCACTCCCACTGACGTGCCGGATGCAGGTTGATCAAGACTACCGCAGGCCTCGGCGCAGCTCTGTCGACACTCAACTATGCCATCTACCTCGCTGCGTACCTCCATTCCAAAGCTCCTTCCCGTGCTGCCACAATTGCATATATCTCGCGCCTCATAGGTCGCACACCTTCGAAGCTCCCTGCTGGCGCTCTTGCGCCGCCCGCTACTACCTCGTTCCTCACTCCGCTGGGAGCTCTTGTGTCTGATACACGTACCTCACTGCGCCTGACGGGACTTCTCCCGTTGTACATCTGGATGAAGACGCTCTTGTCCAAGAAGGCCTCGGCAGACATGGACCCAGCCCTCCATCGGGTTGCGCTCTTACAATGTGCCGGCTATATTGGCTTTCAAGCCCTGGAAAACGTTTACCACTTGGCTGGTAAGGGCGTTGTGCCCCTGTCGTTCATCGAAAATCGAGGAGGAGTTGCCAAGTGGGTTGCATGGAGCTGTCGTGCGTGGTGCGTTGGAGTGGCCAGCGACTTCCTCCGCCTGTGGCGCGAGGCTGAGATTGAAAAGGAAAAGCGGGGCAGCAAGTCGACCAAGGAGAAGGAAGACTTTGATCGCAAGTGGTGGAATGAGTTCATGGTCGCGGCCTATTGGATGCCCGTCGCCATCCACTATAGTTTCTATCCGGAGGGCATTCCAGGCATGAACACTGGTCTGGTCGGCTTCTTTGGCTTGATGGCTGGTCTCAACAACTTCAGGAATCAATGGGCTGCCACTGCTTGAAGGCCAAGAGTCGAGGACAGGCTGTAGGGGAAGTTCGTTGGATGAGTCCACGGATTATCTTTGCGGAGATGTAATATTGCACATGCCGTGTACACGGCTTATTCTTTGTCTCCTATTATAGTTGTCGGAGTTGGCAGAGGCCAAAATGCGTATTTTTTTCCAAGCACGGTTCTTTTGGCAACGATCATGCCGTTCTTCCCCCCATCTCCAGCTTACGGGATTGCGCAGGGATCCCATATGCTGCTGTTCCCGCCAAGGCTGATTCCGCCCCTCGCTGCATCTTCGGGGTATTTCCCGATTTGGACGCTCATGGACCCTGCAATTCTCTCCATGTCTTGCATCTGCCGCATCTTCATGCTGCGAGATTATCCTCCATATCACAAGGTATCCGTCGGCCATGGGAACGCTGTGTATGAATCCCCATCACGCACCTTTTCTGCCTGCTTCCCTGTGTGGATGTTTCGACTGCGATATGTCGGACCAACAAGATCCGGCTGAGTTTCAGTCGACCAGTCATACATCGTCTCGTCCAAAGGGATCGATGTCGACGAAAGGTACCAGAATGACTGCGGACAATCAGTCAACATTGGCGTGTTATCCATGCAGAAGGTCGAGTGCCCATTGATCCTGCATATCCAAAAACGAATGCCATCCCGCTGGTTGATGCTAACATTGAGGTAGGCGTAAGGTCAAGTGGTCCGTCTTACCTGTACTCGTCGCCGTCCTTCTCCCGTCGATTTCTGTGGCGCCGCTTGCGTTTTAACATTGACGGCTCCGCGCAGTGACAAAATTCTCCCTGCTTGTCGGGTCTGCACAAGGTATGCCATGTCGTGTTGCTACCCAGAGGTTCAACACAAGCCAGGCCCAAAACTAGGTAAGAATTTTCACCCCGCCAGAACGCCGAAATGACCCTGGCCTCACCTATTTTGCTTGTCATTGGTAGGGTCGCACTCCTCTAAGCACCGGAAGCGCATATGCTGGCGCCTCGGAGATCGTTCGCCCGACGGTCAAGGGGACACGGCAGAGGCGAACGTTGGCGACAAAATCAGGAGAAGCAAAGGACAACACAAACCAAACTTAGCGTTGTGTCGAGATAGTAACAGTACGGCCGCTGATGCCTCCAGCCCAGAGTCGACAACGGCACATTCTTGGGTATTCCATCACTTCCACGAGGATCAATCGTACAGCATTTCGCCTCTCACCGCATGTGGTAATGCCATACCGAACGAGACTCTGACGACGTATGCGCTCCCCCCACAAGATAATACCAACTACATTTGCAGAAACCTCGGGATTTCCAAGGAAAGGCTATTCACATTGTAAGATTGATCATGTTCCGACTGATGGGACGCCTGACTAATGTCATCTGCAGAACAACGACTTACTTTGAAAAGGCGACCTTTTTATCTCTATTTCACAGACCAACCTTCAACATGATGGTCTACAGTAAGATACAGCCGGGCCCGTCGTCGGCTCTCCTTGCTGCGGTGTGTGCCATTGCTGCGCATTATGTGGAAGATCAGCCAGGGCTACGTCTCTCACTCGACTCGCGATGTCCTAACATCCGGTATGCTCCTGAACATTTCTACAGGCTGGCTCGTGCAATCACTCAGGAGCAGCTGGATCGATGTGATGACGGCAAGCCTCCACTCACACTCCTTCAAGCACTCATTCTTATCACATTCTACGAGATGATCATCAGTGCCAGAGGAAGGGCGTGGAGGTCTCTCGGTGCCTGCGTCCGCATTGCGCATGAGATAGAGCTCCACCTGACAGACTCATCACTGCAAGGCAAGTCACTACTTGAGCAAAAAGCTTTGGCGGAGTCTTGGTCTCGCAAAGAGGAACAACGAAGAGCTTGGTGGCTACTATGGGAGCTCGATGTCTTCGCCTCAACCGTCCGTAGACGTCCAGCGTCCATACACGATGGGGAACATGCCGTTCTCCTCCCTGTGAGCGAAAAATCCTGGTTTGAAGATCGCTATCAAGCAAGCTGCTTCTTGGATCCGGATCCTCTTCATCGAACCCGAAAGCTTCTCGAATGTGGGAACTCCAATGGTAAAGCTTGGTATATTGTCGTCAGCTCACTGGTCCGCGATGCGCACACAACCGCTAATCCGACCTCCCATTGCGATCACACGATGCCGAGACCGGATGTTTCTCCATTAATGGACACGGGGTTTGACAATCCCGTAGACGAGCGGAGGCTCGCGGTCCTGGACGATTTTATCTTGTACTTCAAAACCATGCTCCCGAAGAATCGGGCATATCAAGGCGACTACTTATCTTTCGCCATCTCTGGCGATTCATACAGCGGACCCACAGCAATTGAAGACTGTGACACACAACTGATTCACGCTATGACTCATCTTGGGAGGCTGATGATCTTGCACCACTTCTGCTTCCGGAGCAGTGGTTCCTTTCTCCTAAAAGGTAACAGGCTTATGGAGTATCTGTCCTTCAGTAGGCCTTCGATAACCCAGAAACTTCGAGCAATCCTGGGCTTCGCAGATGACCAAGCTGCCTGGGAAAAATATCTTGAAGCGGCAGAGGAGATTATGCGCGTCATCCGTAACGCTTCCCCGAACCATATCAGATACGGCCATCCACTACTCGCGTGCACTTTTTGGATTGTTGCGGCTACTCAATTATTCAAAAAGGCGTTCGCCAAAGACGAGACCGAACGAGAGCTGGCTCAATCGAATTTTGACCTTCTAAGGCTCACTCTTGATCACAGCCACAAATTTTGGAAGACGTCTGAGTTGATGATCAAAAACATAGACACACTGGCCTTACGACTTACTGAGCTCAATGCGAGGCTGGCTGATTCGCAGGCCGGTGGCCATGACGCTCTTGAATGCCTCAACGAGACTGATCTTTCTGGCTTCAACGCAAGTTCGTTCGAGGATCAGAACGGTATTGTACAAGAGGGGTCTGAACAAGATAACAGCAACACTACCGCGATCAAGAACAGTCTCGGGCACATTCCTCTACCAACCGATACTGACTATTCCCAAACGTGCGCAAGCCAAATGCCGCTGGACAATACCCTTTTGGCCGACAAACCCACTGAGAGTGAACTCCAAGCCTTTATGTATGATTTCTGCGGGGATAACTGGGACTTTTGGGGCCAAGATCTCGCCGACTTATTTCCTTCCGATTGCCCTCGGACATCATAGGTTTTCTCAGTAACCAGAAAGGAGCCCTCCAGAAAAGCTCATTGTAGAGTCCATCAGATGTTGAGAGGTTTTGCTGTTCGATCTTTGAGTTGGATGCTTCCACCTTTTGAATCGATAACCTACACTAATGCAACACCAATCAATTGCTCATGTTATATCTCTGGATGCTGTTTCAAAAAATCCCCCAGTTCGGCTCGTTTGAGATCTGGATACAGCTTGTCATCCAACACCTGCATCATGGTCTTGCCGCCAAGTTGATGTATCTGGTAGGTATATCCCATCCACTCCCAAAATCTCGATAAACCCAGCTCTTGCTGACAAAAGTCAGCAACCACCCTCAGATCTTCTAGCGATCCAAGGCGCTTCATTTCAACAGGAATCCCCTTCTCCAGTTCATAAATTGCTGCGATCTCCTTGATACTGTATTCCCAACTACAATATCTGTACATCCCATCTGTCCGTGATTGGTCACAAATCAACGCCGCAGTGAAGTCGGCGGTGTCTTGTTCAGTTGTGATCTGCCATTTTTCATCGCCCGTGCCCCAGAACTCTGCACGAGGACTCCCAGATGCCGAGTCCCAAACTCCATGTGTGCTTGGGTTGAATACTCCATGGCCGGGCAAGGAGAAGAATGTCTCGGCGAAAATTCCGATGAATATGTAGAATGGCTTGATCCGGGAAGACATGGCGAGCTGACGCTGGAACGCTAGGAAGAGGTCGTAATACACAATGGCACCGAACGAAAGGGCTGACCAGTCCAGGTTCCATGCGGATGGCACGAATCGCTGCCCACGAAGCATGGAGTCAGCATATTATTTTGGAGCCAAAACAACATGGGTGTTGGAGCTCAACGTTATGCCTTGCTCCTCCATCAACCTCACGAGGAGCAGCTGAGCATCCAACACGAGCTCCGGCACTGGTCCATATGCGCAAATGACAGCATCAACGCCGTTCAGCGCCTTCTTGATGGCCGGCACGTCGTACCAAGCTTCCATATCGTGGAAGCTTTCCAAAGCCTGCAACTTCTCTGGAGCGAGTTTAGATTTGTTCCTCGCTAGTCCACGCACTTGAGCTCCGTGCTCTTGGAGAGGGCTGATAAGCTTCGTTCCCACATTTCCAGTGATTCCAACAATGAGGACCAACATGGTGGGCAAAAGCGACTCCGATTAGGTGCTTATCTGACAGAACACGGCTGCATCAATGTTATATTTATACTATTTAAGCTCTATGACCTCTCTCCCACAATTCGGCAGTCGAAGCAGAGAGGAAGTGATGTCTGGCAGTGCTGGACCAGCAAATGCCGATATCTCCAAAGTGGAATAGAAGCTGGCATGAGAAGACGTAGGATGCTCGGCCTAATTAATACTTGTCCCCCCCTTTTTTTGGCTCAGCCTCGGCGGATCCGAACTCGGACCGATTTTCTGACAACCTTTCTCCAGATGCCGACGTCCTCCTCCAAACGGAGACCCCATGGGGTTACATCCATTACCATATTGCGTCGGCAGAAACGCACAGTTTGAGGAATTCAGCATTCTTGGACTCGTCGGAGCATTTCAGGTGACGCCCGCATCTGCAGATAATATCACTGCCTCGAACCCTGTGCGTACCCTTCCTCCGGTGGAAGGATGTTATCGACCCACGAGCACGCTCTCATTTTCCAATCAAGTCGTCTCATTCATATATCTTCCAGGTTAGCTGTGGATGTACGGTTGGGAAAGGAGGCGGAAATGACGCCGTCTGATTACAAATTTTCCCTCGCTGGTTCACCGGTGGATACGACACTCGGCGGGATCAGTCAAAAGCCGATTGTAACTTCATCGCGCGTCAGCTCACTGTACAGAGGTCCAACTTCTCAATATGTGATCTGCTTAGCATGCTCACTCGCAGTCACGGCTACGGTCACGATTGTCCTTTTGGCAAGGGCCTTGTGAAGGATAGGTCTGGCCCAGCGAGCAACGCCCGGTCCTTCGGTTGGCCCTGGATCGTCTCAGAAGAGGATTCCAGCAACGCTCCAAGTCACGCATCTCCCATAAGCATAGCTCCCGACCAGTCAACCAAGTCTCGTCACGAGCAAGTATCATTGGACAGGTCCGATGATACCCGCAACAGGAAACATCGCCTTCCCCACCATGCGGAAACGAAGAGCGCGGGGAGTTTATATCAAGGCTAGCTTCACGGCCAAATGATACAACGGTACAAGTTGCCCTTGTAATTCCTTGTATTTCTCTTTTGTTTGCTCGGTCCGTCGGTGCTATTCCCGGGCCAACTTTGGTCGGTGTTGGTCGGTGTGGGTTTCCCGGCATACCGAGTCATCGGCTTGAAATGACTGACCAGGCTTGGTAAAGGATCCTCCTATGGATGTGGGGGTACCTGCGGTCGAGAAGCATGCCTCAAGATCCATTTAAGAGATCAATGCCACATGCGAGCACGTACTATTTTCTTGAAGAGGGGACCTCTACTCTGACCCATTTCTTCTTTCTACATCATCTGTTGACTTCTTGTTAACATGCCCGGGTACCTGATCAAGAATGGACGGGTCCTTACGTGGGACCAGGAACGGAAATCGTCGTTCCCCCAGATCGACATCCTCGTGGAAGGCCAGGTAATCTCTAAGATCGATCCGAACCTAGAGGTCAATGCCAATGATCCGTCTGTTCAAGTCATCGACGCAAGTGGGTGTATTGTGACTCCAGGCTTCATCGATGGTCATCGACATGTCTTTCAATCCCAGCTTCGCTCCACGGTCAGCAACCACACTCTTCTCGAATACTGTGCCCACCTTCTTCAAGGACGGATGACGTTCCTGGAGCCCGAGGACATGTACCTTTCCCAGCTCTCGGGCGCAAGCGAGGCGATTTCATGTGGTGTGACCACCGTCATGGACCACTCGCACGTGGTGACGACACCAGACCACGCGAAGCGCTGCATCGAAGCGACCATAGAGTCGGGCATCCGAAGCGTGTACTGCGCCTCGCCGTTTGCGATCCCGACGTCCCTCAACCCCATGACGCTGCCGGACATGACGGTGCACCACGCAAAGCAAATCGAACTCTTCAAGTCTCTCTGGAATCAGCACCCGCTGGGCGGACCGGGCAATGACGGGCGCGTCACACTAGGTCTGGGTTTCGACACGATGCACTGGATCCCCGAGGCTGAGGCGCGGGAGATCCTGACCTTCATCAAGGACAACAACATCCCCCTGACGTGCCACGACGTGCCGCGCTACAACCTCCCGGCGCTCGCGTTCCTGCGCGACAAATCCATGCCGCTGCCGGCCCAGATCACGCTCTCGCACACCTGCGAGCCGTCGGCCAGGGAGGTTGAGTTCGTGAGGGGACACCAGATTGGTGTCGTCTGCACGCCCGAGTCCGAGATGGCCATGTCCCACGGCATGCCCTCGGCGTTCGACTTCTACCGCTCCCCCAAATGCCGCGTGGGCCTGGGAGTAGACTCTCCAGCCATCTGCTCGGGCGACCTCTTCTTCCCCATGCGCCTGGCTCTCCAACAGCAGCGCATGCGCGAGAACAGCGCCTTCCACACGCGCGGCAAGCTTCCCGACCTGGTGCCCGCGCATACCGACGACGTGCTGTACATGGCGACGCTGGGCGGCGCGGCGGCGATCCACATGGAGTCCAAAATCGGGAGCATGGACGTCGGCAAGTGCGCAGACATTGTACTCGTGCGCACCGACTCGCCGTCTATGATCGGCTGCGTCGACCTCTCGGCTGCTCTGGTCACGCACGCGTCCCCCGCCGACGTCGACACCGTCATGGTCAACGGCGAACTCGTCAAGCAGAGCGGAAAACTGCTCAAGGTCGATTGGGACGAGCTCAAGGTCAAGCTCGCGCGGAACCGCGAAGCGCTCGAGCAAAAGTTCCAAGAGGTCGATTGGGAGTGGAACAAGAATGACCTCAAGGACCTGTGGGGTGTGCGCGATGTGCTGGAGTGATTTAGCATATATAACACGACAATGGTACATTCGTATTTCATCAATCCATCACGCTCGTCCTCTTGGGAAGGAAGAGAGAAGGGGAAAATGAAGGCTTTAAAGAAGAAGGAAAATTGTTCTATACACGGGAATTTTTTGCATGTATACTGAATCTTGTATCCTGTTGTGCAATTCCCCCAGACTTTTTATTTTGTCTCATACATAGCCTGCATGTAGCCGAGACGTACCTAGGTAGTTCAGACTTCACGTTAGGAAATATTGTGCTTCGCCCAACAAATACCACAGTCACTAGATACCTGGTATTCTGTGGCGAATCTCGACCTCTCCAAAGTCCATTTCCGTTTGGAAACCAGCAACCCGCGCTCGCCGCGAATCGACCTGAGCCACGACTAAGCCACGTTGAGCTCTGGCTGTGCAATCCTGACCACGGCTTCACAGCCCCGAAGCGTCGCTCCCATGGTGCCAAGCAATTAAAGTGACAAAGATCAAGCGATGGGCAAACTGGATTGGGGCTATGTACCTCGTACTGAATGCATATGGGCCTGGCGCGTCATCTGCAAAAGCCGCGCGCAGGCTCACAAGCCGTCAGTGAGGCTCCATAATTCATCGCGGCGTATGACCACCAGAGCCTTCATGACCCCCTTATCCCTCTCGTGCAAGGCCTGGGTTTTCTGTTCTGTCGCGTAGTGTTTGAGCTCTTCACATCCCCGCAAAAAAGACAGACCCCGCAGATCTAGCCTTCGAGATGACAGCACCTTTCGGTTTCGGCGTTGGTAAATCATGTCACCTGCTGTTCGCTTTAACGTGTCGCGACTAATGGATCCTTGTGTGCCTAGGGGACTTCGTGATTATTTCGAGGCTGATATACAAGATTATCGTGGAGCTGAAGAAGAATTCAGAATCTGTCGCCGACTACTAACTCTTGTTACTTGAACTCGAAGCCCTTGACCGAACGCTAAAATCTCTCCAGCGTATTGAGCCTGCGCAACATGAGCTGAGAAGGCTAGACGGAATTCGGGCGCTAGCATCGACATGCCTGCTGCCACTTCAAGAGTTCCTCGACAAGATAGGGAAGTTCGAAGACTCGTTGGGACCGTTGAATACGAAGAACCGTTCCTTCTCGTCCATAACCCAGCGACTACGTTGGTCGACAAAGTATAAAGATGAAACCAGGGCCTTGAGGGCAAGGCTTGCGCCCAACCTGGCCACCATCACAGTGCTTCTCATGACTCAAACTGTTGATACTCTGTCTAATGCGGAGTCGGATCGCTTCAAATTGGCACAAGAGCTGAACGATAAACTTTCTTCACAATCCTGCATCCTGACCGCACAGAGGGATTCAACGTGCCGCATCGCAAGTGGACAGGATGATCTTGCAACCCAGCAGTCGCATCTCACCGCTACGGCCACAAACCAGAGCCAAGTCCTGCTGTCGCTGGAGTCAAAAGTTTCGAAACTTTTAAAAAGCAAAGCTGCATATGACTTACATTTGAGCAGTGAAATGGCTGTCCTGAAAGATGTCCAGGAGAGCTGTGTGATCACTAATACCCGGACCCAGGAAGGCATCGCAATCGCGACCTCCATCCATCAAGATACGACTGAAATCAAGTCAGCAGTCCCCTCTATTCTCGGACGAGTTCTGGATGTCCTCGACGTGGTACTGGCGGGTGTTTCGAAGATACAAGACATCACGACATTAATGCGTCGCTTGTTCACCCTGACGACGCGATTCACTGTCGAAATGGGAGAGACCATGGCGAAATTGCTTCATGCCTTCTCAGCGATTCAAAGGCAGCTCGCCCGGTTGGAGGGCTTTTTGCACCGACGAATATGCTTACCTACGGTGATATTTCGTGACGCTTTTAATGTGATGAGGTCGTTCCCTTACGATTTGTCTCGAGAATGGCGGACATTTCAAGGCTTAGTGGCCGTCGCCTTCATCGGCCGACAAGGGCTGCACCGTGTCAACATGGGTCAATACTTTGTCACCAACGTTCGCACGAGCCGACGGCTAAATCCTACATTCTGGAGTCACGCGATCGAGCCAGGCGATGAATTAACAATGACAATGATCCTCGATGATGTCGAAGCAGAAGAAGGCTTCTGTCCATATAAATCATGTGGCAAGTTGACCGCAGGGGTTCCATTGACGGGGGGGGGGGAAGGATCTGCCCGAACTGCTTTCGCTTTGCAGTGGTTTCGCGGAAGAAAATGACTTATCCTAAGATTCGTGATAAGCATGATGCAGCCAATTCCAGTCATGAGCCTCTTGTCACGGAGCCGGATTCTGAGCCGACTCCGGCAGAGACTGCCACCTTTGAGGAAATCAAAGAAGCAGGCCTGCCGCCTCCACTTCTTCCTTGGGCAAATATTTATGAAGAGGAAGATATCGAGCTATACCATTCTATCCAAGTCGCGCAAACTCTGTTGATCGATGAATACGAGGCAGGCTTAAAATGTCGATCGAAACCTGGCCTGCCCTTGACGAGTGAAGTGCAGTCTACTAAACCTGACGCCTCCACATCGGGCATGCAGATCTTCGTGAGAGGGCTCGGCGGCAAAATCTTGACGCTTTTGGTCGATCCCTTGGACCGGGTTGACACAGTCAAGAAAAAACTCAACGGGGTGGGCATTGCTCAGCATTGCCTCGGCTTAACTTTTGCTGGTAAGCTGCTAAGAGACGGACTGACATTCGCAGACTATAATATTCAGAAACACAGCACAATTCACTGGATCTTGAGGGAGGGGGGCAGGCCTTTATTTTCCTCTCGCGAGTATGTCGAGAGCTCGGGTATGCTGATTGGAGACAGCATGACCATTTTCGTGAATTACTATCGTACTGGGAAGATCTTGACATTGAAAGTCAAAAATAATGACACGGTCAGGCAAATCAAGCAGCAGATCCATGATCAGGAATCTGTAACTGTGGCTCAACAGCATCTAGCATTTGCAGGGGCGCTCTTAGAAGACGACGTGAAGATCTATGAATACGGTATACGGGAAGGAATAACCGTTTTCATGCTATTGAGGTTAAGCAAGAATTATTTCACCTGGACTTGCGTAAGATCCTCTCTCTGGTGCCAGCATATCTAACAGCTAATCCCTCAAGTCACAATGCGGCGAACATCCGCTTGAGATCACAATCCCAGCGTGCCCCAATTGTACGCATGGTCGGTGTCAGCATTGCGAGACTGCACGTGCGAGACCTCGGGAAAGGCCAGCATCAAGAAGAAGTTGAGTCTACATATAAGGTCTAAAATTGATGGTCCACGCGCAGTTGGCCGTGCCCTGAGCTCAGATTGAACCGGCCTTTAAAGGCTTCTAGGCGAACCGCGCGTACCACCGCTCAACGCGCCGACGCTTGACGCAAATCCCACAGTCAGCCACGCCCAGGGCATCCTTCTCTTCTATCCGATAGAGATGGCTGAAAACTTGTTTGCCAGAGTCGACGCCATCCAAAATACCCATTGACTGGCAGTACTGCCAAGAGATTTAAAGACCATCTATACTAGTACTCAGCCGAAGGCCTCGGACTAGTATGATACTCACAGTGTAAATTACTCGACAGGATAAAGTCAGCAGGTCCTCTGACTCTGTACATGCAATCCATTGTGCCCTCCATCGAGTCACGAGGTTGGCGATTCATAGTCACGTGGCCATCTCATAGTATCATTTCGTATTAGTGGCTGCCAAGCCCCTCAAGATCAGAAAAGCGATCACAAGCCGTGACGAGCAGTCACGTGACCGGCCGAGCCAGAAAAGCGGTTCGGCGGTTGGCAGGTCTGATTGGTCAATATCTAGCGCCAAAGTACGAAACCAATTAAAATAATTCAATGTGTAGAATAGTGGGCCGAGAGGCTTGTCTCACTTCGGCAATTGAGCCGAAGGGGTTTTGATCAAGCTACGAGAAAGTCATACCGTCCGGAGACGTCACTTGGCTGTTCTTCTTGAAGTTGGACACGCCTCCTCTAGGCTCTGTCGATATCCTTTGTCTGAAAGGCGTCACTCATCAGCCTCACTGGTGAAGCTCAACCGGCTTGATGGGAAGTTCAGGCCGAATTGCCTTTGTGCAGACACACAATGCCAGCAGATCTGCTGTGGCGTGCCAGCGATGTAAAGGAAGAAAGGTTCGATGCAACGTTACTCGAACTGGGCCGCCTTGCACAAACTGCCTTGATCATAAGACAGAATGCGAAGTCGTGCCTCGGAAGAAGCATGTGTAAGTCTCACTCGGCGGTATCGAACCCCGATTGCGTGACTGTCTAGCCCAACTAACCAATTGACCTCGTTTTAGGTCTAGAGTAAGGAGAGAACCTCCATCACCCGGAGCAGAATACCCAGCAGTACGGTCCCAAAATAACTCTCCCACTGGGGTTTCAATGCTCCGGACGCCAGCTATGGCTATGCAAATGGATCTGGCTCTCGATGACGGCCTATTGCAACCAGATTTCAGGCAGAGCAATCAGCCAATTTTCGCCGACCGTGGAGATCATCAAAGCACTCTGGGTGAAGCGGTCTCATTGCCTCCAAATGGGCGAAATCCGGAAGACGAAGGAGAAAATAATGCTACTTTCGCCGAGGCACTCAGTGCCAATAGCCCGTTCAATAACGAACGGCCCTTTCATGTTGGTAAGACTCTGAGCACCTACAGCTTAGAGACTATCATTTTTGACCTTCGAAGGCGACCCTCAAGGACTGGTTCATGCCGTGATGGAGATCTGTACGGACCAACCTCCCACACCAGGAACCATGGGAACGACCCAAAAAATCACGCCTCAACCGAAGAAGACTTGGCAAACCAACGACTTAATGTATTTACAGAGCAAAGGAGTCTTCTCCTTACCAACTGCGGACGTTTGCAATTCACTTGTTCGGGATTACTTCGAGCATGTCCATCCTCTGGTTCCCATAATTGATGCAGGGCTTTTTCTGTCTCAATATGCCCACAACGGGGCTTCGAGCATGAATTTGCTTTTGCTATGGAGTGTGTTTCTTGCTGCCGCCAATGTATAGCTCTGAAGCTGTTGCGTTTAGTCAGGATGCTAAGGCTCTCTAGTTTGCTTCTCCAGAAGTGCTGCAATCTACGGGTTATCCATCGCGGAAGGCACTAAAGCGGGCGATGTACACAAGAGCTAAGGTTGGGCGCTACCTCCCCGACCCAAGTATTTAGCTAACAGCTTGTACAGGCATTATATGACAGTGACTACGAAGATGACAAGGTGTGCGTGGTACAATCTGTCACACTTATGGGATTTTGGTATTCGGACCTGGAAGACAGAACCGGTCCCTGGCATTGGATGGGAATTGCCATCGGATTGTGTCAGATCATGGGTCTTCATCGAACACCACGATTGGCACCGGCTGCTTCGACGACGAGGCTGAGGCAACGCCTGTTTCGCAGAATCTGGTGGTGTTGTTTCATGAGAGATCGTTGGCTGTCTCTGGGACTAGGACGACCGATGCGAATAGACCTCGAGGACTGTGATGTCCCAATGCCCGAAGCAGAAGATATAACGAAAGAACTCGAACAACTCCCTGCCGGAATTGCCAAGAAGTATATGCCTGCCGCCATACAGGAAGACGCAGTTATTTGGGTGCATCTTATCAAACTGAGCGTATCTCTAGGCAAAATCCTCCGGAAGCTTTATGGGAAGTCCGCGCCCAACTCTGAAAGTGACGACTTCCAAGCCTATGAAGCCGAGCTTGAGGGATGTCGGCTAGCAAAAGAATTGGAAACCGGAAATAGTTATCAGCCTGAACTACTGAGCAAAGTGCAGTTTGAAATGCTCTTCGAGTTCGTCAGCACCAACACACCCCAGTCGTTTTGTGTAGGATTCTCACTTCGATTTCCAGGGCTACTGTCATTGTACTACATCGATCGAGGATAGACTTCCGAAGTCTGCCTGACGATCCTCAAAATCCAGAACGAGCAGACTCTTTGGGAAAAGCACGGGCAGCTGCTGTCAGGACCAACAGACTCATTGAGAAATTAATCGAAATGGACGTGGTACAGTATTTGCGGCCGATGAAGTAAGTGCAATGCGCTGAAAATCTTTGCATACTCTGTGTGAGGGACGCTGACAGTAAACTAGTCTTACCGCCATAATCCCAGCTATGCAGATACACCTGTTTGACTGCAAATCTCGCCGCCAGCTTGCACGGAAGCTCGCCTGGTCCAAGCTCGGAACATGTATGATGGTCGTATCAGAGCTGCGCGACACTTATTGGGGTGCAAACTTCACCTTGAAGCTCTTCGAAACTGCCCAAACTATGCTGAAGCGTTCAGAGGTTCAACCTGTTATTGGAGGATCCTTCGATGGAGAGCATCATCCAACCGCTAGTGCCAGCGCCTCAAACATGGACACTGCTTTCGAAGTTCCAGAAGTTTCAATGAATGATCATCATCTATCAACCACTTCTTGGCCAATGGACAGCTCTACGTTCTATCTCGACGAGCCTTTCACGAATTCGCTGTGAGTGTATAAGCAACCCCGAGCTACCTTTCAGAGGGGCTGACATTATGACCAGATACCATCAGATTCCAGATCCTTTCACGTCTGATCCATGGAGCCTCGACGGTTTTCAGAACGTTCTTGACTCTTCCTTCACGCTCGATACCTAGCAATCATTTGTCATTTGCGTCTCCGGAGCCTCAAACCTCAACCGGCACAAAAGCCTTATTCTTCAGCTCGAGCTCCTTCTCCAATACGTCGAAATACCACACGGCATTGCTATTTTCATCAAGTTCTGCTTCGGTGTATCCGTTGCCCAGATAGGCGAATCTATTACCGTTTCCCAGATACAGGATATCAAAGTCTTCATATCGAGGCTCCTTTAGCATCTCAAAATAGTGCAGTCGGCTCCCCGGCCAGATAGCCGTGACAGGGCCATGGACCTTGCCATTCTTAAACCAGGATCGGCATGCCCTGCTTGCAGTCAGCACGAAACGAGAGAAAGGCCCGCCACCAAAGAACTCACGATGACCAAGCCGTTCGCTTAAGAAGCTCATGTGTGTGAACATATAGGTCTTTTACAGCAGCCACGGAGGGTCCCAGAGACTTGATGGATGTCCGCTGCATGTGGGAGATAACTTTGAACATATATCGCGTATGCCACTCGAGGATCGGAAGGATAGAACCGTGGGATGCGGGACCGTTAGGTCCAATGAAGTCTGTCAACACTGGCAATCAGTAAAAGAGTCGCCCCCTTGGCGCAAACAAAACATTGCGTCGAGATACTTGAGGGATACCAACGGAACATGTTAGGAAATCCTTCGGCCATGATGCTCAGATAACCTTTCGGGAAGCTGCCCCATTCCTGACGCAGATTGCGACTGTTCTCCCCAAGGACGGTGTAAGGAGGGCTGAAGCTGGTATCGAAACCAGTCGCAAAGATTATGATATCCACCTCTATGAGCTTGCCAGAGGAGTCAAACAAACCATTCCTCGTCACCTCAACGGCGGAGTCTGTTATCACATCCACATTGGGCTTTGAGAGTGACTGCAGGTAGTCTGTCCCGGGTGTCATGCGGCGACATCCCAGCGCATATTTGGGTATCAAATGACAAGACAGGCGCGGATCGCCTCCAAGCTTTTGCAACATGGTTTTGGCGACGAATTCCCTGGACGTTGTCTGATCAATGCTATCGAGGTGCATCTACACGATAGTATCAACGTTAAAGGAAGCCAGTTAGATGAGGTCGGGCAGGGGAAATTCTGAAAACCTACCAAAGTGAAGCGCTTATTCAGCTCTCCTTCAACGTCGTGACAATACTTATCCAAGGCCTTTTCGTCGGATGCAAAGGCGGCCTTTTGTTCTTCGGAATCTGCATGGAATGGATGACGGTCAACCATGGCCTTGACGCGAGAAAGGGAGGGGACTGTTATTCGGAACTGACAGTCAAAATTAACACCACCAGGCGCGGCGTGTTTGGCGCCAAATCCTGCGGTAATCCACACTGGAGACCTCAAAAAGGCGTAAAGCTTTCCTACGTGCGGCTGAATCGATGGTATGATTTGGACAGCGGATGATTCCCCTCCTACAACAGCAATTCTTTTACCTTCCAACTTCACCCCATCGTCCCAAGCTGCACTGTGCATAACCTTGCCTTGGAAACGCTCAATGCCGGGGATATCTGGATATTTCCAAGAGCTAGGATGGTCCAGGTCAGCACATCTGGGAGTCTGGGGTACCCCAGAGCCGCACAGGGGGTCATACTTCAAAACTCCATGGCACGAGGCTAGGATTTCGCCCTGGTCCAAAAACTCGGACCCATCCGCTCTCTTGCCCTTCAATTGCCACACACCCTGGTCCTGGAGCCACCGAGCCTCTTCGACTCGATGTCCGAAATTTACATATCTTTCCAGGTCATTCTGCACGGCAAAACTCTTCAGATACTGCCTGATCTCCTCGGCGCCGGCGTAGTAGCTTTTCCAATCGGGTTTCCGCCAGAAGCTGAATTGGTACGAGTGGCTGGGGATGTCGCACGTACATCCAGGATATCTGTTCTCCAACCAAGTGCCACCAACATCTGCGTTCTTCTCATAAATGGTGAAGGTCACGTTGGAGAGCTGTCTGAGGGCTTTGTACGCGATCTGGAGACCAGCTGCTCCCGCTCCGACAATCAGCATGCGCATCGGCCGTTGGGTGTGCAGCGACTGTTCCTGAATAGTGTACCCGTTCGAATCGAAATGAGATCGGTACCACTCGTTCTCGTGCTGAGTGGCATTTTTGACTTTGGCTCGATCATGATCTAGCGATTGAGGCTTCAATGAAAGTGAGGGTGGTGCCTCGACAATGATCGGGCCTTCCTGAGATGGAGTCATGCCTGCAATGGCTTCCTGCGAGGTTGGATTTTTCACTTGGGCGGAAGGATTCTACCCGTGTTATCTAGATACTCCCCCATTGTCTTTCTTCACCCTTATATTTATTCGACCTTGGGTGGCTTCTGGTGGGCAGTCGGGTCACATGTTTCCACGCTCTATGAGCTTGACAAAATCGCAATCCCTGAGAAGTTGAGGGGTTCATGACCCAGTATCGAAGTTCGGCAACTGCCACCCTTGAATTGCCTCGCGAGATTTCTCCGGAGACATAGCCTTCGGCAAAAGACTCCAGAGTCCAAATCCGGCTTCTTCGCAGCCGGTCCACCAATGGGAATGCAGAAACCAGCAGCGGACCGAGGTGAAATTACTACAGATGGAAGTCCCGAAAAGCTACGCAACATCTGGGCGAGCCGCTGATGAAGGGGACTGCGCCGAGCGAAGTTGAATACGAGCCTTTTCTCAGGCAGTCAAAGACAGACCTCTGACCAGGAAGACACTCACCAATTACGGAGAGAGAGGAACCAAGGCTAGGGCAAGGTTCATTGGCACGAATCGAACACTTTATTGTTCACACCACAACCTCTCTTAGAGACTTTTTCCGCTCCTGTCCCAATGATAGAGCATACACAAGCGGCAGGCATCCTGGATCAAGTCCCAGAGTCCGTTTGAGACTGGAGGACAACTTGGTCCGTTAAAAACATGAGATGAGTGAAAAATGGACCAAAATGGCAGGCGAGATGTAAAAGGCAAAGGAAACATGGGAAATGGAGTGTTTTAGTCGGACACTTCTCTGAGCGAATCTTTTTAAACAAAAAAGCGATCCATTCTGTGCTCGTTTTTTTGCAGCCGCTTTAATAGGGGCAATATTCAACCTCGCAAAGATCTTCCCCAAATTCCACTATTCTGTCAGATCAAGCATCATTACAAATGTGCGAGTGATGCTACAGAGTGTATCTGAACCCTTCCTTGCCTTCGATGATGATCTCGCCTCGGTCAGCCTTGCGGTTTGCACGCGTGAAGACGAAGAAGTTTTTGCAGATTAAAACCACCGTCAACACTTGCACAGCGATTACAGTGTCCAGGCCAGGCCGGTACTGAGGAGCATCTTTCTGTTGAAAGGCGTTGCTGGCGATGATGCCACCAATCCCGCCTCCAGCAATCATAACCGCAGCACCAATGGCACGCTTCGATTGGCCCACGATGTTATTGTGCTGATAGCTGAAGATGGCAGGGATACTTGCGTTGTAAGGTGCCAATCCCAGGAATACACCAACATAACGAACACTGTTGGTTTTTGCATAGCCCATCCTAGAGAAGTCAGCGGACATGATGGTGATCAGGCATTTTCTGCAGCGTACATTACAACCCCAACAATAGTCCAGATTGCGTTGAAAACAATGATAGGCCCCCGAATCATGAAGCGGTCACCGATATATGCTGCAATAAACATCCACTTCCCAGACAATCAGCAAATTCCGCTCAGAAAAAGTGACTCTGTTGAACTCACCACGGCAGCAAGCACGTAAGGAGGAAAAATCAGAGTGTATGTCATGGGAATGGAATACCCCATTCCCGAATGGAGAATGAGAGGAAGAAAGTATGCGAATGCATATGCAACGGTATTCTACATGCATCTGTCAGACTTGGTCCTCAACTTCCTTGGAAACTAAACTCACATTGCAGAGAAGAAGGATACAATATTCCCATATCTTCCAGTCTTTCAAATGGTTGAGAACCACCTTGAGAGAGAATTTCTCTGGAATGGCATCGCCACGATCGCGCTCAATGCGGGCTAATATGACAGCGGCTTCATTTGGAGTCAGGAAACGCCGAAACCCCAACTTGGTTGGTCGAGCTGCTTTGTCAGGGAAGTCGATCAAAAAGAACAAGACTACGATGGCCACAACGCAAGTGGCAATTCCTTCTGCAGAGAAGATTGGATCAGCATCAGAGACCATAGACGACGGAAGTCAGCTGAAAGTCTCCATCAAGACTGGCTTACCAAAAATGAAGATCCATGACCAGCCGCCTAGCCCGGAAAGACCATCGGCTTTGGACAGTCCATATGCCAACAAGTTGGACAGACCGGATACGAGCATGCCGGCACCATAGAAGCCACTGAATCGAACCTGAACTTCATGGCGCACGTACCAGCATGACAAGAGGTATATCAACCCTGGAAATAGTCCACCTTCGAACATGCCAAAGATGATTCGACAGAGCAGGAGCTCTCCCCAAGTCTTGCAAAAACCCATTCCAATGGTGAGAACGCCCCAGCAGAAGCCGATGGTGCCTAGGAACGAAGCTGGTCCGACTTTCCGCATGACGAAATTGGCCGGGAAGTCGCAAATGATATAGCCAATGAAGAACACCATTGTCAGGATGGAGTAACGACTGCCCATGGAGAGTCCCAACGCTGCATCCATCCCGGCCAGCCGGGCGTTAGGCAGATTGAGTCGGTCGATGAGGGAGACGGCATAGAGTGTGCCGCAGAGTGGCAGGAGTCGTCTGTCAACTTTCCGCCTCAGTTTCTTCTCAAGGTGTTTGTCGACTCCTCCTTCGGCGTCTAGAGCCTCTTTCAACCCGGCGTGCTTCAACTGTTCTTTGGCGTCCAGGCCCTCGACGTGTATGTGTTCTGGCGACACGTCTTTCTCTTGCGTTCCAACGGAGATGTTCATCGTGATGGTGCACTCGGTCCAGGTCTGTCTCAAGACAAGTACATATATGATTTTCAGGAGCTTATTTTGTCGAACGAAGACCAATGCGAATCGAGCAACCGCGACAAAGGCCAGAGGAATATATGTAGCCCCGGCACCGACGATTCTTTCCCCGTGGAGAAACTAAATTCCTGGAGTAATATATGCACCTTTGACGCCGAGCCATGCCACAAGGTCTCACCTCCCTGTGCCAGCCGGACAGTATTTCTTTCCATGTGGTCCAGGCCTTTTCAGAACTGTTTTGACCCGTGAACTATCCCGAAAAAGGAAATATTCCCTCGGAGGCTAAGGCAAGGTGAAGGTTCAAAGACTGGTGGACCCCAGTGCCATCGACTCGACCTCAAACCCCTTGCCCTTCTTTGAGATTCTTGCCGGAACTTGGGGAAGTAAAAGGTTTTGTCTTCTTCCTCCGAAAAAAGCCCAATTAACTTCTACCGACTTCGAGAGGATTATCCGGCATGGGAAAGTGATATCAGTGTCGGCACGACTACTGACCTGTCGACGCTTCTGCACTTTTACCACCGGTAGTCCCCTACGACGAGAAACCACTTTACACCATGTCTTCACCTCAAGTCGCTGAGGACATCCATTACCGTGAGGACACTGATGGTATTAACGGGTGCGTTGAGAGTCGGCCAAAAATCCCAGAGCGCAATGGACATAGCTCTTCGGTGACGCCAATTCCTCAATCCAAAGAGGTGATGGGATACCACGAAGCATTTCGATTTGGAGGACATCTCCTTGCAAACAATGTGGCTCGAGTGGTGGAACAAAATCCTGGCTTGGGTAGAAGCATTCTGGACGGCTTCGGTGTCAACATGGCCACTACTTCCCTCGGGTATCGCGAATGGGCCTTGATCTCGATCGCCACCCTGACTGCTATGGGTGACACCAGCGATCAATTGAATGTGTACGTTGAAGGGGCACTAAACCATGGTGCCACAGTCGAGGAGATTCTCGACGTATTCAAGCACGCCAACGCCTTTGTCGGCGCTCCACGAGCGGTCAATGCCGTACGGAGGACTTGGGATCAGTTGTCTCAGTCAGGCCCGCGTAACCCAGACGGGTATACGGAGAAACTAATTCGGCTCGGTGACCATGAGACACTTGTTCGAGACACCGGGGCGCCAGGAATCCCAATTATCCTCATTCATGCTTTAAGTATGGATGGCAGAATGTGGCGGGAAGTCCTCCCTCTTGTTGCTGCTTCTGGTACTCGCGTCATCGCTTATGATCTTCGCGGTCACGGTTATGCCCGGGGGGCACCACTCACTCCAAGTCTTGAGCATCTCTGCTCGGATTTAGAACTGCTTCTCAACACACTGAACATAACATCTGCGGACATCTACGGTGCTTCATACGGCGGAGCTGTGGCGCAATATTTCGCTCTTGACTATCCAAGTCGGACACGCTCGCTGGCGGTTCTCGCAACAGCGGGCAAAGCGCCACCCGTCCTGGCAACGAGAGCTACACGTGCGGAGCAGAATGGCATGGACTCTTTGGTCGCAGAGTCTATCATTCGGTGGTTCCTGCCCGAAACTATCGCCGAGAATACATGGTGTGTGCGGTACGCGAGAGGCTGTGTCCGTCGAGCAAGAGTCGAGGATTGGGCCGCCGCCTGGAGAGCCATGTCCCGGCTGGATTGCTTGGATAGACTGCAGGAACTGAAAATTCCCGTGTTGTCACTCTCCGGGAAGCAGGATTTGTCGTCGACTCCGCCAATGATGCAGGCGATCGTGGATGCCTGCAAGAATACTACCGCCGAGTTTCAAAGCATTGATCCGGGGACGCACATGATGGTTATGGAGATGCCAGGCCCTGTTGCTGAAAAATTGTCAGCGTTTCGGAAGAAAGTTGACGGTTTCGGTATTGACTAATTAGCTGATGTAGCGCGGCGGATTGCGGGCTCTGATTAGATGGCCGATGGATGGATTGTGCGCGTCACCGGTAGCCATTCCCGCAATGGGAAGGCTGATTCCGGTTCAGGGGCCACGGACCAGGGACAAACGTACGGCTCATTTTCCGTCAGTGATGCCGCGGACGTACGGGGTACTTTCGGGGGGATTTAGTGTGGCAACAAGTAATGCCACAATTAAATGGCGATCAGCTTGCGGAACCCAGAGGCGAACTCGGCGAGTCAGTGGTCCTTAGCCTGAGATATCCCGGGACCTCGGCGGTATGTACGTACCCAGCACCCAGTACATACCCAGTACAACCATACTCCACCCCCACAATTGTGGATTTGCGATATATATATAGATGTCTTATGGGGTTGCTGGGGTTGGGATCCTGAAGAGACTGGAAGATCTGAAATACATGAGGTCTTGTACAGTTAGTTGGCATCCACATTCCGCACATAGAGAATCTGGGGAGCGGGTGTGACCCTGCATCCAGGGTCCCAACCTTAGTTACTCCAAAGGGTCTGACTTCATAATGTGCGTTGGGCAATCGACTACGCTTGCGCTCTGTCCTCCTAAAGTATGCCATTTAGGTTTGCCAGTGGCCGATTGGTGGTCGAGTCGTGGACCTTGCGGATACGATCAGCGATGATGGCAACGCGGGAAAGTTCCTGGCCCGAATAAACCTCGACTAGGAGGACCCGTCACTGCCTAACGAACCGAGGCCCACCCCCAGAGCCCCCGGACCCCAACCCCCAGCGAGTCATGGCCTTGCCCAGGAAATTGACCAATGCACCTAAAGCTGACCTGCGCCCTGGTAAACCGCTTCCCCGGCCATCGCCAAACACTCACGAGATTTTTGGTTAGGCGAGACAAAACAGGTCGGCTCAACTCTACGCGGCACTCGGTAGACTGAATCAAACTATGCAGTGTGCAGAATCGTCCGGTAGAACATTCTGGACCTTCAGCACGGAATCAGGGGCATTGGAAGCCAACACTTGTACTGTTGATATCCAGTATCGTGTCTCTTTTTCGAAACTCTCCGATGTCGAAAGAGAACACCACCCTCAGGAACACCCCTTTACTGACTTCCCAGAGGCTCTAACCGAGATCGACAAGGCCCGAACAGCCCGTGTTCGCTAGAGTCAACTTGTCACATTTCTCTCGTGCCCTCACAGGATTGAGCCACCTGGAGGGTCTAAAACGTGGCAATTACGAGCACACAAATTTCCCGCGAGAGGAAATACGAGCGAGGAGGGTTTTGCACTCCAATTAGACATTTAATCGAGGAAATCGACTCCCCGGTGGAGTGATGTTGCAACGTGGGCGAGCCCCATAAACTTTTCAATACGTTTCAAGTGCCTTTAACGGCGGCTTAACTGAAACTGGTTTTTTCTTGCACGGAGGCAGGGCCGAAGTTTCTTCACTAGAACCTTCGAATTCCTCTCCCCCGCGATTTGATTCTCGCTAGGGTAAGGATTGGCTGAAAGGTTAACTGACATTTGGTGGGTTTAATTCAGTCTCTAAATCACAACCAAGGCCCTATCCCTTTAATATACGAGGTAGGGACGAGAACGACTCGGACAGGGAACACTGGCTCTTTGGAATCGCCCCTCCCCCGTACGGGGCCCCTTTCGTCGTTCTACTAACCTTGAATTGGGCGGAGAGTCTCGAATCTACATATATTTCATGGACTCTCAAATCTGCCAACGGTTGAAGTATTGTTCTTGATGCTCTAGGTCAATGTTAGGGTTCGTTGAGCAATGATGTTGTTCCTCCCCTTATTCGTGCTGGTCTCATGCGTCTTTCCAGCCAAAGCACAAACTTTGGTTGATCAGTTGCCGTTATGCGCTGTATGATGCCACCTGGGACATCGTCCAAATTGAACTTGCAGACTCACAAAATGAACAGGCCGACTGCGTTTCCCAAGCGATTCAGAGCATTCCGTGCCCCGCGACAAACAAAGAATGTGTCTGTAGCGATCCCCAGTCCCTGTTCGTGGGCGTCGCCGCGTGTGCTGGCGCCAATTGCACCGTCACAGAAACCCTGTGTTTGTCCAATAAATTCCCTTTTAGCAATGTCAGACTCGCTGATCCCATGTACCAGTATCGGAGAACTCTGCGCTGGTGTTCTGTGATGTCCCCCGTCGAGACATGTCCACGGAACTAGAAGCCATTGGTGGGACATTTGGTGGCCTAGTAATTCTCATCGTTCTCCTGAGAATGGCCACTCGAATGCCTCCCTTCAAGGCTGCTTTTGGTTGGGATGATGGGCTTATCCTGGTCTCTGCTGTAAGAATCCCTGTCTGGCTTCGTCGAAACTTCTTCACTCACGCTGGGCAGGCGTTTGCAATATTCTCCTCATTGAACACTTTTATCAGTACGTGGCGAAGGGCAGCATTTGCGCTTGGTTGGGAAAGTTAACGCTGGAAACAAGTGACGCACCACGGGTTCGGGAGAGACATTTTCACGATTCCGCCAGACGATATCGAGACGGTCTTGAAAGTGAGCACAAAATACCCATCACAAACATATCTTCTTACGACGGCGCTGATCCCCACCAGATGTTCTACGCCGGAGAAATGACTTACGACATCACTAACGCCGTGACCAAGATTTCCATCCTGGCATTTTACTTGCGCATCTTCACAGATCCGAAATTTAAAATATCAGCATATATTCTCATGGGGTTCGTCATGGCGTTTTTGGTGGCTATCTTGCCTGCCACCATCTTCCAGTGCACGCCCATCTCTTACATGTGGACCGGATGGACTGGCGAGACCGAGGGCCATTGTATCGACGTCTCCTCATTGACCTGGGTGGCGTCTTCCGTCAACATCATACAAGATATTGCTGTCATCTTGTTGCCGATCCCGCACTTACTCAAGCTATCGCTTTCACGGAAGAAAAAGATCCAGATTGTCTCCATGTTCTGCGTAGGCTTATTGTAAGTCCGATCCTCAAGCCCTCGAGCCCTCGAGCCCTCAATCTATATGATTACTAACCACATATCCTCTAGCGTCACCATTGCCAGCATTGTACGTCTGTCAAGCCTCATTCGATTCAAGGCCACTCTGAACTTCAGCTGTAAGTCGCCATTACCTCCAAACAATCTGCATTCTACTTACACCCCGCGCAGGGGACTACGTCGCTGTCTGCTACATGTCGGTCGTCGAAATCGACGTTGGTGTAATCTGCGCCTGTATGCCCGCAATGCAACTCCTCCTGCGCCGTGTCGCACCTCGTCTCTTTGGCTCTACCGCCGACAAGTCCTCCTATCTGCACCCTCACACTGGTGGCCCCCGCTCACAATCGCGGACCTTCCGCAACACGGGCGCCCGCCACTCCATGGCGCCAAACACTATCACAAAGACCCTGACGGCGACCGTGACCGAGGTAGCAAAAGATTCCGACTCGGTTATGGAGTTGGTGGACAATCCCCACAAGAAAGGCGCTAGCCATGAGGGTGGGTCATTTGCCACGATGTCGTCAGCAGACGAGGGCAATAAGCCAAATGGTTGGTAGAGATGGAGAATAATAATAGCCCTCCCTCTCAGAGTGAGCAATTGGACCGGAGGAAGTTTGTAGACAGTAGAAGACACAGCAGTTTGATGTCACTCCACTCGACATTCTTTGCACGAGGATCGAGTGGGCTCCTTGTTGTACAGAGGTACGCCACCATTCTGACTGTTATTTTATTGACACAAACCCGGGCCCGTGATTCATGACTTGTTGATATTTACGATTCAAAGTGTGCTGAACAGTCCAACTGGACCCAGTGTGGCAGCAGCGGACATCTGCGTAGCAATTGCGGTCATCGCTCTGATGTAGTGAAAGTGCAAAGGTCATAAGCTTAATCGTCCGGGCAAGTCTAAGCAATTGAACAGGCCTTCTGGAGAAACGTGGGGAGGTGGATAATACATTTAGGAGCCGTTTTGGCATTTTCTGCTCCGGCAATATTTCCTAAGACGGTATTGCCGCTTTTGCGGATCCCCGGCCTTTCCGGGTTTCATTTTGAGGGGTGAGACTTTGCTAAACAGGGTGTCCATTAATGCGCTTTCTCATAGCTTGACCGTCGGTTGGATGGAGCTCGCGGGGACTGACGACTGGGGAATCACTCTCGCCCAGCTCGAACGATATATGAAGCACTCGTTTGGCCAGGCCAAATTCGCGACAACCGCGATCCGCAAAAAGCGAATGCTGTTCATAATTCGAGGACGTTGAACCACTGTCAAGATGTATGTTCAATCGAATGGTGAAGACCAAATCACTGATGTGGTTGTGTTGGGAACGGGACCCGGCGGGCTCGCTTCAGTTGGCTCTGCTGTGGAAGCTGGTGCGCAAGTTATCGCGATTGAGGCATACAAAGATATTGGAGGAAACGGGACCTGGTCGACGGGTTGGGTCGCATTCGTGGACAGTCAAATACAACGCGACCAAGGCATCGAAGACTCCGTTGATTTGTTCATGCAAGATTGCGAGAAACTGATCGAGGAATCCAGCACGCGCTACGGCCTACAATGGGATCCCGTTCTCGCGAGGCTCTACGCAAAGGAGAGCGGGGAAATGTACGAGATACTCAGCAAAAGGGGCGTGAAATTTCCTCGTCTCATCAAGCGTCCTCTCCAAACGTCTGTTCCGCGTCTGGCCGCCGTCGAATCAACAGATCAATTTGCCAGGGCGTTCGAACCTGACTTTGCCGGCCCAAATGTACGCACCTACTTGAACAGCACTGCGGTGAGACTGATCACTGAGAGTGGACGTGTTACGGGCGTTCACGTGCGGCCGAATGACTCGACGCCACCATTCAAAGTGTTCGCCAAACAGGGTGTCATCCTCGCCACGGGAGGATATCAGGCTAACCCAGCCCTCCGTCAACACTATGTGCCAACAGTGAGGGACTGCTGGTACCCAGGACTGCCAACATGCCGTGGGGATGGTCATCTTCTTGGCCAAGCAATTGGAGGGGATCTGATCAACATGTCCATGGTCCCGCCTATCGTGGCCATAGCTTCTGCCTTGACAGATGAAGCAATTGCGGTGAATTCCAACGGCGAGCGGTTCCACGACGAAGCAGGACCTTATCAATATCGAGTGGAAAAGCTGAAAGAACAGCCTGGCCAGATCGGCCATTATATCTTCGATGCGACCACGGCGGTCAGCAAGGAGCGTTATGTGGATCAGCTTGGCGCGGGAGTCCGAAAGGCGAATACACTGGAAGAGCTTGCGGCTATGGTACGTGTCCCTGCCAAAGCTTTGATAAGCTCTGTCAAGACCTGGAACGATTTCGTGAGTTCTGGTGAGAAAATCGACCCTTTGACAAATAGGGTCGACTTCACAACCCACAAAATCACAGATCCCCCGTTCTACACATCGCCCTTGGTTCCTGGGGTCAGCTTGACATGTGGAGGGTTCCGTACCACAACATCTCTGCAAGTCATTGACGTGTTTGGAGAGCCGATTCCTGGCCTCTTCGCCGTGGGAGATGTGGCGGGTGGGTTCACACCTACCGCCGAAATGGGCGGCACTCACCTTGGAGGAGGATTTGTGCACGGCTGGAGAGCAGGTAAAGCCGTGGCAACCGGACAATTGGCCAAAAACCACCATAGAGAGGGCGGCACTTTTGGACAGTTTGTCCCTCAGAAGGCGACGTTGGAGTTGAAGATCCCGATCATTAGTGGCGTTGCGACAGCGGAGCAGGCATCTGGGTCAAAAGCCCGACTGTAACTGCGTTGGACACGTAGAGCAAATAGATCGGAACTCTCAGACTGCTCATTCATTGATCTTGTGTTGCTCATAGCTTGGGGACTGGCGAATTGGTGTGGTCTGATACTAGCAGTTTCTGATCTGTCCATTCAGTCAAATTTAGGGGACATCAATCCATGAACTCTCCTTGTAAAGCGAACCTCAAGCGGGCGATGCTGAGCCGAAGTTGAGCAGGCTAGCGGGCCAATCCATGCATGAAGTGGGAGGCTGAGATTTGGGAGCCGAATTCGTGGTCGGTTAAGCTGAATCCGAGCCTAGCCCATCAGATAGTGGGGGGATTGGGGAATTCTGCCGTAGGGAATTCGTATAAGATTAGTTTGTTGATCGCGTTCTGTTCTCGTCTAGACTGTGGGAGAGGTTCTCAATCGATATGCCCCTTCTGTCATTCCCTCTGCTGTCACTTTTTTGCCTCCTTTTGTTCCCATTTCCAGTTCTCGACGATACTTCGTACGATCGCAAGTTCGACAGAAGGCCAGAATGCAGGGCCACTTGCCCCAGCGACTACTTGCTTCACATTATCTTCCATTTTCCTGCAGCCATGCTCAGGTGCAGCTGCGGGCTTTACTGACTGGTCATAATATTTCGCGAAGCAAAAGACGGATAATGAGATTCAGTATAGCGACGCGTGTCCAAATCAGATTTTCAGGGCGCCCTGTGACAACAACAGTCCAGTCGTCTCTTTCATTCATCTTCGTCGCCCATTTTCGCGTATATAGAAGGATTCGAAGAGGGGAAAGGCCTGAGGACACTAGTAAGATAGTCACCTTTTCTAGATCAATATCTTCCGGAAGCCAGAGCAATAGACTTGACTCAGAAATACAAAGTCCGTATTTATACTTAAGTAAGCAATAATACTGCCCCACACTGCTTGACTATAGCTTCGTCGCTGCTAGGTCATGATCTCGACCTAGAAGTTCAAGCTGTGTATCGAGAGGATTGTTGTCGAAGACTTCATCCAATGGTGGAAAGCCCCTATATAAATCTCATTCCCTGCTGAAACCCCAATCGCCAAGTGACATGACGTACCTAAATGCCTCCGAACAAACATTGGCTTTCCTATTTCCAGTTGATTCTGGATTGCCTGCGGAACAACACGAGTGTCGGAAACTCTCCAGGCTAGATCCTTCGCTACAATGCAAGCCCATGCAAGAAATGGCCGAAGGATCGCACAGACGGGGAAGCCATTACCTACGCTAGGTAGCACTGCAAAGCGTGATATTGCAAATATCGTCGGGATGATGGATTGATTCGGCCTTTACTACGATGTCTTCTGGTATACTCGAGATGTTGTTCTCCACCTGCCGGAGAAGTTTCGCGATTTACGCCAGTATATTGTTCTCGCCGTTTTCGAAGCCTCCCTTCATATATCAATGATATTTGATAGATGATGGGTATATATACTGTTCAAGTCGAGTAAATTTTGTGTTCAAGCACTAACTCGACTCCCTTGTGAGCGTGATTATGCATGGCAGCCTCCTACCACTATGTACGGCTTGTAGAAGAACCATTTTGCATTCCGAAGGCCTCTGGCCTGGAAGTACACTAATCCGGACTCATCCACGATAATGTCGATGCATGCGTTGCTGACCGTTCCATTGAACCTAGGTTGGTGGTTGCGGCCCACTGATCCAACACCACCGGACTGCCGGTGAGTGTGAAGTTCAGCACCGCTTGCGTGGGCACGTCAAGCAACAATCCGTAGTCGCCAGGGTATAGGACTGTGTTGCCCTGTTCGTCATGACGGGCTAGACTGTCTAGCGTGAGCTGCAAGGTTGCCGTGGATGTGGCTCCGCCCTTGACGGCCAAGAGGCGCTGGAGTGGTCGCAACTAGATATAAGTGACGAAATATCGTAGGTCGACTGGCCCGGCTGAAGGGGAGATATACTGAAACTCGTATAGTAGAGACCATACCCAAATGGGACAACCGCGTTGTCGTACCATTTATAGATACGTCTAGGGTTGCCGGACGTCGCGTTCGGTCGAAGGCCCATATCCGAGATAGCCACTTGGTTGACGTAGTTTGCGGGATGCTGCGTAATGGGGAGGCGTCCTGCAAGCGCAACTTCACCGGTAATAATGTTGACAAGGGCATCGCCGCCAGCCATACCTAAGTACCATCCCCAGAGGACCGCGGAGACGTTGGGATTCGACAACAGCACAATGTCGTCCAGCTGACCGCCTCCCATTTGAAACACAATAATGGGTATCCCCAGCGATGCAGCTAAATTGATGGGTTCGAGAGTCGTCGCCGGCCAGGCAATGGTATATCGGTCATGTTCTTCAGCCTTGTCGCTATTACTGATCCCATCCGCTACTATGATGAAGTCGGCTGCCTTGCATGCAGCTAGGGCATCATTCCAATACCAGGTGTTGGGTGATCCAAACTCATTGCTGCTAAGGACATTACCATGAGGAAGCTGCTGTAGTGCGTACAGTGGTGAATGTAGATATGGTGCTATGCCCGAGTAACTACCTAGCATTTCGGTGGTAGCATTAGCCCAGCCGCCTATTATAGCGATGTTGGTATTGGTGTCTGCGGGCAATGATATTGGGAGAACACCGTCGTTCTTAATGAGGACGATGGCTTCTTCCGCGGCTTGGAGGGCCAATGCTTCCGCCGCAGAGTTGAGATATTTGACCAGTCAAGTGAGTGATATGGGTTAGCCGAAGGCAGATCAAAGGATCCTAGGTTGATTAGAGCCGAGTATAGACGGACAAGGGATTTGTCGATATCGCTTTCGTGAATGAGGCCTGCTTCGAGTGCGGTCGGAAGCATTAGTTGATAATAGTCGCCCTATTGATTATATCAGTAGACAGTGCGGTAAACAGGCAGCGACATAGGCAATCTAGATCCACACCAGCTATTAATGTATCGGCCACGTCTTGCAGTCCTGTCGCCGTATAATGATGATACGCATCAGCGTTCTCGATAGCGTCACAGTCCGAGGCCATATATTGTCCGCTCCCTGTCCAATTCCAATGCTCCCGCACAATAGTCTGGAGGATATACGGGTCTGCGCATGTCAGGACCCCGTTAATTGCACTGTAGGAGTACATAATGGACCTAGTGTCGTGTCAGCATTGGAGACCTATCGTAAGCTTATGGTCATTTGCACTTACCCTATCCCGGCAACTCTAGCACATGTTTGAAAGGGCTGTAGGTAGTTCTCTGCCAGATCTTGCGTGGATACGATGGCATTGAAGCCATATCGATCAATGGACCCCGTCTGATATAGATGCCGGATAGAGGGGCAGGTGTAGCCGATTGCAGTGGGTCTATTTAACTCTGGGTCTGTTACTTAGGGAGTGCTCAGGGAGCGCTGAGTGATGTTCGGCACATGGCTCAGTCAAAGCTCAAATTAAAGCGGCCTTTGCTCGCCCACTAGGATCAAACCGTATATGGCAATTGGGTTTTTCGTTGTCGAGTAATCTAATTAGGTAGCTTGTGCCGCAGTGCCAACAGGTCCAGATTTTGCCCAATCGGGCTAGTCCAGTACTCAGGACGAAGGTAAACAAGGGTAACTTTGTCAAATGCCAGCCCAGCAGCGTAGGCCCTTGCGAGCTAGGTTCAACAATGAGCCTACTGGGATTGCCGTCTACCGTGATCTGCAACAGGCATTGTTATGAAATGCACGACGGCTTTCTTAAATCTTCATGAAGTTTTCTATCCATTTATCTTTTGCCTCATCAGCAGTTCTTTCTCTTATATACATCTGTGGCCTGTGTCTTGAAGCCTTCCGGAGAGCCCTTGAAAAGGGGAAAAATTCCTGGAAACGCCCCTAAAGCACTGCAGACGTGTCACTTCCACGCTACCACCGCCTGTAGCCAGGTCACATAAAGCCTGATTAAAGTAGCAATGGAGCCATACAGAACGGATACGAAGGCTGGGTGTAGTGTTGGGGTTGAATACCAAAGAAAGATCCAAAAATTAAAACTTCTATGTTGACCCTGCCGTGGTTCTTCCTCTCCCCCTTCGTCCTTTACCTTTACCTTTCTATCCCAGGACTGAAGGTGTGCAGCTTGCTAAGTCTGAACCCTGCAGTCGACTAACCTGACAATCCGCAGTTCCACGGGACTACACTGAGCCGCCCAATTCTCAGTGTATAGGTTATAAAAGTCGCCACTGAGACACTGCCAGAAAGTGGTGGTTCCGCCGAGCGCAAGCGTGCGTATACCGTCCTCGCCATTGTCAACGTTGCCGCCGCCCTGAGGGCCAGAGGAGCTTGTGGTGTTAGTGACGGGACAGATGCTCCACCCGCTAGTATAGATGGCGCCGGACTGGGGCGGGCCGTCGAATTGGAACTGGTAGTTCGACGCGATGTAGCCGGTGCGATTGAATGCGTCGTAGAGATTGCTGTTTATCAGAGTGAGGCGGAGTGTCGAGTTTGTGAGACATGATACCATGGATAGGGTTTGCGATTGCGTCGGATCTGATGAAGAGGAAATGGACAACGACGGCGACGCTGCGGAGATGGTACTACCACTGTTGAGGGAGGCCGGAGTTGACGACGAGGCCTGGATGGGTAATGTGCTGGGATCAAGGGCCGACGATGGCGGTGGTAATAAGGCTGTTGGGCTGGGGCTGGGGCTCGGGCTCGGGCGAGTTGAGATGCCGCAGGCCTGTTCAAGCACAGTCGGCGGCTTGCTCGGTACAGCAGATGGATTTACCGCTTGTGGAGGAAAGGGAACAGGAACAGCAACATTCGAACTCGGGGCTAGCGATGACGCCGTTGCCGGTGGCTCCATCGTAGCAACATCAGGCACATCTGTAGCGACGAGGCCTTGAATCTGCCCGTCACTGATCTGAGACGCGGGATCCACAGGAGTCACAATGGTGATGGTCGCCGTGTGCATTCCTCCTTGGACCTGACCGTCGCCGATCTGGGAGACGGAGCCCATGGTCAAGACCGGAGCTGGCGGCTGTTGTCTCGGCCGCAGTTTTCCGGCAGCAGCATTGCCGGACTCTGAAGGCGAGGCAGGTAAAGAGATATTGATCAGTGCAATACCAAACACACCAGGAAATGTGCCTGTGCATCCCGGTGGTGGGGGTTGTAGTGGAGCTACTACTGCCGTCACCGCTTGTGGTTGTGCGATCGGCGATGCATGTACCCAGGTGTGAAAAAGGAAGAAGAAAAAAAAAGTGTGGATCATACTTTGTTGAGATATCATTTGTGGAATATGAGGGAAAGGTCAGCGTGGAGTCGAGTTGTTGAATTGGAGAGAATGAGGTTCGAGGAAATTGATGATATATGTACCTTTGGGAAAGGCATGTTCGAGGACTCACCTCGTGCTAAATCCTCCGGCTGGAAAGTGCATATTGGATGCATAAGGCTGGCTGTGAGTCCGTGCGGCATCTAGAAAGCACCCCCAGGAATGCGAGGCTCTGAAAAACGGATGAGGCTGGCGTAAATGTTGAGGCAAGGCTGGCAAGATCCAGGAGGTGGCCGGAGATCAACCAGGAATGTGCCAAGGCTCGAGGTGTAGAGGTCAAAACTCCATCTCGACAGACGCCATGAGTGTCCTGTAATGATTCATCATTCATGAATTCGTATGTAATAACACAAAGCTGCCAGTGTTATATGATTATCCAACACCTCTCAGCAAGCAGCCGGACATAGTCGAAGCCTCAGAATTTCCCAAGAACTGAAAGCAAGGACTTTTTTGAACTCCCATCACCCCATCGATGCCCTAGAAAAAGAAGCTGTTGTACAATCGTTCAACCATTAAATACATCCCCGTCATCGCCCATAGGCGTTCCAGGCGTGAAGTCCCGCCCAGCATCATCCACATCGTCTCCGTTCCTGTCTTTACTGCCGGCTTCTTCCACAACCTTGGTGGCTGATTTCACAAGCACTCCCCGGCCTGTCAATTTATCCCATGTCTCATCCTTCCTTGCTAACCGTTCACGAGAAAAACTCAGCCCGTCAAGCTGAATCAGATTTTTGCAGTGCGCCGCCAGCAATAACTCGATTGTACGTCGCTTTAGGCCTGTTACTTCATCAAGCACCTTCGTCCAAGACGCATCTTCTGTCTCCGACCCGTCGGGCAGATAGTATCGTGCCAAGTCTGAATTTGCCACTTTAGCAGACGCAGGACTATAGAATCCTACAGTCAGAGGATTTTCGCGGAGGTCGATGTGCTTCAGCGACGGAAGCCTAGACATGATCAGGCATGTTCGCCTCAGCTTGTGCACCCGATTCTTCGCCAGCAGCAGCGTATTCAAATGCACCAACTTTCGTAATGGATCAACATCTTTGATGGCATTGAAATTCACGTTCAAGTGTCGGCAATTGGGAAAGAATAGCCCAAACCGTTCAGGAAGCTCCGAAATGCCACAGGCTGCGATCTCCAGTTCCCGGAGATTATTTTGAGGCGATGACGGTAATTTCAATGTCCCCTTAACCACCAAGTTTGATGATAGACGGATCTGCCGGCACTCGTTCGGTGTGGATAGGACTAGATCGACAATATCCGATTGCTCTTTCTGTTCTCTAAGGGACAAAAATTCCAGGTGGTATGCCGACTGAAGCCCCTGAATATCCTTAATTTTGTTATTGTCAAGATCCAGATGTCGAAGAGCTCGCATATGCTTCAAAGCAATCAACTCTAGTTCGTTGTGGACTAGTCGTAGCTTCTGTACCGGAATGTTCTTGTCCCCACCAGCCGTGGGGAAATTCTGCAGAGCATTGTGAGAAAGATCAAGGTCTTCGAGGGCAGGCAGAGAGCCGAGATTCCTAACTTCTTCCAGTTTGTTGTGGCTAAGGTCTAACGCCTTTAGTCGCCTTAGATCACAACCTTCAAAATCAGCTCTTGTTAGGTCGTTGCCGCTGAGTTTGAGTTCAAGGAGACCGTCCAGATCCAAGACGCCGTCGATGTTCGAGATCCGATTGTTGTTGGCATTCAGGCTCCGCAGATGAACTAGCGAACTGAAACATTCCAAGCTTTCCAATTGATTCCCAGACACATCGAGATACTGAAGATTATGGAGATGACTCCACGAAGTTAGGTCATTAACCAAGTTCTTCTGGATATCAAGAATCCGCAAGGTAGACGGCAAGCCACCCAACTGGGAGATTTTGTTGCCGGACATACTCAATTCTTCTAGACATGGACAGTAATCTTTCAGACCATGAACAGAGGAGACACTGCCTGGTGCAAGCGTCATTCGGTGGAGTTGGTCCCAGAATAGTTCGTCAGGTGCCGCGTCTGTGATGGCCTTGATGAGCTCATCCACAACTAACGCTAGTGAGCCATGAGCTTGCCGTAATGCATTCGGATGTCTTCTCTCGTCAACATAGCTCTGGTCGGGATCCCCGGGTTTGTCAACTTGGTGCAGGGAAAAGTCTGATAGTGGAGTTAAGCAAAGAATGCTTGAAGCTTTATTGCTCGTCTTTTGCAGTTTTGCCATGGTCTTGGGTGGCGCCGGTGTTACCACATTCGAGTGTTTGACCTGGACAAGGCTCATCTGGGGCTGAATATGTTCTTCGTCGTCCTCTACAATAGGAGATATTGTCCGAGGCTGAAAGGTGACGACCCGTTCCTGACTGAGCAGCCGCATTTGATTACTCTTTTTGAAGGAGTCTCTGGAAAGAGGCACCATAACTGTTGGCGGCGACTCCTGCTCACGGTGTCCAACATCAAGATCAATTTCTGAATCATCAAGGGGAAGGTCCTCTTCACGTGGCAGGTCGTCGAAATCGTCCTCGCCAAGATTTGCGTAATTGACCCCAGAGACAATCGGGGACGAAAACGCAATCGTAACGGCTCGAGGTTGCTTCCGATCGTCTTTGAGCTGACTCGGAGGCTTGGACGGAACGCCACTATGGAGCTTGGCTTCGTGCGCTGAAGCCTTGGAGCGGAGGGAGCTCTGGTCAATCTCCTCCATGTCCTCCTCGGCTGCGATTTTGCACTGAGGTTCGGCACTTACGGGGTTGGCGCCTGGGTCCGGTAAGCGACGCAGTGAAGCTTGAGAGTCATCTCTGGCGTCAGGTGCATTGACACTAGATATCATTTCTTTCTGGTCCGTAGCCTCCTTGACATGTCGGGTATTAGACTGCAGTTCCCGTTGCTCATCAATACTCAGGTCAGGGATGTCCTCGAAAGGGTCGTCTTCGGTCAGCGTTTGCCGGTCCTGTCTGCTCATCCGTTTGGAGTCGTCATTTGTAGATGCCTTCTTAACCCATACCTTCTTGTCGTGATCGAATGTCATTGCACCAACGCGGTCAGGAATCGATACGGTACCGGAAGAAATGACACCCTTTTGACCAGATGCGGATGATCTTGTAGGGAAAGACTGCTGAGTTGAGCTGTGATTGGAATGTTGAGTGTGGGCCATATGATCCTGTGTCCAGTCCTGCTGACCGTCTACTGTGGAACTCGAATACTTGCGCTTTCTCATGGTCTCGGTTGCATTTAGAATGCGCATGTTCGGCGGATGGCTCTCTTGCAACTCTTCCAGAGCCGCGGCTCCGGTTGCTTCGCTAATAATAACATTGTTTGCTGGTGCAAGAGTGCCAAACACTGAAGTACTGCCCAGAGCGTCCATATCGTCTTCGTCGCGGTATTTGCGCAAATAGCTCGCTGTTCTCGAGTCATGGCGTGCGTGACGGCGGTCCTGGGCGGGCCGTGGCACATGCTCTCGGGACGGTGGCCGAGAAAAATCATCCTTGGTAGAGTCTGCATCAATATCCAGATCAAGTATGGCATCTGGATTCAACTCTGACACTTCAGCGGGTTCAGTGATGTTTGGCAGAGCAGCAACAGGCTTAGGCTTCCCTCGAGAACGAATGAATTGCATAACTTTGTTGGCTTCCTCCATGTAGTCCTTGGTGGCGAGCGATGCTTTGCGTGAATCACTGTTCGTCTGAGCTGCCTCCTGTGCAAATGAGGCCAGTTCTGCGGCCAAAGCCTCGGTGAGATCTTCGTTAGCTGGTTCGGGGGCCGTCTCTTGGTCAGCACCTTCGGCACCTGGTACTAAGGTGGCACGGGTGACAGAAGGGGTCCTTCTCGCCGATTTTGGTCTCGAAAGGTCGCGTGAAGCGAGCACTTTTGGATCTGGCTTGATCCCTTCATCATCAGGCCCAGCATCCGTTTCCTTCTTACCCGCATAGGTGGTTGCTTCACCGAGCTCGGCGATTTCAACTTCAATCTCATTGTCTGGCGGGCGCACTTGATCATTGACCTGTGTCTTGCGTCGTTTAGTTGTTCTATCCTCCTCGATGTGACCGATGATCTCTTCCCGTTCTTCGTTTCCTTGACTTAGTTCAATCCCGACACCTTCCGGGATCGATTCAGGAATATTCGCAGCCTGCGTCGAAACAGGTTGGAAGATTCTATCTTCTGGCTTCACTATTGTTGGCTCAATGGGGGATGGCCTTCGGACGTTTTGCTCAAAGCCGAATCCATCAAGCTCACCCTGACCGAATTGGCTCATACGAAACTCGGTCTCTTGGGCTTCATCTGCTAGGGAGGGAACGCCAACTCTCTCGCAAGAGTCTTCAGGCTCCTCGAAATGGCTCAAAATACGCATCAGCTTATTGTTCGTGTACGTGTCTCGATTTCCGAACAACTTCAATGGGCTTCCAGAAGAGGCGGGCCGGTTATGATTGTCTGGATGGTGGATAATACTGGTGTCCTGAGGCGTTGTTGGAGCGCTGGCACTGAGCTTACTCTGATCTATACTGTCGTCGAGAAGACGGGAATTCTGAGGCGGCGAGCTGTGAAAATGGATGTCAGCTCGCGAGTTTGGTTCCATTTGCGAAGGCTCTTGGCTCAAGCTGAGGCTTTTGCGGAGGAATGAGGCCTCATTCGAGCGGCCCCCGCGTCGCGAATTGATGAAGCCCCCGTGTGAGATGAAGTCTTGTGTACCCATAGACAGGTCATCGGGTAAAGATTGGGAGGTCAAATCAGGTAGTGGTTCGTCTTTGAAACGTTCTTCCTTGTCCTGCTTCCTCACATAACTGATGTGACTGTCGCTCAAGCTCGACCCAGGACGATCTTCCTCCTCCAGGGCAGCGCTTTGTAGTTTGCTTTTCAATGCCTGTATATCAACATCGGCTCGCAACACTGTATCGCGGATTGAATTTTGCTTCGATACTGTGACCGGGCTGATGAACTCGTTTCGCAATTCTTCTTGACCACTGATCGTCCTCCATCGTGGATCTCGCGCATCATAGCCTTTCGGCGATGATGGGGTGGAACGACATTTGTCAACACGCTCGAGGGACTGGACTCGCTGCTTCACCAAGCCTCGGAGGGACCCAGTTCTGACAAGGTCAGACGATACCGCAGACAGGTTTTGTTGCTCCAGCTCGTCTTCCTCATTGACTTCTTCCAAAATCTCAAGATTCACACGACTTCTGTTTGTTCGATAGCTGGAGTACTGTTCGGGAAAGGGATTGGAGGCAGGCAGGTTGAAAAGCTTCCGGCTCAAGCTAGTTTCTTGTTGTTCAACGCTGTCGCTCCGTAATTGTGAGGTGTTTGGCAGTTTAAAAACGCCTTCTAGTTTAGAGGGTGAGAAGAGGTCGAAGCCGTCGCTATTGATGTCTTCCCCTGCTGCAAGCCGTCTCTTCCATTCTGGTGTCTCTACCAGAGAAGGCTTCTCGCGGATGGAGTGATGTTGCACTGAATTCTGGGATTCTGAGAAAGTATTTGATGTCCGGCGCGGCAGGCTTGAGTATTTCTGTGAATCCGAGGCAGCAGGCAGGTTCAGACGGGAGGCACTGCGTTCGCGCAGGATGGATTGGGCGCTCTGGCGAGCTTGTCCGCGAGTTGAGCGATGTCTCAGAAAGCTGCCCGCCGACGAGTCTTTGCGGATGTTGTTTGCGAGGTGCGGAATGCGGCTCTGCGAGCGGTTGAGAGAAGGCGCAGGCGAGGATGAGCGGTGTTCAGACTTCCAGTCTTCGGAAAGCGAGTCGAGCCATGGCTCCATTGTATATGCGTCGTGATATTGGGGAAGTGGAGGTAATGGCTGAATGAAATGCGGACCAAGTGGTGGGAGAGAGTGTGTGTGCTAATAATGGTTCGGATCGCGTGTGGGAGCGCAAGTCAATGCTCAAGAAGGCGTCCCGAGTATCGCATACAGGGAAACGATGTAGACTGTAAGCATAGCGAAGTGGCTGTTGGACTATCCGAACTATCATAGAGCAGGCGGGACATAAGTGGTTGATCTCTAAGAAATTGGAGCACGACGCGCTGTGATGGTGGATGGTTGGTGTGTGTGTGTGTGTGTGCGTATGCGTGTGTGCTGGTGTGTCTTCCGATACATTTCTCCGCGCTCCGTATTCTGTTGCCCCACAATACCATCAACACCATCAACACCGTTAACACCATTGACACCATTAACACCACGCAGCCTTGTTGCTAGGCAACCACCAACCTACTCATCCGCCATCACCACCACCACCTCCACCTCCTCCACCCCCACCATCAACCACGCTGTGTTCGCTCCGTTCCCAATAGATACGTATTTCCCCAGTCGGAATACTTCGACCACGTGTCCAGAGAATTCAAGGCAAGTCAATAGCTGCTCGGTCGCCCGCGAAACTTGAAGTCCTAGGCACCCTCAAGCCCACAGGCAGGCAGCTATCACCACGTCTTGAAGGAGTTAACGCAAGAATACGAGGATTCCGCAAGACACGCTCCTCGGGCATTCTGTCGCAACATGTCATATCTTCCTAGAGATGCCATCGCCCTCACCGGTGGCTGCTATTGCAAAGCCATCCGATACACCGTCAAAGTCCCAGCCTGGGAAAACCGCCCTGCTGTTCCCGGCGCCCTCGAGACTCCCATCTCGCCCACCGAAAAGGTTCAGACTCGATTACCATTGATTGATCTTGATCACTGCGGTAATTGTCGCCGTCAAGCTGGCTGTATGATCCAATGTTGGCTCATAGTCCCAATTGACTGGGTGGAATGGGATCTACTACGGAAAGAAGCCACAGGTAGCCAGCAAGCGCTTCATCTATCTACACGCGAAGCAGTTGGACCGCTCAAAGAGGGCGGGAACTCAACCTTGACCTACGTATCCCGCTTTAGTTGCACTGACAGAGCGACGAGGACTTTCTGTTCGCGTTGCGGCACAAACCTGTCATATTTGAGCACCAAATACCTGGATACTCCACAAGCATTTGTCGATCTGACAGTTGGTAGCCTGGATCCAGAAGCTCTCGAATTGGCGAAGCCAGACCGACATGGCTGGTGGGATTTTGGTGTTGACTGGATCAAAGCACTGCTGAGAAAGGGCGACGGCGGGTTTCTGATCCGACACCAGACGGGTGACGTGTCCCGAGCTGTGGAAGATTAAACACAATGCAACTGTCCCTCCTGGCTGTGGCCCGGGCTTGCATCCCTTGAAGCCCGCCATATCCGTAGCAATATTAGCATGTGAACCAAAAGAGGAATCTGGCTGTCGAACGGTCGAAGAGAGGCGTGAGAAATTGCCCGGTTCGGACATTTGACAGACGACGAGAAGGCGCGAAGGATTGATGTCGTTTGAAAATAGTCTCCTACAGTGGTTCCCGAAACCACCCTCCGCTCTCCAGATTTATTGCCAACTTTCTAATTACCGACGGTCTCTTCGTACTTTTGGCAATTCAGACGGCGTATACTTGTTGTCGGAATTTCTGATTAATCCACGAATCATTGCTGGGTAACCCATCGATGACGGTCAGCCTCATCAACTTATTAGTTGGGGGAGATGATGGCATTCTGGCAATTGCGTCTGCGATAATGTTCCAGCTTGCGATCAGCATGCTTTTCCATTTTGGCGGCGATTGGTGGTACCTCTTCCAAAGTACAGTCAACACAGTATGGCGATGGCTTTAATGCACTCGGTACGGGGTATGTAGCCTTTGCTCAAACTCGCCACTGCCTTCCCAATACACACTACTACTCTCAATTCCAAATCTTGCTTCGATAGATGGGTTGTCACTTACTGCCAACTTATCATCAGATGCGGCAAATGCTGGTCAAGGAAGAATCTGACTGCTACACAGGTAGTAAGTCTTAATTTATTTTGGCTAGGATCGTTCGATTGTGACATCGTCTCGATTGTTCCGATCAAGGCCAGGCTATTGCCAGTTCAACATCAGGCACACGAAATGCTCTGCAGGACACTAAACTCCTTGTGCACGTTCTCAATGCTGCGACGAAGGTCAATTTCCGCACTTGTATTCGAAATTCCGGTAGCCAACTGCCAAAATGGCAGAGGTCTGATCCCTCCAGGAGGAAGACTGATCCCCACTGCAACAACGCCCCAGAGCATCGTTCCAACTATATCTGAAGCACCGTCAGCCAGCCGCGAATTGGAGCGAGCGGCGGAGAGGCTCGCTAAAAGTGCCCGGGCGATGTTAAGAGCATTTTCCCGCGAATGTTTTCGCGTAATGATGAGGCTGAGCAGCACCGCGAAATTTTGATTGTTCCATTTCATTGGGTCAGGGGTACCCCAAAGCTCTCTTAATCTCCATGCTGTCACGTACATCAGTGATGTCATACTAGAGAATGGGTACGGTCTGTCATTTGCACATACCACGTTCTTTGATCCCGGGGTTAGAAAGATCAGTGTATCCAATGTCAACAAACGACTCAACGGATCTGCTGAGCTGTTCCGCATTGTAGTGATACGGCGAGAACCCGTCTTTCTCAAGGACAAAGTATGTTTCGATAGGTTGGGGTTCCTTTTCAATGACGCAGACGGCCCAGTTGGATCCAATTTGAACATTTTCGAGCAGATCTTTGCTGCTCTGTGAGAACCAACTGTTCCAGTTCAGAATGCTCCGGGCCTGATTACCCCTGAACGAGACAATGCGAAGCAGACGAGGCGTAGGCTGGGGAGAGTGACAGGGCTCTATGATCGGGGACATGAGAATATGAAGTTGCAAGTTGAAAGAGCAAATCTGACAACAGAAAATAAATAAGCATTCGACTCACCTGTTTGGATCAATCCTCGGATTCTACCATGACCGACAGGATTCCCGATTGTGGTTGCAGAAGAGCGGCGCACCATCATATATGTATTAGCGGTGATGAGGGAAGGGAGCAAATTGGGCTTCTTTGTGTCCAATCTTGAGAGTCATCGAAACCAGAGAAACCGCAACGGGTGACAACAGGAGGGGAAACAAGGAGGAAGGGGGAAGATCCTAGAGCGAGGATGGAGATCTGATCATACTTCAGGGACAATCGCCACCAATAAATAAATGATAAACCTGTAAGGTCAACAACCACAACCCTTGGACTTTCACAAAGGAGGGAAGCATTGTGTCAAATCCTTCCTTCGCTAAAACTGCAGCTGGAACAAATGCCAAAAGGTCAACGCGCAGGACAAAAAAGCAGAGGGAAAATCGACAGGGATCTCTGTGGACAGAGTTCGCGTCTTGGACACGCCTCCACGGGGGATTGCATCTTCAACAGGGTTTCGTGAGGGTTTTATTGGGCAGAATCCATCTCACCACCACTTCTGTTGCTCACACCGCCTGTGCCGTGTCCAGGGCAGTTTGCAAATTAGCAAGTTGACTTGTTGCAGATTGCGCCCAATTCTGGTCATGCGAACAGGTTCAGCAGACCTGGGGCCGGGGAGCCAAGTTGATCGGTTCGCATGCGGCTCTGACAATTTGTTGGCCTGGATTTCGGAGGGGAATCCTAGCTACCGATTTTGACCGAACAGTCGCTCTGATGCCAGTGGATGGGGGCCGTTGGGTATGGGCCTAGCCAGCGGGATTGCTCAAAATGAGGCTCGCAACGAGTTCACCGAGTCGCTGATGTTAACTCAAATGCATGAGTAACCACTTCACAATAGATCAAAGTCACAAATTAGGCTGGAGGCATTTCCACAAACTCTAGGAGCAGTCGCAGGTGCGGGCTCCCCTCCTTCGATGCCTTCCCTTCGCCAAAGCAAATAAAATGGTAGAATTGCTCCCTCCGCGTTGGTCTGACTAGCGAGGTTAGAAGCCCTCGCCAGCCCGTAAATGCGGCCGTCGTCGCCTCTTATGAAGGTTCGGGCATCGTTCGGGCCTAGCACTTAGCCTAATAAGTGTGGAGCTTTTTATTTTCGGGAGGCCGAAGACGTGTGCCACCGCGTCGCGTCGCGTGTGGTATCCTCGATACTATGGTCTCCTTGTTACTCTCCTTTTGATTGCATATCCCACTTTCTCCGAGTGAAGTAACTACTAGAAAATGCTAGCATATCAGGGAGAAAGGCCGAAAGCGATGTTAATATGGAGATATATCTAGAAATAGCATAAATCGGTCGACACTCCGCGACATCAACGAACCTTTTCAAATTCCAATTGATTCTACAGGGCAAAAGGACTCCACACCAAATATTCCAGGCTCATAATCTTTTACCTCAGTATAATGCGAATTCTCAAATCCCCGAAGGCTAGGAGTACTAGCAAGATCCCACATCTTGAGCGTGGTAGATCTCAATACCATTATTGCACGTTCAAATCCATGGTGTTTCGAGTGGTGGATGCGCCCACAACTGTTAAAGGCTGAGGCCACCAAGGGTGGTATGGACTACTCGTTGGGCGGTGCACTTCGGACCTTCCAATACAGCATTTCGGCAGTATTAGAGATACTCCGTACTGTTATCTATTATAGAGCAGATCAAGAGCAGATCAAGAGCAGATCGACTGCTTACTGTACAGAGTAGTCATGTTTGGATTAACAATAGACTATTGCTGATTAGGCATAGCGTTGAGCACATGTTTTGAGAGCCGGTTTCGGGGTCGAATGCAGTGAACCTGTCTCTTCCTTTGCAGAGCCGACCTGGAACTCAACCACCCAACCGCGAAACGGGTCACCCTCCGCCTACCTCAGGCACCACCACTCCCAGGAATGATCGAGCAGGATGTGACTCTGCAAGAAGCTCCCCGAGAACTACCCGTGACCTCGCTATGGACTCGATCGCTCATCGTCCGTAAATCCCTCCTCTTCTTCATGCCGGACCAAACTGTATCAGATTTCTGACGACGCGGTGATATAACAGGCAGGCGCCTTCGCCGGCCTCACGGTCGACTTTTCCCTGTATCCCCTAGACACGATCAAGACACGGCTGCAGTCTAATCTGACGAGCACGAGCAAACATGCATCCTCCACCGTCCTCGCCCGCCATACCCTCCAGGGGACGCTGCGGAGCATGTACGCCGGGCTCCCCTCGGCGCTGCTAGGGTCAATGCCGTCCGCTGCGTCCTTCTTCGTCGTCTACGACGGTGTCAAGAGATCGCTGATCGATCCAACAACAACACAGCCATCTCCGCACCAGGCCTATGCGCACATGCTGGCCTCGTCGCTGGGGGAGATCGCGGCCTGCGCGATCCGTGTGCCGACCGAGGTCGTCAAGCAGCGCGCCCAAGCAGGCCTCTTCGGCGGCTCAGCCCTGCTCGCACTGCAGGACATATTGGGACTCAGAAAGACAGACGGTTACGCGACCATGGTCCGCGAACTCTACAGGGGCGGCGGCGTGACCATCATGCGCGAAATCCCCTTCACCATCACCCAGTTCAGCCTGTGGGAATACTTCAAGGCCTCCTACTCAGATCGCCAGCACAGACTCGCCGGCCGCCACGAGGGACAGGTCACGGCTGCGGAAAGCGCAGTCTTCGGCAGCGTCGCAGGCGCCATTGCCGCAGGGTTTACGACCCCGCTAGATGTGCTGAAGACGCGAATCATGCTCGCTCGCAAGGAGGCAGGTAATGCTACTGCTGGGTCGTCGTCCTCCTCCTCATCCTCCGCTCGCGCCGGGCCCGCGAGAGTCCTGCAGCAGATATGGAGGGACGAGGGCGCCGCGGGCCTGTTTCGCGGCTTCGTGCCTCGTGTCGGCTGGATCAGCACTGGAGGTGCCATATTTCTGGGCACGTATCAGTATGTGTGGAATCTCCTGGGGCCTGAAGAGTCTTGAAGAACCTAATTTTTTGGAGGGGGGGGCCCAGCTCAATGTGTACCCTCCATCGATCCCATCATGTCTTTGTACATTACATACCTAGAGGCATTGCAAGTTTCGCACTGGAAAAACGGAAAAGCATACTAAAATTCAGACCCTGTGTATGTAATTCTACAAGATATCGGTTTTTGTCGGTTCTTGTTGTTTTCTGTCTTTTTCTCTTTGAAAGCAAAATGTCGACCGGCGCTCGCTTGCAGCATCCAACACACCCATTTTATCGTCTCAACAACGGTCTCTCATCAGGCCCAGATCTCCCAACCAACACGAAGCATCATCATCCTCCATCTAGCCTTGTGAATCCTCCCTTGCGACAGGTGGTCGTGCAGCCTCGATGCGCGCGCTTCCAATAGCTGCAGCCACCAACCCTCGCGTACCTTGATAGATCTCCTGTTCTCGCAATTCCCTCAACTCTATCTATCGCACGACACCCGTCGTCTCCTCACTCTCGACGTCCGTGGGCACCTGCGCAGGATGGGGCAACGTCAACTTCTTCCTCCCGTTACTTTTATAGTACAGCACCACATCGCCACCCGTTCGCCAGACGTGCACGCGAAGCGTGGCTAGTGTTGTGTTGGGGTGGACAAGTTGGTTTTGGCAGTATAGTTCCAAATACTCCTCCGGCTTGAGCTGAGCTTCCGAGCTCTGTTCTGCCTCCGGAGCAGGGGCTATGTCTGAATGCTGGGTCTCAGTGGGTTGTTGCCCCTCCGTCGTGTCGGTAGACTGAGTCGGTTGAGAGGGAGGAGCTTCAATCCTCTCTGCGATGTACGCCATGATTTTCTTTGCGCGGAGCATGCGGTTCGCGTTGAGTCGAGCATTGCCGTCCGGTGAAGCAATGGGCGGGAGCAGATTCTCATAGGGGTGTAACACGAAAGAAACCTTGACGGTGTCTTTGTAAGGGATTTGGTTCTATACATACCACAGAATCAGCGACTCTGATATCTGTAAAGAGGAGACGGAAAATGCTGAGACAGAGAAAGGCACAGAAAGATGACAATCTGGACTCACCCGCAGTAACAAGTCACCCAGCCACATAGGCGCAATCTTCTCAAGTGCATCCACCTCCGCAGGATTTCCCAACTCACTGATCTCCCCTCTGTACTGGTCCGCCAAGCCACCACTTTCGGGGTTGTCCTCCTGGATGATAATCGTGGTGTGCGGTGGCGGACTCAGCACGGGTGTCTCCGTCGGCAGAGAGGGAGTTATCCCCTGCGGCAGCGGTTGATCCGTTTTGGACTCGAGATGCTCATCATACTCTAGGCGGATCTTCTGAACGACACCAAAGAAATTATCTTCGATGTGAACTTTCTCGACATCTTTCTCGGAGGACCGGAGGGATGCGGTGTCAGAAGATCTCTCTTCTGTTGATACGACGGGCGCCTTCACTTCTGCAGAGGAACGGCTGGTCATCTTTTTGGGGAAAGACATGCCCATGCCGAACTTCTTGCCAAAGAGACCCTTTTTCTTCTCCTCGGTCGGTGATGTTGGTGTCGAGAGGGTCCCTTGAGCGTTGCTTTCCGTCAAGGCCGGACCACCCCCGGGTGTTTTGGGGACTTTCTCGCTCTCCGAAGAGGCCTCGGACTGACTGTTAGCCGTAGTATTGGTCGAGGAGAAGTAGTCGACGCTCTGGGATTCCGTCGCTGACGGCGTTGGCTGCACATGAGGAGTTTGCACTCGCGGGGTTTGTGCTCGCGACGACCGAGAAGATGCACCGTTGGGAGTCTGTGCTGTCTCTTCCGCGGTAGGAGGAAGTGTGGTGTTCAATGGCGCAAAGCCTGGTGTAGCTGCGCCGATTGCTAACCCAGGAGTTGCAGGAACCATTGAGAAGCCGTTCGATGCACGGGGAGTCACAACTGTCCCTGGTGATACCATGGGAGTTGTCCCAACAGATTCGGGCAACTTGATACTAGTGGGTGCGCCAGGTCGAACAAGACCACTATGAGGAGCAGTGCTGACTGGATTTTGGAGCGTGCGTCTATAGGCTTCATCTCGAGCAACCTCTTCGTCGATGAGCTTCGAAAACAAGTTGCGGAGCACCCATTTGCCCAGATTGACTGTTCAAGTCATTGTCAGTTCCCGCAAAATAATTGTTTCAGATTGGAATCGTCCTACTTCTCTGGTCCTCGCGAAAGACAAGATTGCTGGGCAAGTCTAGCTCGTCTGCATACACCTCGGCATCAAAACAGTAATTCTCCTCGAGCATAACTGTAATTTTCCCAGTCTTCGTATCCACGCCGCACCAGTTAGCGACGCTTTCAGTAGTGTTGACTTCCGGCACCACTTCATCAAGATGCCGACGGCCAAAAGACTTAATCGGAATACACTGTTTCAATGTCAGATTGCGGTTATCGCCTTCAGGAGAGATGCGTCTTGCCTTTAAAAGGTCCCATAATACCACCTCGCCAGCAGTATCCAATGTGAGTATTCTTTTTCTATCATTTAGCATGACGTGTTTGATGAGCCCGTTTTGCCCTTCGATGGTCTCGGCAGGTTGGCCTCTAATAGGGACCACCAGACTCAGATCATCCGTTATCATAGCCTCTGAAGCCTTTCTCAAATTTGTCGACGATAGATTGGGATGTCTCCCCAGATGCTTCCTACCAGGATGAAGGGCTGTGATTGAGACGCGTAAAACCGCATTGTGAGGAATTCTCTTCCTGTGCTCGACTTCGCCGTTCGTGGTCCCGTTTGTTGTTGCAGGAGGTGAAGATGCTGGGGGCTCGGGGCTCAAATGACTTCGCGCTTCTGGACTTGCAGTCCTTTCCTCACGCGGCGACGCGGGCGGAGTTTCAACCTCGAGCTCAGTATCGACGTCAAGCCAGCGATTGACGCTTGAGCTCGAGGTTGCTGTCCAAACAGAGTCGCCGACAGGCAGTACCCGAGCAATACCGTCGTGTTCTTGACACACCGCGACGGACACCCCGTCATCAATCTCCATTGCCCGTCGAGTATCAGTCTTTGCCACTAGACCTGACTTATCTCCAGAGTAGAACACAGCCAGGTTGGGATCGTCCGAATACATGCACCAAACGCTGTCGCTGTGCATGGTCAGGGTATGGATGCATCGACCGGCCGCAATAGACCAGACCTTGATCGTCTGATCAGACGAAGCAGTGAGGAGTGTATCGCCGTCATCACTGATCAAGATGTCCCTGACATTGTCCGTATGCCCAACAAGCTTGGTTATGCCTTTGCCAGACTTGGTGTCCCACAGTCGAACTACACTCTCAGGCCCTCCACTGGCGAGCAAAGATCCTCGCGCGCGCAGGCAGTAGACAGATCCTTTGACCACATCCTGTACCTTCCCAACGTTGATCTCGAGGTTCTTGCCTCCTCCATTCAAGTCCCAGAGGCAAATCCTGTGGTCCAAGCCTCCAGAGGCGACCCAATTGGATGTTCGGTCGGGCGTTGCAAGGCATTTGATATAGTCGCTGTGAGAACCGATGGTGTATGCTTGCGACGATTCGTGGGCGTGAGGCCGCCACAGCTTGACAGTGACATCCGACGAGGCAGAGACTAATCCAAGATTGTTTTTGACCAGGACAATATCATTGACCCAGTGGGTATGCGCTTGCACCTGCTTGCGGAATGATACACTGCTCTTCTTGTCCTTTGCAGCGTCTGCCCCTTGTTGATTCAATCTTTGTGCCTCCAAGTCCAGATCCCAGGCGCAGATCACGCCATCCCGGCCGCCAGTGTATCTATACCCTTGCTCAGTATTCATTCGTTATGATCGGCTTGAAATGGGGCGGTTGCGCACAGTATGGAACGATCCTCGTCAAAGGCTAAACCGTTCACCCCGAGTCTATGGCCACCTGGCGTACTCGCCAGAGGCAGAACTGCTCTTCATTAGCCATGCATACTCCGTGTGAGCAGGGATGGCAGACCATAGCTGATCCTCTGGCGCTTCTTCTTGGCCATATGCGGGTGATATTGAAGCCGCTTGCTCGATTCTCTAACCTTTGCGACAAACACAACTGGTCTTCCTCAACCGGCCATTTTCGCAGGACAAAGGCAAGAAAACGCTACCGTGACGACGAGTCCACCTCAACTATCCTTCAGAGAGGTTGCAGGAGAATGGAAGAGCTACATCGGCAGATCAGGTAGCACTGGGTATTTAGCCTGCGCCGTTGTGAAGTGCGGGCGCAGTGGACTGCGCATGGCACGCCAGTCAGGAGCTAGTCCTGGAGTGCCTGTTCCAGAAGCTGGGGGGCGGGACAAGGCCGCGGTCGTCCAGATACTGATATTATTACGCACCGGGTTAAATTGACCCGAAGAGGGTCGAGTGGGGAGAAAAGGGTACTTGTGGACTTTCCTTCCAACATAACATACCTCAAAAGGTCTCATTTGTGTTGAACGTGATAAACTGGTATCTACACATAATATAAAGGCACCTCGCAGGTGGCATTTTCAACACTCGGGGTTTCTCCAACACGCATTCCAACAAAGGCCCCTGACAAAAAAAACGTAAGCATCCCATCACCCATCAAGCTCCCTATGCGTTTCATTCTTCCAAAATCTACACAATGCGATCCCATTAGTGTTGCTGTGAGACATGAACATAGCCGTTCCATCATAGATCTCCAGGATCCTGATTGGCAATCCGATTCCAGCCTTATCCGTTACTTGGCCGGTGGAGGTCCGCCAGATCCAGCCTCCAAGACATGTGTGTGGCCTTCTGCGTGGTGAACGGTCCCGTTTTCCTCTTGATAACAAACTCTGGCGTTCAATACCCAGTCGTCCTCAAGCACTTCTTCCATCGTGGCTCGTTCCGCTGGGTCAATTTTCAGCATGCGGCCAATGATGTGACGGCTCTCCCGCGGAAGAATGCGGAGGAGTCGCCATGGGCCTTTGATCACTTCCTGTTTATCCCCACTGGATGTCGAAGGCCGCCCTTCATCCACGTTTTCCGAGTGATGATGATGGTGATGCGACGAATTAGCACTGCCGTTGGCTTCGGAATGGTGTCGAGAGGTGTTATCTTCCCCGGGACTTAAATGCGAGGATTTCCGTGGGTGTGAATCTGGAACGGGTGTGCCTGGTGTCGGCGGAGAAGCGAACAGTTTGTAGGAATTGTCGACAAGTCGAGGCTGCTTCCATGGGAAACGGCGAAGGGACATACAGCAGAATATGATTGCCAGAGACCAAATGTCCGTGGCCGTCGGGTCGTACTTCTTTTCCTCATACACTTCCGGGGCAAGGTAGGGATCGGATCCAACGATTCCTGCAATATCATGTTAGCGAAAAAACCTTTCATCAGGAGGGGTGGATTGACGAACCCGAAGCGAGTACAACGTCGTTCTCAAAGGGATACCTGAACACCGTGGCGCTTCCAAAGTCGATCAATTTCATTATGCCATGCTCGCTTACCACCACATTATCCAATTTGAGGTCGCGATGTGCGAGCCCCATACTGTGCAGATAGCTGACGCCATTGACAATCTGAAGGAAAGAGCAGGCGATCTCTTCTCTCGTCATCTTACCCGTCATCACGATAGCAAACAGATCGTATGGGGCATACTCCATCACCTCGTACCATCGATGGTTTTCTTGGATAATGTCCATGGTTTCGATAATATTGCCATGATGCAGAGTTGAGCCGATACAGAATTCTGCTGTGACCTTCTTGGAATAGTCCTTCTCACTTTCCCAGGAATGTTTCTCTCGGAATTGTTTGACGGCAAAAGTGACTCCGTCGCTGCTTCGCTTGAGTAATCTCACGGAGCCGCCCGCGCCAGAGCCTAGAACTTTGCCAAATTTTCCATACTTCGCCTCGAGGCTGTGATCATCCATGAACGGAACATTTGACGGCGGAGCTTGGTGGGGAGGCGTCCTTGTTCCAGATCTGTGACTAGATTTCCGCGAGGCTGGTACACTCGACGCCAGTGAATCTGAATGGTTATTGTGCTTCTTGTGGCCATGACCAAGCCGGAAGAATCGTTTTAGTTCAGACATGGAGCCATGTTTCCTCCCATCTAAGCCACTTTTCTCGCTACCACTATCCGTGACGTGGGAATAAGGATCTTTCTTGTTTGAACCGAATATCGATGTTCGCTTGTCAGAGAGGTCGGTAGAGCTTGATTGCCGCGGTATCCGCTCTGCTGCCGCTGCAATAGCTGGGGCCAGCGAGCCTCTTCCCAGACTTCCAAAATGCCGCGGCTCAGGCGGCTTTTGTTGAGCACCAGGCTGTGGGGAGGAAGGCCGAAGTTTAGGTGTCCCAACAGGACTTTGATCTGCGGGGGTCGCGGATTCAGAAGGACCAATCTCGAACTTGGCTATACGTCTCTCACGTCCTTGTTCTGGCTTGCCTGGGGCTTGTTCGGAGGATCGAGGTGGTGAGACAGGATGAGAAGGCGATATAGATTGGGATAGAGCCCTGCCCTGCGAGTCTGGAGGTGGGGATGTTTGCGGAGTTATCGCGTTTTGGCCTTGTTGGCCACGTCCTGCAGAGACAGTGTCTTGTTTCCCGTCTTTTGAGCCATGCGGTGTCAATGGAGGAGATTGAAATGCAGAGGACATGGAGCCGTGGCCCTGTCTTATCGAGCCACGAGGCGTACCAGGCGTCTCACTGTCTCTTGAAGGTACCTGAAAGCTTTCGTCAGCTTGACACAGTAAGATGGAATATTCCGCATACCCGTGAGGGAGGCATAGACACCGTCTCATAGGCAAAGTTTGCCATGCGACTTTCCTGAAGCCGTGACTTTTGTAGAGACATTGCCAAGTTCCTGATCTGTTCATGGGCTTCAGGGCTGAGTTCCTCGTTCTTCGCTCCACCAGGTTGGGAAAGACGCCTTGATTCGTCCAGAGGGTCTATTTCTTCATTCCCCGAAGCAAACCGCACAGCACCTTGCGTTGACTCTGCATTGTCTTTTTTCTCGGTGTTCTGTTGCTGTTCTTGCTCCGTTTTGGTATCTAAAATCGCCGTGTCAGCTCGTTGCGCCATGATTCTGATCTTTCAACACCTCTTTTGTACCTTTGTCGCCTTTGGCATCGTCCCCAGGGAGAAACATCGCAGATAGTTTGGAGGTCATGTTATCGGAAGATCGTGGGCCGGAAGAGCGCTGATTGCGGTAGAGATCGGAAGCGAAAGTGATCGACTACATTAACGAGTGGTGACTCCTATCAAACTTTGCCGAGAACAGCAAAAAGGTGAGATATGGCTAGAAATGAAAGATCTGAGTCGATTTCATGTTAGAATGGAGATTACTATCTGAGGACGTTGGGCTTTTGGGGGGGGGGGGGGTCGTCGAGGGGGACAGATGAGCTAATACGGGTAGCGAAAAAGGCATTGGCCGGGTCAGGAAGGGTGACGGAACTCACATGCTGTTCAGTTACGTCGAATGCGAGATTTTAATCTGTTAATCCCGATCTATTAGACGGCAATCGGAAGGACCGAGAAGAAGCGGATCTGGTGGAGCGACAATTGGGCAGATGAGAGTGTAGGAAGTGAGACAGCAGCAAGTTTGGCATATGAAAGCGGTGTCCTAGGATGCGAGGTACAGTAATAATATAATAGCTGTACTTGTACTGTATGCTCACTTAATAACCCAGCAAGCCGTTGAAAAAATGCGGCAGGACAAGCGGGAGAAATTTCAGCGACTCAGCGAGCCACCACCATCTCTGGCAGACATGGCACCGAGCACACCGAGACGAATAAAAGGTGGGATGTTGAGAAATTGCCCCGCTGCAGATCCATTTCAGCGTATCATTACCCTTCCAGTGGCACCAGGGAGTTCTCTTCCGACTGCATGCTCTTCTCGTACACGAGCCGATGGCAACGGGGAACAGGACCCTTTTTCCGTTCTTAACATGGGACAAATGTCATTTGGGCTGACAAGATCAAGCTCATGAGGCCGGCTCACGGGGTCCAACAATAACCATGTGTCTCCAGATGCGCATCCCATGCGTAGTTACCACCACCGCTACGACTCCTACTCGTTACGGGGGAAAGGCATTGCTAAGATTCGCGGGTCACTGAGCGGGCACAGAAACAGCCGAACGGGCTTATCCAAGAGGTTGTGTGACAAACCATCTCTTTGAGCAGCTGCTTGCAATATTACATGGTAATTTTTGCTCTCCCCTATTTTGCCTCCAGCTTCTGTTCCTAGGATTTCCTTCCGGCCCAGCCGGAGACAATATGATGACAACGCTGCACATCATACCCCAGTACGCCCACTCTTTACCTATTCGAGACTGACGAGCTTCGCTGTCTGCCTGAAGGTGAGGCGCAAGGTTCTTTTCTTTCAGGCAAGACGTCATCTTTGTCCTCGTTTTTTTTTTTTTTTTTGGAAGTTTCCGAGCGACGAGTCATCTTCGCCATACCGAGAGTCTTTTGATTTGAGCACGCGTACTCCGTATAAAATGACCGTTTTCCGTTTTCCATTTTCCATTACATGCGCCACCGGGCCTGATTCTCACATTTTCGTGGTCATCCAGATTCCACCGGGAACCATGGGACAAAGTGACGCTTCCTTGGGATGCCGCCAACCCCACGGGGTCGCGTGCTTGTCTGATGTGTCCTTGATGCAAGATAGTCGATGGTGGCCAGAATAACCGACCAATATCCCTTCTCGGAGTTTGCCCATTCCTGTTCTCGGCTTTCTCTCGGCTCATCCTGAGATATTCGCCAGTCTCGAGGATAATAAAATGTGATTATCTCCGCGCTGAACGTGGTATTCGTTCCCATGAACCTGTTCGCCTTGAACACGTTGCGGCTCAGGGCGTCCATGGCTCAACTGACGGATTGTGCCGACGTCGATCATCGGCTTTGATTCCGACGTAACTTTTATCCGCCAACTTGCATGAGCCATGCTCGAGGTTGGAACTGAGTCACATATGGGGACATTGTAGCTTCTGTCGCCAGACTTCTCGGCCCGTTGTGCGGAGGCGGGGATCTGCCCAGCTGTAGATGTCGATGAAGTGGCAAGTATCTTATGGATCGAATGGTCCATGCATCGGCCAATTGAGCAATGTCGACCAGAACCAGAACTACTCAGAGGCTCAACTTGGACGGAGACAATCGTGTCTGATCTGGCGGCTTCGATTACGGCACGACTTTGACACCAATAGACTTGCATTGCCACATGATGCACTTGCACAGAGCCTCGAGACTCAATCCGGACAGTCGCGTCTCACTTTGCTTGATTTTTGCAATCTCGTATATGTGTTTGAGTGAAACAGTGCCGACACTTTCGTGGCCTGGCCGTTGTGCACCCTTGATTTTGCCTTTTACTTCTTTCACCCCAGCTGCTTGGAGGAGTAGCCAAGATGTGTTCGGACTGCGTACGTCGAAACTGAAGGAGCGGTCTGGCCGCACCGTGACTCGCGCTGGAATTGGTACACCAGGAGTAATATGAGCGGTGCGAGCATTGAATTCCTTCTCAGACATTAGCAAGGTCACTTTCTCTACTCCTCTGCTGAATGTCCATACCTTGCAAAAGTCCATGCTCTTGACACCTTTGCTACCGAGGGCGGGACCAACGGGCGGACTCGGACTTGCTTGACCAGCGCCAACAATCAATTTGACGATCTGATCACGAGCGGGCGTCTTCTTCGCCATAACGGACTGGTATTCGGCACGCCGAACGACACGATGGGGAATAGGAGAGGTGAGCTATCAATGCAGCGGTGGGTTGGTGTTCAGAGGAAGTCTTCGACTTTGTTGCGAGGAGCGGCAGTAGTGGAGTGATTGAAAGATTGATTAATACGGAGCTTGAGATTGCGATGAATCTTGGAAAATATTGAAGCTCGACTGAATGCAGTGAACGTGACCCTCGCAGCTCCAGCCGCAAGGAGCGCAGTTACTAGCGGCTAAACCACGAAGGATTTAGCGCAGGCTGCTGACTGGCATCCCGTCGCATCCGCCGAGACGGCACAAAGGCGCCTTGACTTGGGCAGCCTCCAGTGCCCTGCACAGGGCAAACAGGGGAAGCCTTAGCCTTAAAATTTCGTTTAGTTACTGGGCGGCCCCTTTAGGTGCGACAAAGATTTCCCCCCCCCAAGGCACTGCTGGCATCCCATTCGCCTATGGTGACGTCGAGTTCCCCTGGATGGCTGATGGATCAGTTATTCCCGTACATCCAGAGGCTTACATTTTGCCTGCTGTACTTGTAAATGATAAACATCCGTTGTTCCCTTGACAGTCTCTTCAGATCCTTGTCGCAGTACTCCCAGACAGCATGAATTGGTTCAAGCAGCAGTTAGCCAACGTCGTGGGCACCGAGGAGCCCGAATATGGGCCTTCAGCCGTCCAACCCGTGACCAAGCAGGAAGTGCCCTATTCTATCCTCTCCAAGGATGATCTGCGGTGGAAGGCCATGGATCATACAAACGTCGAGACCGAGACGTTTTACTTCTATGCCGACGATGGGACTACTGCTATGGCTCAGGTCATTTACAGCAATGTCGGGTAAGGATTGCACGACCACCGAGAAGACCGTTGCTGCTGGAGAAACGCGCTGACTATCAATTGCCAGTGGAATCCATACCACGGCCCAGTTCAATAGCAAAATCTTCAACTACGAAGGTCCGGGAAAACATCTCTGGTGTTCTGACCCACTGAAGGACTACGGCTTCGACGAGCCGAAGACAAGCTTCTACGCTGAAAATGTGGCTTTGGAAATGAACGAGGCAGGGGACACTTATACCATCAAGTCTGCCAGAAACGACAGCTGCATTGTCAATTTGACTGTGAAAAGAGATGCGCCGGGATTTCAACTCGGCAAAGATGGCACAACGTACTTTGGCATCGATCATAACAATCCGTGGGGTTCGATGCGACACGCCTTCTGGCCCCGGTGTACAGTAACCGGCACCATGCAGACACCCACAAAAACCTACAAATTGGAGGGGAAGGCCACTTACATCTACGCTCTTCAGGGGATGAAGCCGCATCACCTGGCAAATAGGTGGAACTTTGCGAATGTTCACACGAAAGACTACTCGGCCGTTCTCATGGAATATACGACACCCGCCTCATACGGTAAGACCACGGTTGGAGTGGGTGGCATCGCCAAAGACGGCGAATTGATATGCATCGGCGAATGTACTGCCGAACATCTCACATCCATGAGAGAGACGCCCCATGACTGGCCAGAACCAAGGACGATATTGTGGAAGTGGAGCGGCGAAAAAGACGGCAAATCTGTTCAGGCTGAGGTCAAGGGCAATCTGCCTGCCAGGTCTGATCGGGTGGATGTCCTGGCGCATTTGCCTGGTTTCGTCAAGTCCTTTATCGGTCACGCAACAGGGTTGAAGCCACACATCTTCCAAGTAAGAACACTCCTCTGCAAGTCCTCGGCACGACGCCTTCGATACTAATACGTTGAGCAGTATCTTTCAGATGACCAACTAGAGCTGAAAGTCAAGGTTGGCGATGAGGGAGAGCTCTCCGAGCCCGGCAAAGTGTTCACAGAGGCGACGTTCATCTCGTGAAGACAAGGTACCAGATTAAAGTTTCGTGTATTCATGACATTGCATGACTGGAATAGAAGTTGGATGAGGGCCGGATAGGTAAATCATGGTTTGAATATGCGAGATGCTATCCCTTAGCAAGCTGTTTAATGTGTAATTGTTCGAAGCTCTTTCGTTCTTCACTCAACAAGACTTCACTGTGTTCTCTTTTGGCCCCCTTTTTCTGCGACTTCAATACCCCTCTCATTTAGGCGCCAACACTTGCCGACTTCTGTTCTTCGACTCCTTCAACCCGCTCTCGCTGGCTCAGTCAAGGCGAAGGTCGTCGAGATTTCTCCATCTCTTACTCACTTCACCGTGTCCTACCGCTGATCACTCGAGTGATCTCTTCTCATAGTAACTCTTCCCAATCTCAACATGTCGACACCGCTACCAGGCCTTCCCTTCAAAGGTCTACATGGACAGAGAGTGCCGAAACGACACAGAAAGCTCTTAAAAGACAATATCTACGGCATCAGTGAGTACTGTTCAGTTGCTTTGCTCGTCGATCTCGGGCCCGCTCTTTGATATGCGACGGGAACAGGAATGGCTTAGCTAACTGGGACCTCTCAACAAACAGCAAAAGGCGATATCAGGTACGATTGAAACTCCATGACCTCACTGATGTCGCCGTGCTAATTTGGCGACTGTCTGATTAAGACGCCTAGCACGTAGAGGGGGTGTGATTCGAATTCAGCACGAGATTTACCACGCAGCTCGCATCGTTCTGAAGGCAAGGCTGACCGAGGTGAGCTCTCACGCAAAGGCAGATACGTCCGAGTTGTTTGAAGTTCTACCCAAACCCACCGAATCATAGCTGTCCGCTCTATGCACTCTGTAAGAGAGGGGAAAAAAGGATTCAAGTTCTCATCCGCGTTTAAAACCACGGAGCTGACCTACGACCTTTTCGTCCAGATCATTAAGAACCTCGCGTTCGTCCTTGGCAACTCAGGCGATCCGAACCGAGAAGACGGGCCTCTCGAGGGCGTACATGGCAAACGCAGAAGGGTAAGTGGTTCCTCGTTGATCCATTAGAAAACTGCGTCGACACTTTGAGTGTGTGCATGAGAGAGCTGATTGAACGACTGACTGACTGATCTAATAAATATAGACGGTGACGACTAAAGACGTGATATTTGTCCTATCCCGAGTGAGTTCTTCCACTCATCCTAGCCCCGTTGCAAGTTAACATGATCCATTACTACCAGATGGGGAATCCCGTGTACGGTTTCGATCCTCCCTACCACGGAGTCGGACGCGAAGGTGCAATTGTCCATTGAAATATCTCCCTGGACTACTACTTGTTGTGGTTGAAATGGGAAATGCTTCTGCCTGAGCTGATACGCGGCTGGAGAGGCAAATAATCAAATGAAGGTCATTCGAAAGTGAGATACCCGTCCTGTCCTGTACGCTGGATATGAATGTGGACAATACGAAATCGCAGTCGTGAGCAAAAGTCGACCAGATTGAATGAAAACCCACCACGAATGGAACATCAAAGCGTTAGGCTGTGATGGCTATATGCAAGCATGTCACAGGGCCGGGTACCATGTAGGAAAGCGTTGAGAAAGCTGCGATCTAGCGATCTTGCTGTTGGCATACGAGGTGTGCAGTCGAGAAAGAGATTGGACAGCACTGAAGGGGAGGGAATCGTTTTTTTAACGACTTTCTCAGAGCTGATGTGCTACGGCTTCGAGATACAAACTGGTATACTAGAATACCGGTCAAAGGGGCCATGTTGTCATCCTTGAGATTGTGACGAGATTGAATACATGTGATAACAACCTCATTCATTCCTGAGGCTTTTAAAAGATTGGTGCTTTTCCTTCGTTCTTCTACCTCTTCTTCATCCGCCCTCACTTTTCTTACCTTCACAAAGAGTCAAAATGTTCTGGCCCCGATCTCTTCCGCACCAAATTCGCGATTAACACTTCAACAATAGCTTGCCTGTGGTCTTCCGCCCCTCCAAGTCGATATGTGCCTGCTTTGCCTCGCTGAGCGGATACACCTTGTGGATTTTGATCTTCAGTTTTCCCGCCTTGATCAGGTCCAGCACGCTATTTGCGTAGTACTCCAATTCCGGGCGCGTGGTGATGTAGCCCATGAGCGTGGAGCGCATGATGGAGAGATTCTTTGCCGTCAGGCGGGCGATATTAATGGGAGGAATGGCGCCGGAAGCTGTTCTCGGAGAGTTAGAGGTTCGCTACAGCTATGGGGAGGGTGTACAAGGGGGTTGTGGAAGCTTACCGTTACCGAAGTACACGACTTTGCTCTTTCTCTTTGCGACTTCCATGCTGCCTTCATAAGTATCCTTACCCACTCCGTCATACGTGCAATCCACACCCTCCCCGTTCGTCAACTTCAAAACCTGCTCGACCCAAGTCGGCCCGCCGGTGGCCTTGTAGTCAATTACATGCGTTGCGCCGTTCTCCTTGGCGAGAGCGCACTTCTCAGGGCCGCCGGCGGTGCCGATCACGGTACAACCCATGTCACTCAGCAGCTGGCAGAGGAGTAATCCCATCCCTCCTGCGGCGGCGTGAACTAGAATCGTTTCGCCTTTCTTCACTGGGTACGCCTCTTTGATAAGTGAGAGCGCGGTCATGCCCATGAGGAAGCCACCAACTGCATCTTCATCCGATACGCCTTGGGGGATCTTGATTGCTCGATCCGCAGGCACAGCCGTGTACTCCGCATAGCCTCCTTGCTTGATCCAAACCACACGATCGCCCTCTTTAAATCCCAGTGGGTTGTTTCCTTGAATCTTTGCGACTGTCCCAGCAGCCTCTTGGCCGGGGATCAGAGGATAGGATGCAGGGTACAGGCCACTGCGGAAGTAGGTGTCGATGTAGTTGACGCCAGCAAAGTTATTTCTCACCAGGATTTCGCCGTCCTGGAGTTTGGGCAGAGGTTGGGATTCGGTGTATTGCAGGACGTCAGGCCCGCCGATTTGGGCGAAAGAGACCGCCTTCATTGTAGATGGGAGGGATGACATGGTACGGATTGCAGGGGGATTTAGACTAAAGCACGATGAGGGGTTCTGACGAAGGGACAAATGTGAAGCGAGGCTGTGTAGGCGGGTGGTTGCTGTCGCTGTGGTGGTTATCTTGGTCAGTGTAGCTCGAGATCGTAAAGACATGGGACTTTATGAGATGAGCTCGCGCCAATTTCGGAGCAATGGTGAGATATCAATTGCAATATAGCCTTTGATACGGAGACGGGGTATCTCTCGCGGGCTGTTTCCGTACGATTCGATTCTTCACCAGGACAATCTCCAATTAGCCATCCAAGGCAGTCAGGCCTCAAAACATACTTATGTGCCAGTGTAGTACATGGTGAGGAGAAACGGAGTGCCGAAATCGTCGTCATATATTTCTAAGCACGAGCAGATCAACTCGACTTTCTCTCCGCACTTTGTGGGAGGTTTCAATGGACTTTGCCGATATCGCAGATGCTCCTTAATATCGGATAGAGGACCTTTGATGGGGAGTTCCGTTAGAGTGTTTCAGTCGACTGACTGAGCCCCGTCTGTACTTAAGTATTTCCCGCAATGAATGCCCACTATTTTTGTTCGTGTTAGAGCCAACTAGTATTCCTTGAGACCGCCATTCTGAATCGACACGGCTCTCTGACTGACCCGTGTATGTACTCCATTCACCAACTTACCCCGCGAACCCCTCACTCTGGGTGTGGCTTGCGATCAGGACGGGAGGGCAAAACGACCAGGCTTATCGTGCCGATTCGGACCGCTGGCGTTGGGAATTCCACCCATGTTAGGCCGAGGCGGAGACGAACTTCCTAACGGGATTTCCAGCGCCTGGAAATGCTCTGGAGACTCAACAGTCCGAGGCTGACATGAGTGAAGATGTGATTGGCAAGTTAGTTATGCTTCCTGCAGTAGAACATGTGGTAAGCGCAAAGGGCTGAATGAGGATGGCGAGCTCCGGGGCGAGGGAATGCAGCGGTTTGCGCCCCCAAGTCTCATGCTTGCAAGGCATGATCAACCTAACGAGTGACCGGTCTTTCCGTCGACTATCTTCCTCAAGTGAAAACGTCGTACAAAAGTTCCAATTCGCCTCCGTCATGCCAACCATGAGATTAGTGACGTTATCTAGGCGGACATCTACTAAGTAGACTATTACTGTGGTTGTGGAACCCTCGCTGCACGACAGGGCAACAGGCAAAGCAGCAAAAGTGGTGTGTAGAAACGTCTGCATTGGTTGGGCAAAACATCTGGCGTGACTGTCGGGCCTTCTTCCTGTGAATGAAGAGAAGCTGAGTCATGTAGCGCTGGGTGAAATCATTTTTCCCAACGAGAAAGGACATTGTGGCGTTATGTATGGGACGAAAAGCGTGCCATTGATGGATTGCCAACGAGGCTTGGGCAGACACCGCTGTGATGGCAAGCCTCGCCACTGGCTCTCACCACATCTACTGTGGCCGTGCCCTCAAGTATGGCATTCTTCGCTGGTAGTCGATCCATGTCAGGCACCATGCACTTATGAGTGGTTCGCAAAATAGTCCGTCGAGATAGGTCAATCCAATTGGGCCGAGAACCTGGCAGGGCCTTTTGGCAAGTCGTTGGAACTTTCTTCACGGCCAGATCAGTATCTTGCAAGAATCCCCACCTCACCTCAGCTTCTGGCGGAAGTACATTGCAGAGTAACAGGTCCATAAAGAGGTCGATGAGGGCTGCGGAGGCTGTGGTGATGGCCCTGTCAGCACCAAGCATCTTTGAAAAGGTGCTAATATGCGTGCTAATAATGGTAAAACGAGGAGGACGGCCGAAGGATCGACGGTCGCGTTCATGGCGGTGTCCGCGTGTATATCACTGCATCAACCGCCTGCCCGAGTTAACAAAGGCATACGGGAAGGAATGCTCGCGCAATTATGCATCGAAGTAACTGCAGGATGCTCTTGTACTACCCCCTACGAGGTAAATACCCAGAGCATCAGTGCCTGGTACTGGCTTGTCGATCATGAGAGGGGGTAACCGCATGCTGTACCTACTTGTACGTAGGCAAGGCGCTGGGAGGTCCAAGGGGCGCCAATGGGTTTTGAAGGCCGACATATGAGGGTAGCAGGAGGCGCAGATTGCGGGCGGCAAGGCCAGGAAGGCTAGTTAGTGCTGTTGGCATCCATGCAAGAATGATGATAGTGGCATGGTGGTGCATAGTGGTGCACAGTGGTGGTGTTGAAGGTTTGTTTAGTTTTGTGTGGGGTGTTTGGTGCGGACAGCACAGCTTCACCGTCTGGCGCAGTGTGCTTGCCAAATGCTCGGTTGGGCGTCCAATCGTCGCCGCTAAGAGATCAAGAATCCTACCGATCCCCAAGTTCATTCATCCTGGCACAGAAAAGCCTCATCTATGTTCCTTGCTAGCATCCGTCTCTGTACTGGGTAGACCGAGGGACACCGCCATTTCTTCAACTCCCTCATCTCCACTTCACGTTTTGCCTCAAACAGAACCTCTCGGGTACCCACCACCACCACACTATGCCCCTCCGGATTGCAAGGCATTGCGGCCCGCTACTGTTCTTCTCTGTCCAGCTGCATTGTTGTCCGGTTTCCTTCGTATCACTGACTGGAGGATTCGAAGGTTTTGTCGATTGAGGCGTACCCGGCGAACACCTCTGAAACAGGACGATTCTTAGCCACCTGGGAAGCCTGGTTACCAAACTACCTGCACGTCTTCATGCTCTGCAAATCAACACCTTGGGCAACGGAGCTCTTGGGTTGAGTCGATTGCGTTGCCTTCCTTCACTTGCTGCGGGCCCGAGTTCAGTCAAGAAAAGTTCATCCATCTGTTGCATATGATGTGCTGATTTCGATCTGGACTATCCTCCTCTTGCACGACCTACGCCCACCTGCGACACAATTCGAAACGCAACCACCCCAACTCCCAACGCCCTACAATACGAGTTTCCTCAGGTGACGGTTCTGCGTCCAACAGCACTTGAAAACCGCTCCGCTTGCCCCAACAACATCACAAAGACCGTGGTCAATAGCCTTGATGTATGGCCTGAGGTGCGTTGAAGATTTTGCATATAAGACTGGCCAGATTGCACGTGGGACATCCTGGCAATGAGTACATGGTTCTGCATTCAGCTGCTGCGTTGAGTAAATTGAGATGACCCAGATGTGGCCGCCGTCCCCATGCGTGGAGGACGAAGAAGTGGCTTTAGCGAGGGAGCACACATCTGGCATTGCTCTACATCAGTTGCAAAGTGAGAACCAACCCGCAAGCAGCAGGGGCTCGGTGGATCAATATCCCATCATCCTCGACAACGAAGCCCCAGCTCAATCCCTCCCTTCAAAGGGGACCGAGCTCGTCTCAGATGGCAGATCTCCAAACAGCCGGCGAGAACCAGCTGTGAACACCGAGAAGAGATTCGTCCTGGTGCCCTCCCAAATTTCTGACTTCGAGGTTGAAGCATCCCTGCCAGCCGAGCCGCTGCAGCGATCCAAATCGACAACTCAACTTTCAGAGAATGACATAACGAGAGGAAGGCCTCATGTCACAAGGATACACACAGATTTGGGGCCAGGCCTCGAGGGCATGCGGACGGGCCACCGCCGTGCCCCTTCACCCTACGCTCATACGCAAGCGGGTTTGACGGATGCTCTTTCTCCAGAAACTCGACGTAAAGATACGCTGTTGTCGCCAATGCATGCTCATGAGCCACGAAAGTCGGCGTCTGTACATCCTAGGACGCGAAGATCCGAACGAGACAGCAGCGACTCTGATCAGAAGTCAAAAACGAGGGGGAGAACAGAACGGAGTCATAGTCGGGCTGCAAGGGAAAGCTTCTCCCACTCAGACAGATCAGAGTCTGAGAAGGTCAAGTCACCAAAATTCTCCAGGCGAGACGAGAGCCCCGACGGCCAATTTACCCGGCGTGGTCATCGCTATCGCAGCCCTGCTCCGCCTAGAGGAGGCTTTACTGGCTACACATACACTGGGCAAGACCACATTACGCCGCCTCAGACCCCAAAGCTGAACAATGAGTCCGCACGATCCTCGGTTATTGACCATACTGCCGTCCCCGAGCAGCTTAGCAACCGTCAGGCATCCTCGAGATTGACCACAGATTCTCCATATACTTCTTCCGCTGAAGAAGGTCATAACCGTCGTCCACGACCTGTTGATGAGAGAAAAGTTGATCGAGGAGGCCGATCGAGACGCAACTCGCGAAACTGTAGCGACAAGGACGAGAGACCGAAACTAACGCGCACACGTTCTCGACGCCATGACGCGTCATCCAGAGACGAGTCGAATCAAGAGGAGCATTCCACAGACGAACGGCCCCATCGTGAGGCCCAGACACCTCTGTCTGGTCGATCGACTTCCGCCATGGAGGACTTCCTCGAGAAGGCTTTTATAGCAAATAAAAATAAGCAACCGAATCACGGTGACAATCACTCTCGCCATGTTTCTCCGCGAGGCTCTCCAGCACAAAGTCCTCCACAAACACCTCGAGCCGATGACCGGTCAACAAGGGACTATTTCGAACAAACCCACCACTCGTCAAGACCGTCAAAACAACGGTCTCGTCCACAGTCGATTGATGATACACATTTCAAGGACATTAAGAATGTTACATCTCTCCTTGGAGCCGCGACGTTGGGTGCTTCCCTGGCAGCAAAAGCTATACCTGCCCTGTCACGATCGAACACTTCGCAATCACTGGAATCACAAAGTAGTGGCTCTCAAAGCAGGCCAGCCAGCGGCCAGCGTTCAAGAAAACCTTCTCCAGTGATGGAAGAGTCCCAACCAGTGTATCAGAGTCTATCTAGGACGAATTCTACTGTTTCTCGAAATGACGGCGCAAATACACGGACCACAACCTACGCGATAAACGAAGAACGTCCAGCACCAAAGATTGCGCTGTATGCACCGGCACCGCTTGAACCGCCTCGCATAGCATCAAGATCGTCTTCTTATTCCCATTCCCCCGAGCTTCGCCCACCGGCCCCTTTCAGAGCCTTTTCCAGCATGGGTGCTCAAGGACATCCGCAGCCACTTCACCTCCCTGCCCCGCTAGCGCTGATGTCGAGCCCAATGAATTTAGAGCCTGCTACTACCTTGTCCAATAGCGCCCCCAGACCCAACTCCTTGCCTCCGTGTCCACGCTCGAGACCCACCGCTGGACACCACGATTGGTACACGATCCGGGACATGTCATTTCTAGATTTCTGTCCTACTTGCATGAGTTTTCTAGGCGCCACTCGCTTTCGTGACCACTTTATCCCGAGCCTGCCAAAAGAACCCCGCCGACCGATCGCCTGTGCAATGAGCTTCCCATGGCTTCGAATTGCTTGGCTGCAATCGATCAGACAAGACAGAAAGGATCTTACGCTTGTTTGGCAAATTGCCAATGGTCCACCTGCGGGGACCAAACCATGCGCTGGCACTAAAATCGATCTGAGAAGATGGTATCATCTAACCGATCCTAGAACAAAAAAGCCCGTGGACAATTTTGACATATGCTCTGCCTGTGTAAGAAATATCGACTTGATTTTTCCCACGCTTCAATTCTGTGTCTTTGATCGGCCGCAGGAGAAGAAAGAGCAAGAGAAGATTTGCAATCTGAACACAAACAGCCGCCACTTCTTGCCTATGTTGAACGAGCTGGAGCGACTGGCTGATCGGTCGAAGGAGACCATAAGGCACAGGGACTTTCAGGAGTTTGTGGATTTTGTTCGCCGCATCTCCCGCACCCGGCACTGCGCGAAGGATACATTACTGGCAACCCAATCATGGCACTATATCTCTGACCTTCCCGAGCTTACAATCTGTGAAGAGTGCTACGAGGAAGTTGTCTGGCCTGTTAGAGATCGACCGATAGCACGAGACGTCTCCAAGACACTCAAGCTTGTGCCTACCTTGCGCAAGAACTCCCTACTTCGAGGAACAAGTTGCCAGCTTTACAGTGATCGCATGAGAAGAATCTTTCATGATGCAGTGAGCCGAAATGATTTTGAGAGTTTGAAGTCGGCGGCTAGATACCGCTATAACATGGAGCATCGGCTGCAGGAAATGCACAAACTGTACGAAATGGATTTGCAAGCTGGAATCGACAGGAGGGTGGAGATGGAGAAGAATATTTCCATCTGGAAGTCTATTGAATAATGACTGATGAGAGCACGGAGTCACGACTTATGTGAGTGGGAAAAGTTAAGGGGTGGGCGTCAGAATCGACTGCAGGAAGCAGTCAAGGGTGGGCCAAAAGCTGTATATGGACACCTCTACTAATAACTCTTCAAAGAGCGTCAACGCTCCCATTTACGAGACTGAATAATACTCATTGGTGACCACCCATCGATATTACCTTTTCCGCCTCCTCACTGTCTAAGTACACATAGTTTTCCCATCGCTGCCAATCCCACGAGCCTATGCCTCAAAGGGGGGAGCCTCCACGTGACTGACCTCGCTTGACCTTCCGCCAGTTTCGGGAGGATGAAGGGTCTCCCTAAGCTGCGGCCTTCGTTGCATAATGAGCTTTCTCTCCACTTACTTTCTGCGACTGTATCACACTCAATCACTTGCAAGCTTTCTGGGATTGGTGAGGGTTCAAGATGAGTCTCATCTACCCTGCTGGTGGTGCTGTTACCGCGCTAGGAGTTGTCGGCCTTTGTATGATTCTAGACTCGCTCACTTCGATCGGAACCCATCACTAACGGGTGCTCGCAGATATGCTCTTCAATGGCGAGGGCGAACAATTTAATGTACGCAGCTGACGGCTGACCTCAACACAATGTACTCTTGGTCACACTCAGAGACTGACTCGCGACGCCGCAGGTCGGACAATTCCTCGAGACAGTGTCTCCGTACGTATGGGCAGATCTCGGTATTGGTCTTTGCATAGGATTATCGGTCGTGGGTGCGGCATGGTAAGGAATACAGAGATTTTCTTGGATACTGCCTCTTGTATCACGCTCGTACATTGAAAAGGAACCAAGCCTTTTCTACCGACACTGCTGACCATCGCCTGCCATGCAGGGGCATCTTCATCACTGGCACCTCTATCCTCGGCGGCGGCGTAAAAGCTCCACGAATACGAACGAAGAACCTCATCTCCATTATCTTTTGCGAAGTCGTGGCGATCTACGGCGTCATTATGTCCATCGTCTTTTCCTCCAAGATCAACATGGTACCGGAAGAATCACTTTACACGGGACCGAATTACTACACAGGCTACGCCTTGTTCTGGGCGGGAGTGACAGTGGGGATGTGTAATTTGATCTGTGGCGTGAGCGTCGGGATCAATGGGAGCAGTGCGGCGCTTGCTGATGCAGCGGACGCAACTATGTTTGTGAAGGTGTTGGTGATTGAGATCTTCTCGAGTGTGTTGGGGTTGTTTGGGTTGATTATTGGGTTGTTGGTCAGCTCAAAGGCCGCCGAGTTTGAGTGAGCGCTGTGGTACATGGTGATGAGTGAGCATTTCATCGCAAAGCTACGAAGAAGCTAGTAAGCAGAGAGTGTCCTGCTGCGGGAAGCAGGACGTTAGGGCCGGCGTGCCTTGGCTCGAGCAGGTGGACGAAAGCTCCTCTCGGCAGAAGGTTGAAGCAAGATATTGGCTTGATGGGAATGCAGGATGATATTTGCATGAGTCCAGTCTGCATTCTGTATATTTACGCCAGGGAGGTTTTGCTTGGGGGGGTTCATGGCTGAACGTTCAAGCGATCCAAGGCAAGGCTGTGTTTATGAGGACGGTCCACCCACGAACACATGCATTTTCGATTTAAAAGGCTAGAGATCAATCAATCCATGTCTTTCATGTCCAGTTGCCTGCCTGGTGGATGTCAGTCAGGATAGTGAATCCCAATCGAGGGTACTGGAGGAGTTAGCAATATAGCACGAGGCACCTCGTACTTTATACTTTATTGCACGGCCAGTGGCTGGATGCACCAGATGCTTCGACGTATAAGTACATACGTCACTGTTTGTTGGCTTTTTCTCGAGTCTGTCCATCCAGCATCCAGGCTTCCGCCATGTCATTCGACATGATCGGTAAGAGGTTTCTCGAACATCTGTCGTTGCTGCCGTCTGTTTGTATACCTTTTTCTTTCTCTCTGCAGCACGAAAATGTCGTAGGATGCATTGCTGGAGTGGTTGGCAGCAGGCCTTTTTGTATATCTCCAACGAAATAGCGAACTCGATTACATGCAACGGTTTCCATTACCATGGCCCAGCTTGTCCATACACTGGGACCTACTTGTGCCTTCCACGAGGAAGATCCTGATGTCACCTCCAGCGACGGATTGACTCCCCCGAAAGTCAAAGCACAGTTCTTCTACGTGTCTTCCCTCCCGATTGACGACCCTCTCTCTCCACTACCACCTGTGTCTGCGGACAAGGCTACCGATCTTCCCCCTCAACCATTTTCGGTTCGAGACAACGCCGCCTTGGAAGAAGCATGGCAGACCTTTCGAAAAGCCGACGAGGGAGCTTCGGGGGAAGAAGGAAGTGTAAGGAGGAGTCTTACGCAAAGAATATTTTCGGTTTCACAACTCAGAGATGCAACTCCCGTGGATGGGAAATCACAAGTAATAAAGTCCGGCTCATCTGGAACCAGAAGCACCTCTCGTGGCCGTACAAAAGCTTCTTCCCCAAAGTTTCCTCCACCAGGATCCGAGGTCATGCTGGACTACGCACGTAGCGGTACGAAGGGCGCCGCTCAACCTATCGATGCTGAAGAGTTGAGGGAAAATGCTGAAGTCCAGCGACGGTCCGGCAAGGACACGACCAAACATAAGAGGCGATTTTCGTCCTTTCATCCCCGACACAAAGATGGAAAGGACAGCCGCGATTCTTCTCCGCAACCCGCAAACATGGATGAGACAGTTACATCTGGAACGCAACCTTCTCTGGACCCTGCTTCTGATATCAGCGGTCGACCATTTGCACGGGCGCCCAGCGGACGCAACATCAATTCTACCCTGACATATGAACCTGGAGAAATCTACACCGATGAATCAGAAGCTGAGTCTAGAGGTCGCTCTCGGAGCTCTGGGCGTTGTCGCAAGAAGGGAAAGGAGAACGACAAAGCTTATGTCCCTGTGGGTGTATCTCGCCTGCATTTGGTTGAAATGCCTGATCTTGTGATGAAACCAATATATTGGTCCCCTATCAACGACACATCCAACGTCATTCGGGCTACTTGGTTCTACAAAGACACCATGTTACCCGTTCCAGCTGACGTGGCAAATCGCCTAGAAGTCGGCTATGAGTACATCAAGCCCTTTGGTCCCGCTTACCAGGAAGAATTGCAGGCCTGCATTGACAATGGCGCATCTGCAGAAATGAAGGTGGTGTACAAGTTGTGGCCTGACGAGCCTAAATCCAGCAGACCTTCCACTGCTGTGGACATGAAGGAAACAAATCAAAAAGCCAAGCAGCGGAAGGGAAGTAAAGATTTGCCAGAAACTATCCAGAATGCTGCCGCAGACCCTCGAAATACCCAGCAAAAACGTCTGTTTGCGACTCACAGCGTCATCTACACGGATGCTCGCAACGCTCAAATTCTGAAGCCTAACCTGCTTCCTTCCATCACACAGAATCGGCGACCTTTGAGTTCCCTGCGGAAAGGGAGACAGATTGGCGTGGCTGTTGTGCGTGGGTTTGACCGAAAATCGTGGTTGAAGATCCATCCCGATCCAAAAATGGACGCCAAAGCTGCTCATGCGAAGGTTGGGGCCTATATGTCTCAATCAGGAGATGCCACTACCCGAGGACGACGAGGGTCATGCGCAGCTTGCGAACATGATAGTAAAGCACCAAAGGTTACTGACCTTGTCTTTGTCATTCACGGCATTGGGCAAAAGCTATCAGAAAGAGTCGACAGCTTCCATTTCACTCACGCCGTTAATGGTCTGAGACGGGAATTTAATGTTGAACTGGCAAGCGAAGTCGTCAAAGGAAATCTGAGGCATGCAACGGGCATCATGGTTCTCCCTGTGAATTGGCGGCTGACAGTCTCATTTGACGAGGACATTAAGACTTCTTCTGAAGGCACCGAGAATAAATACGCCTTGAAGGACATCACCCCCGATACTCTCCCAGCTGTCCGATCCATTATTAGCGACGTGATGTTGGACATTCCTTATTATATGTCGCATCACAAGGAAAAGATGACCTCGGCGGTCATTAGGGAAGCCAACAGAGTCTACCGACTTTGGTGTCGTAATAACCCAGGGTTCGACGATTATGGCAGGGTACATCTGGTTGCCCATTCGCTAGGCTCTGTCATGGCAATGGAGATTCTAAGTCAACAACCGACTCGACTTCCAAAGGACATCAAAATTGATCCCAATAGGCCAAGTGAGAAGTTCTTCGAGTTTGACACGACAAACATGTTCTGCTGCGGAAGCCCTTCGGGGTTCTTCCTGCTTCTTCATAATGCCAATCTTGTCCCGCGGAAAGGTAGAGACAAACCCGGTATGAAAGGAGAAGATCGACAACCAGGGATTGCCAGTGAAGCTAAATACGGATGTCTTGCCGTCGATAACATTTACAACATCGTCCACCGAAACGATCCCATCTCCTACCTGCAAAATGCATCCGTGGATGATTTATACGCGAAGTCCATTCAACCGGCGGTTATACCTAGTGCTAGTGTCAGCTTTATGACGCGCATCGGTCACAGTCTGCGCTGGGCTTCACGGACCACCGGTGATCCGTACTCTGTCATCACTTCGCCAATCCGTCCGCAACTCACCCAAATGCCCAGCACAGTGGAACTGGAGACGCACAATTTCACTCGCGAAGAAATTGCCGAGAAACGCATGTATCTGCTCAACGACAATGGGCAGATTGATTGGTTCCTGTCGGCGGGGGCCGGACCATTGGAATTCCAATACTTGAATATGCTCAGCGCACATAGTAGTTATTGGATTTTGCCAGACTTTGTGAGGTTTCTGGTCGTGGAGATTGGGAGAGAGCCTGGGAAAAGCCACACATTGCCGGCGCTAAGGGCAGTGAAGAGGCGCGAATATAAGCGGGGGGATATTCCTTGAGTTGATCCCCTCTGTGCAAGTGTTTGATTCAAGAGCAGCATCGCAGTTTATGGTTCTGTGGCGTTGAGGCATGGTTGCATCGAAGGGCGTCGTGGGAATAGAGACCACAGCCCTAGCGAAGGACAAGGCTGGAGAACCATAGAATTACGCCGACAGTTCTGGTGTGTCACGACTTGTTATTCTTATGACATTGATACCCCCTCGGTGCACTCTGGTGGATAGACAGGCTGGGATACTTTGTACCTGCAAAATGCAAGAGCTTTCGCCCCCCAAAAATCAAATTGTGCTTGTTACGACTTCATTGCGGACTACTATCTTTTGCGTACATACCACCCTTGCTCCTCCATTTGAAACCCGCCGTGAATTGCCAATCAATATCCAAGCACCATCCCGACAATCAGGGCCTCACACTCGCCGCCGTCTTCAATGTATCCCTCCCTCTGGGGGAGAACCAACAGCCCATTCGCGCTCGCTAGACTGCCCACGCGCGAACTCCGCTGCATGCCCGTGCTGCGCGCCACGAGCTTCCCGTCATTGGGGTCCGCGGAGACAAGCACGCGGTGGTACTCGACGCGGGCCTTGTCGCAGCGCACACGGCCGTGGAGCCGCACCTTGACGCGCGGGGCGCCCTGGGGGTCTGGCAGGCCGGTCATGCGCTGGATGCAAGGGAGCACGAACAGGTTGGCCGTGACCAGTGCGCTGGCGGGGTTTCCTGGTAGGCCGAAGATGAGCCTCGTCTCGCGCCTGCTGCTGTCCGAGTCTGGATGGGAGTCTTTGATAGGGACGGTGGCGAACGTGGTGGGTTTGCCGGGCTTCATGTTGACTCGGCCGAAGTGGACTGTGCCGCCCAGGGCGCGCTCGATGGTCGGTTTCAGCAGGTCGAGCTCGCCCATGGACACGCCGCCGGTCGTGATGACGATATCCAGACCGTGCAGCCGAAATGCGTCGCGCAGCTTGTGTTCGAGTTCGTGGTGCGGCGTGTCTCGCGCGACGCCCAGATCCACCACGTCCTCGCATATCCGCCAGCCGCGCAGCAGGGTTAGCAGGGACGGCCGGTTCGAGTCGCGGATCATGCCGCCGCTGAGTGTGCCTTTGTAGGCGACATCCATCACCTCATCGCCCGTCGACATAACCCCGATCCGTGGTTTCCGGTAGACGGGGACTTTCTTTATGCCCGCCGCGGCGAGGACGCCGATTTCGCCGCCCAATGGACTGATTTGCGTGCCCTTCGCCACGATCACTTGGCCTAGTTCGATATCGCTCCCTGATTCGCGAACGTTTTCTCCTGCCACGAGTTCGTCTGTGAGGATTTCCACGCTGGCTTCTTCCTTGCCGTCGGGCGTGAGCGTTGAGATGACGGTGTCTTCCACCATTACTACCGCGTTAGCATTTTCTGGCAGCGGGGCTCCCGTCGTGATACGGGCTATTTGACCCTTTTCGAGAGGTGGTGGTAAGGATGAAGCTTGAGCATGTGAGACAGAGGCGACCGGGAAGATGCCCTTGATGCTCTTCTGGGAGATGGCCTCCTTGTTGGGGATGATGACAGCATATCCGTCCACTATGCTCGCACGGTAAGCTGGGACTGCCTCGGCGGCTCTGATGTCTTCGGCGGCTACATAGCCTACCAAGTCAGGCGAGACGTCTCTTATTTCGACTGTAGAGGCCGGTGCGTTTTCAAAGATTTTCGCCACAGCGTCTGAAACGTTCAGCATCGGGTATGGGGATGACCTGTAGCGTGCGGTGGCGCCCAGTCGAGGGTCGTTGGATTGAAGTTGAGGTCGCTCGGAGGGAGCGGTGTGGGCCTTTGGGATTCTGTGCCCGCCATGAACACTGCCGCCGCCTTCATGACTGTGATCATGGTCGTGGCTGTGATGGTGACTGTGTTGATGAGAATGATCATTAGTAGCTCCCACCACCAACGTTGCTGGTGTAGCATCGCCAGAACCTGATGGACCAACTCCAGCCTCCTTCTCCAACTTCTTCACTCCTCCCACATGGGCAGCTCTAGAGTCCTGGCCTGCAGCCTGCAAGCAAGCATGGGGCAGCAGTTTCAACACAGCCTGGAGGTTCTCCTTGGCGCCTTTGGGCGACCCGGGCAAGGTGATAATAATGGATTTATTCCGCGTGCCAGCCACAGGCCGCGACATCATGGCAAAAGGCGTAATCTGGAACGAAGCAGCCAGCATGCCATGGACGATGCCGGGAGCATGGCGATGGATGAGCGGTGCAATGGCTTCCGGGGTGAAATCTCGTCGGGCGAACCCTGTCCCTCCCGTCGTGACGACCAAGTTGACGACGCCGGCGTTGGTGGTTTCATTCTCGGAATCCGTCCATGCGCGGACGATCCGTTGAATCTCTAGCACGTCGTCCTTCACGATCTCGACGAGCGGATCGCTCCATTTCCCGGCACCGTCTTGGGAGAAGACGTCCTTGAGGATGGGGATCGATTTGTCGGTTGATGGATCGGCCGCCGCGGTGTCGGAGACGACAAGAATTGCTGGGCGGAGGAGGGGCGGAGAGGTCATTGTTATTCTATCCGTGGGCCTGAGCAGTCTAGAGAGATACTCGTCGGGCTGCTAGACTACGAGAGGAATGCGGCTCTGGGTTCCTGGTTGAGCAACCGAGCACATATCAATGCTCAGACGGCTTAAACCATCCGGCGCTCGGAGAAACATTTGTCCCGGATGACCACACTCCCCACTTCTTCCATCCCTGTTGCTTGTACTCGGCGAGGGTCGGTACGGGGAGAACCTCCTCCACACAGTAATACCAAGGTATTACACTGCCTGTCAACGTTTGCGGAGAAGCTTGCGAATCCGCTCGCTTGCGAGGAACGACATAATCCATCTGCCTAGAAGATAATCTCCCTTGAGCACAGAGTAGAGGGTATCTGTAAGTACACACTTGTGAGCACACAACACCCTTCTCCTGTCTCGAAAGCCTTCCTTTATCGTCCATCCATCGTTCCCTCTCGCCGGAGCCTTGTCAGCCCTCAGGCACATCTCAATTGGAGTTGTTGCGTGACCGATGCTATGGAGTTTGTCACGCCTCAAGCTCCCTTCTCCTTCTCCCCCTCCCCTGTAGCCTCAACCCTAGCAAACCTGACGGCCGCCTGCCTCTCTTCAACTCTCCCAAGCCCGACTCTATTCGGCGGAGAGATCCTCAACGTAACCTCGTCGCTGGTCAGCAACTACACGGCACATTTTTGGTATCCGCCCAATTTCTTCAACTCGGACCCGCCACTGTACGGAGAAGCCGGCAATCTCTCCTTCTGCAATGTCACCGTGACTTATACGCACCCGGGCCAAAACGACTCCATCAATGTGAATCTGTGGCTGCCGCTTTCGGTGTCGGATGAGGTCTACATAGACACCAACGGAAACCGACCGGATCAATCCTCGGTCAGCAATAGTGGAACATCGCCATCTTGGAACGGCATTCTTCTCTCCCATGGCGGTGGTGGCTTCTCTACCTGTCTTCCCGGCTTTGTCTCTCATTCCGCCCTTTCGCAAGGCTACGCTATCTCGCGCACTGATGGTGGCCATCCAAGCCAATCCCTAACTACTCCTGACCAGCCTGAAACTGAATCATGGGCCATGGTCTCCCCGGGAAACGTGAATTTGTACCTGCTGCAAGATTTCGCTTCCACATGCTTGCACGATATGACCGTCATTTCCAAATCCATCGTCGCCTCCTTCTACGGCACAGCTCCAAAGTACAGCTATTTCCAGGGCTGCTCCACTGGCGGGAGACAAGGCCTAATGCTGGCTCAACGCTATCCTGGGGACTACGACGGCATACTCGCAGCCGCGCCCGCGATCTACTGGCCCAAGTTGATTGTCATGCACTACCTCGCGCACATGATGATGCATTCCCTCCAGGAGTATCCTCCGGCGTGTGAGCTCGATGCGATAACGAAGGCCGCGATAGAGGAGTGCGATGAGTTGGACGGCGTCAAGGACGGGATCATCTCGAACGAAGAACAGTGCGAATATGACCCCTTCAAGCTCATGGGGAAGGAGATCCCTTGTGAGATCGAGTATGCAGACGACGATGGAAACGAAGATGGTGAAAGACGCCAGCAGCAAGCAAACCACACAATCATCAAAGTCGGCTACGCCGGCCCTCACATTGCGTGGAACCTCTGGGGAGGAGCGCCGGGTTCTATCAGAGAACCCAACTGGCATCCGCTCACGCACTCGACACCCTTGACGTCCTTCGCCTCGACCACCTGTTTCAGGAAAAACAGCACCTGCGTGGCAAAGCCGAGCCCGTTGATGCTGGACTGGATCAGGCTCTTCCTCTACAAAGACCCCAGCCTCACGGCCGAGGACCTCGCAAAGCGGATCACGCTCGACGAACTGGTCCGTCTCTTCCACCAGTCCGACGAGGAATACCATTCCTTCCTCTCGACGAGCAGCCCCGACCTGAGCGCCTTCCGCAAGCGCGGCGGCAAGATGATCACGTGGCACGGCACGAGCGACGAAGCCATCATGCCAGGCCAGACGGTGCAGTACTACGAAGAAGTCCTGAGTTTTGCGGCTTCTGGAGTCTCCACCGACGCGAAAGACTTCTACCGTCTGTTCCTGGCCCCAGGGATCCAGCACTGCGGTAGCGGGGACGGCGCTTTACCGATAAACGTGCTGCCCCAGTTAAGGAAGTGGGTCGAAGAAGGCGTCGCCCCGGACCTGCTCGAGGGGGAGAGCTTTGGCAGACACCACGGAGACAAAATCCGCAGGCCGCTGTGCATGTACCCCCTCGTGGCGAAGTACAAGGGCCATGGGGACATGAGGAAAGCTGAGAATTTTGAGTGTGCGAGCTCTTTCTGAAATGTGACACTGACCGAAGTATCGCGGGAAATTATGTTGCCGAATTCTTGCGGCCGTTCAATATCGTCGCGGTGGTGGTGGTCATCATCCCTTAATCCTAGGGGCAGAGCGAAGAAAGCCGTTGACGAGAAAAGGGAAGCGAGGAAGCGACCCAAAAAGTCTCGACACAACACTAACACTAAGCCAGCAGCGTGTGTCCGCCCAATAATGCCCAAGAAGCATGCACTGTGTACATTCAGCTCCTCCCTTATGTCCGTTTGATTCGGTCTACTTCGGTTCGGTCTGCTGATCGTGATTGAAGAAATTGTAGTCACATAGGCACGGATTCTCACCGTCTCATAGTCATATAGCATGCCAGTGACGGGCTCTCTCCCTACTCGTCATCACACTGCGTCTATTATCGCCTAAACGGGATTCTCCCCTTCCATATCAAGAAGTATATAAGTTCTGCCAGATTCCTCAGCCTTGGCGGCCAAAGAATAGGAGAATAGGACAACCTCAATCTAGCTCACCGCCGGCCCTATCAACAAGACGAAAGGCTGTAGCCTGCACAGCACCCGTCTTCACTATATCGGAGATGCGAGCCGGACATCCTGGTCGCACCAAGCGTCAAGCTCTGCCAGCTCCTGGGTGGCGAAAGATGTGCCATGCGCATGGGAATCATCGGCCATAACAACGAAACGTACCACTTTCACCCGGGCACGAAGAGCAAACGACCCGATGAAATGCTTTCTGGGCGAGAGCATGGGACTCATTGGAACGAACGTGGCCGTGGAACTGCACAAGCGAGGCGTCTGCAAACGCTTCAATGAAATTAGCTCTTGACATTGTTGGCGAACTTTGAACGTTGGCGTCGAGATCACCAGCGATGCCGTGGACGAGCCGCGCAGTGGCTTGCTTGTCCCTCAAAGAGTTGGAGAAGACAGCTGGTCGTGAAATCTCTGTGGAAGAGCGCGTGAGGAGAGAGGCTTGCGAATCTGTTCTGGACCATGGCGCAAAACTTCCGAAATCTCGAAATGGAAGATTTCTCGCCTGAGGCAGGGTTTTGTCCCATCTCTAGCCTGAGACAAGACGGTACTTATATATGCTCATCCGTGTCTACTTGAGTATATCGAATCACTCTACATGACGGCGCATTTCTGGGATTGCTCGTACGCAGCACCCCATTGATCAATCCCAGCCGCAACCCCATTTTGTCTCTGTTTTTCGCAACCTCAGCCTTGAAATTTGCCTCCATGAATTTACGCAGCTCTTCATCTATGTTATCTGTCCGTGGCATTAGAATGGTCCCGGCGATGATTCACAAAGGTAAGCGAAGTGGGCTTACCCGAAGTAGCCTCCAGAACAACTTCTTCGCGGCGCAACGGACAAGGATCTCGTCTCTGCCTCTGTAGAATAACCATGCATCTAATGCAAAAGAGGTGACGGCAACGGAGTCTGACTGGCTTGTAAGAAACGCTAAAGCATATTGGGCAGAGGTAGTCGCTGAGTTGTGGGATGATGCTCAAAACCTCCTTGGAGATGGTAAAGGATAGTGCTGTAGCCGGATCCTGCTCGATAAAGAGTGACGGGGTCAGTGAGCTCGTGAGATGCGCGTGCAGCGGGAAGCGGTTCTTGAATGTCTTGAGGATATCAGCAAGCGCAGTCTGACTGAGTTCTTGAAACTTCTTTATCCGAAGGAGGTCCTCGTTCATTCGGATAAAGCGCCCAAGTAAAGACAGACTTTCCCTCCTCAACTTGAGGAGTTTGTCGGGTTCTGCAGCTAGGGACCAGGCGAAAAGCTGGTACTGTTTTTGGGCGTGCCCAGCATCTCGCGTTCCTGCGTTGGCCTCACGAGAAGATAGAAAGACCTCAGCTTCGGAATAGGGTTCAAAGACTTTCCTCCGTGTTTTGATCTCCCGCCTTGACCGCCGCGATTTGCCCTTGCACAGAGCACGCAGGCCTTTGCCGAGTTGGACAATCTCATCTTGTAGATGTGTCCTCATGGATTGATACAATTGATCAAGGCCGGTAAGGTCTTGTTGAAGCACTTGAAAGATTTCACCCGTTACAGCTAGTAGTGCAGCCATCATGTCTCCCTGTTGAAAGGGTTCTCCATCTTCGAGTCCGGGTTTATTTGGGGGCCAAATTCGTTCATGGGAAGACACCTCTGGTGGGTGCGGCTCCTCCACATTAGCTGATTGCTCGATATATCGTGACATTGTTTTCGTCTCTGGTAGACTTAACAACATTTCTGAACGTATGCTCTCGCAAGGAATAGACACCATGGTAAATTGTGTGGGAACGGTGGTTGTATCATAGTCTGAGATGGAAGACCGGAATCGTTCAGTTGGAATCTCTCCCCCCAACTGCGTAGGGTCCAAGTGAGTTTGCTCGCGCGGAGGATCGAGGCTCAGATTATCGAGGCCAATAGTTGAAAGTTCTCGCTCGACGCGTTCGATATGCATTATCAGCGTGTTGTAGGAGATGGCGTGGTTGACCTAGTCTTGAGTATATTCGCCGCGGTCCAGAGCGGCTTTGTAGATATGGCCGAACTTCATGGAGCGTTTTATGCTTTCGAGATGCAGCCGAATTACTTGAGGGAACGACCGCGTGGAAGTCTTTTCTCAACCAGCGATGACTCTACATGTAGTGACAAGCTCTGCGCACAAATCTGCATCGAGCGAAGAATTGGTAGGCACTGCTCCGGCCCTCTCTAGAAATGTAAATGCCACGAGGTCTATTATGCTTTGCGCGTTGCTGAGTCCCAGAGGCGGAACACTATAAGTTCATTTGTAGAGAACAGAACGAATTATGACCGTTTGTGTGTGCTGTTGAGGCCGTAAAGTGATGGATCATCGCACCAGGGACCCAACTATTTTAGGCATATATACACACTGTTGAAACTATTCAGCTGAAACTATTTCAATGCAGTCGAACAACTCGGGAAGGCCCTGCTAGTCACGATTGGTTGGAAATTTGGGTTCCAAATACAGACTCATATTAGGCTTTCGTTATATCAGAGGCTCAAGGAGATTCCTACTGTCTTGCGCTACCTACTCTCTATCGAAAGATTGTGCATCGAGGCTCGGAGGAGTTGTGCGGCGCGATTATTTGTTGGCGCCACTTCCTGTAAGATAGCAGGCTAACGTATTTCAGGGGCAATGGTCTATAAATGACTGCGCCGCGGAAAATCACCTCCCTGCACCTGGATTCCTGGCTAAAGTGCGGGGCTGCGGGTCCGTGATGGTAGAAGCGATGTGTTTTGAGACCTTGATGCGATTGGGTCGCTGGGTGAGACTATGTTAGTCGACCAAAGCCTAGTGTCTCCATATAAGGAAGTTCATATGGACGCCATGCGTGACCCAAGGGCCCACAAAATATGACAATGAATGCGACCGTGACTCTGAAGAATTTAACCTTCGACTAGAACAAAGCGAAGACGCTTTGAAAAGGACGTCTAGCTGCTGGCTGCAGATGTAGAGAAGCCAGGCCCGGTGGAGGAGTGCGGATGGATTCAAGTTGACAATCTTCCCACCAGGAAGCAATAACCAGAGCTGGGATACAGTGTGGCGCGCGTCTACCTTTTGTTCCTCTTTCTTCTAGCTCATTTTATAAAAGGCACAGCCCTGACGGGGGGTCACCTTTGGATAGCTCAGAGCGGTCTCTCAGAGGTAGAGAATAACAATCAATTGAGAAGGCTTTTTGTGCTGGTGCCCCTGACGTGCACTTACATACTTCAGATCTTGTTCGAGGCGGTTCACTTTGAACAGTCTTTGTGGGCATGGCTTGGTACCAGCCCGCGCTCATTTCCTTCCTAGTCGGCCGTATCGTCATGAATCCTTGAATTTCTAAATAGATCGGTCACTTGCCATAGGTACGTCGAGCTGGCCATAGTAGAGAATATCGTAGGGTCATCACTGTTAAATGATAATTTAAACATTATTAATTGACCCAACAGAACCTCGGCTGGAAATGGGTCAAAAGATGTGACTGCCATGTAAAAGCGGCTGCCTCACTACGACGTGAAACTGAAACGGTCTTTTTGTGTGTTACACTCACTATGGTAGATACCAATGACTTCTGATGCTGTCGAGTCTTTATGTTCTCTAACCTCCAATAAACTCCAGAGCCTTGTATTTTGGTGTATAATCCCTGTAGATCAGAAAGAAAACCGCATCAAGTTCGAATTCAAGACCAATGGAAGCGCAAAGGTGCAGCCAACAACCATAGCAAGGGGATAGATGGGTGCAAAACCCGTAATAATGAACATCTCGGGCACCAGATGGCCTAGAGGACCGATTCCCGCGAGGATAATCATAAGTGCGGTCATGATAACGCAATACGTCAAAGACCACTTGAACTTGCGCAGGATCAGAGCCAGTTCGCTGGCAAACGATAATACGTCTGCCTCTTTTGCAGTCGAGCCCCACGTCATATTGATGGAGAGGAGGTGGCAGAGAAGGGCGCGAGAGACATGGACTGAAATACCGCCAAAGAAGCAAGTGATCATCGGTAGCCACATCAAATTCTCGAGGAAGGCAATGAGCAGGTTTCGGTTCTCTGCCCGGAAGCGATGCACAGCCAGACTGACTGTTCCGAGGCAGCCAAAAACGATGGCGGTGCCGAAAAACCACCTGAAGGCTTCGATGTAGTACCAGTCGACGTACGAGCCGACCCAACCAAGCACAAGGTAGTTCATGAGTGCAAACACCCACGAGAATCCAATAGCAAAGTAAGTGCCGATATATCCCACGGTCGTGATCTTGTGGGTGAGATTGATGTCGCTCCGGATGAAGGTCCGGAAGGTCTTGGTAAAGGGTCCGTGAAAGAGCCAATCTTTCATGGGGTTGAAGATCAATTCGCAGCATCCGTACGCATACTTCTCCCAGCGTGCAACTTCATCGTACACGGTGAGGGAGACACCTTCCTCGAATCCACTGGATATCCCAAAGATGGTGCTGAACCGAGTAATATATCCCAACGACTGTAGGCGAAGTGCCATTTCGAAGTCTTCAGAGACGCAGTTCTCCGCCCAGAATGTGCTCTTTCCGTCAACTGTCGTGAGTTTGCCTGCTTGAAGAGCGGACCATCTGATGATGGCGTTATGACCAATGAATGGCGCGATGTCGCCATTGGCGACGGCATTCTTGATTGACGTATATATCATGTCATTGAAGAATGCAAAACATTTTTCAAAAGCGGTCCCTGTCGTTTTGATCGACCCAGAGGAAAATTGCATGATTGCTACTTCGGGAGAAGTCTCCATCTCGCATACGGCGTCGAGCAGACAGTCTTCTGGTACACGCGTGTCCGCGTCAACAAGAAGAATGTAGTCCCCAATGCGGATATCACCACCAGCCCAACTTCGGCCCTTGTCGGCTTGAAGAACAGTGGACAAGCAGTCTTGGCAGAGATCTTTCTCCGGTTGTTGCGTCCGGCCTGGGTCACAGTGAATTTCATTCATGAGTTCCTCAACACGATCACTGAGGCTCAAGGCGTAGTTCATATTGGACGCCTTCTTGAATTTCCCCGCTCGAACGAATGGTTCGATGTTGTTGGAAGCTTCTCCGGCGGGACAATGTTTCGGCCTCGCCACCCACCCAATGTGGTTCTCCTCATAGTAGTGTTTCCGCTGCTTCGCATCCGCATCGGAGATTAGCTGCAAGCCATCATCATTAACGAAGATGTTCGCAGTTCCGCCCTGCATTTCATATGTCGAGACCGCCCGTTTGAGGGACGCAATTGTAGGGTCGAGGACGGTCCAGAGTCCTTCCTTGTACACGGGACATTGTATAGTCACATGTGGAAGGTGGCGAGCTCTCCGCGGTGACGCTATGGAAGAATAACGCTTTGAGTTTACCTTGGACTGAGAGACTGGCCCGAATAACTGAAGAAGGTTTGTGAAAACTGACTGGTAGAAGAACCACCCCAGCCAGAGCTCAAGTGGAGCAAGGAGGATTAAAGTGAGTCTGGAATAGGTCTGATCGAGCCTGATCTCCATGACGAGATCACGCCAGCCAAAACTGATCCCCACGATCCCTAACGCCGCAGTAAGCGCCGTCACGTATGCCTGGGCAAGGACCACAGTTCGTTTTGGAGCATGGCCCGGTCCCTCCTCTGCTGAATCCACGTCTTCGGCAGTATGTCGGTGGGTCGACCCGTCGGATGGTGAGCCTGATAACGACGGTTTGACGTGCTGGTTGGAAAGATGCAGGTTCCACAAGTGCTTCAACAGCTGATCTTCCAGCTTTTCTGTGCGTTGGATGAGGTTGGTTGGGTCGTTGTCCCAAACCAGTAGTATCTTCACATCTTTGATAAATGCCGCATACCGGTGTGTACGGCATCGCAAGAGTCCTCTCATGTCCGGCAAGACTTGAACCTGATGGCCGTTTTGCAAGCGGACGTGGTCGGACTCGTAGCTCCGAAGGAAGATATCGACGACGGAAGTGCTGACAGTCAACGCCACCTATCATCTCGTCAACAGTTTTCGTCATAATCACACGACCGATTATTCTGGTATGTCATAACCCACCTTGGCATTTAAATGGGTGATTCCTTGCAGCAATCCCGGCATTTCATCGAACAAGGACGAGGGCTGACACAGAAATTCATCCTTCCGCCGCTTCAAGATGACTCCTCCTTTAAGCGTAGCGCCGCTCCACAGTCTTTCAAGCTGACGCTTGCGCAGATATTGGGCTATCGCACCACATTCAATGTCAATATAGTCTTCGCTGTCCATCTTCGTCGAGTCCTTGCTGCACCAGGGTTTCTCCAAGGGTGCTGTAGTGGGTAAGCTATGTCCGGTCTGAGCTTTACTTAACGAGCAACAGCGGGGGAGCGGCTCTTGTATTGAACTGCGGGATGGAGATGATGGAGCCACGAAGTCGTCCATTTCTGAAAAGGTCGGTTTGCTGGTCACTTGAAGTTCACAAGGAAGAGAACAAGCGGGCAGGACGACATTAAATGCTTGTCGTTGGACCTCCACTTGTCAGCGGTCCGGATCAAATGGCTAAACAACAGAAATTTCGGTGCATTGCAGTTCGGCGCCCTTTCGATGTTACCTTCTGAACTGGCTGCATCTTGACAGGGAGGAAACACAGCAATGGAGACCTGAACCAGAGGAGGCATTGCCCCCGATGGGCATGCGATTGAACTCTGTAAGCCAAGCCATTGTTCAATAACTGAGACTCTCCAGCAGAGAGGTCAAATTAGAATTTGGTGAGCTGCGAGTTATCACCTGAAGAGTCAGTGGGACTGCCTATTTGGTACAATGATGCGGTACGTAAGAGGTGCTGGGTACTCAAATCGTCTTGAAAGGTTTAGGGTGAGGCTGATGCGATGGGCGCCGAGCTGGAGGGGCGGTGCCTGGATCGCATCGGAAAAGAATCACGTTATGTAGCTCCCGCCAAGAGGCTGGTTCCTATCTTAAGTACCGAGTACGCACCAAACTACTTCTGGCCGCGAATGCGATGTCTGGGCTGGGCGAGCATATGGACTCTGATTGGTGTTTTGTTCGCTTCTCTGCTGCAAGTCGAATGGAGTTTCCTTTTGAGTCAATATGGCTTCAACTCCTTGATGGAGTTGTCTGAGAAGGTAGCAGAGCAAATCTTAGTATGAGGGACTACGTCAGACAAGTAGGCTGCGGTAGTACTATACTTCCGCGGCCAAAGGCACGGCCCTCACCTTCCATCATATAAGGCTGTGATTCCAACTCTGTAAGGGTCAAATCTTATAGAAGGCGACTCTTTGTTTCTAGAACATCGTGCTCAAAGACGCCTTCTTCGCCTTCTCCGAAGATCATTCTCTTCTCAATATTCCGTGATTGTCTTAAATCGCTGAGGAAAAGAGGCCCTAACGCTGAGGGTGGCTGCTGGGGTACTACCTCCACTTGCCCTGGAATCATTTCAGTGCACGCATTGCTTCAACTCCACTAGCCTCTAATATGGGGCATAACGTGCATATCGAGAACGATGAGAATAACACGGGACCATCAACCCTCAAAATGCGCCAGCTCGCATCCCCCACAACCTCGGATGGAACGGGGGAGACTGGCAAGCAATTTGGTTCCCGTCCCTGGAGGAAAAGAGGAATTCAGAGGTCCTGGCTTCGAAAGAAGGAACCACGAGAAAGGTGGATGACTATAATTCCTCTTATAGGGGCTGTCCTAGGCCTTTGTCTAGCAGGACTGCTCATCTGGGATGGAATCCGGCGGACCCCCTACCTCGAATACTGCACAGTCTACCGGGACCACTTTTCCTCGCCCACGCTGAATGATGCATGGACATTCGATATATCATCTACGGGATTCGGCAACGGGGAATTTGAAACCACAACGAATTCAACTAAAAATGTCTATATCAAGGATGGTATGCTCAATATCCAAGCTACAGTTCAAGATCCGCCTACTGTTCTCGGCCCACCAGACACGAATATTACCAACCTCTGCCCTGATCAGACCTCTGGCAACTGCGTTTCATATATCAACACCAGCATCGGCGTCATTGCCAACCCCATTCAAAGTGCTCGCATCAAAACGAAAGTGTCTATCCGGTACGGCAAGGTCGAAGTGGTTGCTCGCTTGCCTCGTGGCGACTGGCTGTGGCCTGCTATCTGGATGCTTCCGACCAATAACACTTACGGCGGATGGCCTCGGAGCGGCGAGATCGACATCATCGAAAGCAGAGGCAATAATTATACCTATCCCGCTGGGGGGGACAATACCATATCTTCAACACTCCACTGGGGTCCCAGTTGGCAGTATGATAGGTGGGATAAGACACACGGAAGTATGCTCGCACCAGGGGTCTCATTCAGCGACAGTTTCCATACTTTCGGCGTGGAATGGACGCCAAAATATATCTACACCTATCTGGACCGTCGCTTATTTCAAGTCATGCGGCACAACTTCGCAGAACCAATGTGGAAATTCGGAAAATTTTGGCAGTATGACAGTCCGTCCGTCCAACTCGGTAATCCTTGGGAGTCTTCCAGCTCTGATTCAAGCCCCTTCGACCAAGACTTCCACCTAATCCTCGACGTTGCAGTAGGTGGGACCAACGGCTGGTTTTGGAACGGTGTCGCCGGAAAGCCTTGGGATGACCAGGCCACAGATCCCCTCGCACAATTCTGGCAGAGCCGATCCAAATGGTATCCAACTTGGCAGAAAGGCCACGGCCCGGTGATGCAGGTTAAATCGGTTACCATGTGGCAACTAAAGGGCTACAATGGGTGTTAAGGTCAAGCGGTGGACAGAAAGAAGCCTAGAGGGCCACGACAAGTTGTTTATACCTTTGCCCTTTCGGATATCGGAAATGTGCTGGTCTGTTTCTCTTAGATCTAGATTGTTGAAGTATGATGAATCCCTGTCCGATTGATCTTGTATCACGCTTATTCGTTCTCCTACTACTCCCTTGCTAATCATGGACGGTGTGGCTACTAGGACTAGTATTGGTCTTAGATTCCGCTGTCTCGCCCCGTTAGCTAGCAATCCATTCTTCGAGGTCGAAGCAGGGTGCTGCAGCATTATTTCATTGCCATGTTCTGACTTCAGTTTTCGTCACAGAAGGGGTGGGGGATGGGGTTCTTTTCATAGTTCTTTCTTTTGATCGGAGCACCCGATTAGCGTTCGAATGACCCCGGTGGTCACCCGAGCTGGCACCAGACAAAAGGCAATAGGATGCTACACATACGGAAGACCTGGGGAGGGCTCGAAACAGCATTCGGGTGGCCCTCTCGTCCTTTGCAAATATGCTTACCAGCATGCATGTGTAGAACGACAAGACATCGGTAAATAAAACAGCGAAACGGACAACTCATGCCTTCTTACACAAAAACCTTAAACCGGCAACAGTTGTCTTTTACGATTCACTCAGTCTCGACACTTCAAGAAATCCTAGCACTTTACCCTTCATAAAGATTGCTGTATCGCCTCTAAATCGAGGGGATGTATACTAACTACCCCTCCGCTTAAGAAATGGTACTCGTGTGAACATACGTACTTGCTCGCGATCCATGCTGAATCACACTTGGTGTTCGCTGCGCGGCGAATTGGAGACACAGAATATATAGCAATTTACATTTTCCGTGCCCAAACCGTCGTCTCCTTTTCGTCCTCGAAAGACTGGAGCCGGCTCTATAAGCTGCTTATGTAACAAAGCAAGACCTGTAGGTAGTATCTCACATCCCAGATCCAATGCGGAGAGCTGGTATATATACACGCTTGAGCGGATAGAAGATCACTCAAATCTGCTTTGTACAGTCCAATTTTCCTTTCCTGCATCCCCCTGCGTGTCGGGAACGCCCATTATGTATGCAAAACACCCCTTTTTATCATGCATGAGCTGTTTCATGAACTCTCACGTCTTCCAAAACACCTTGCTGCTGAGTGTCATCTTGAATGGCCCTGCATCACTCAAAAGACACATCTTCTTCCAGATTCCAGCATGTAATACAATCATGAAAAGAAGTAAGTGCTATCCTTCAGCCTCTTGACATCAAAGTCACCCCTTTTTGGCACAGGCCGGAATTTGATTGGCAACCACAGCCAAATTTGGTTATTCTGGCTCTTCTGGCCGGTTTTCTTCTTTTGTGTCCGGAGCCTCTGCCCAAAGGAATTTACAGCAATGTGGTGTGCTTTTGAAATGGGATCGGATGTGGTAGCTTTGTGCATCATGTTGCCGGCATTTCCGGCGTCGATGATATCTTCGTCGTTATCGTTGGCGACCGAATCTCTCAGGGGATCTAGCGTGCTTGCCAGGTCGACATCGTCGGAGACTTCGCTCGCCTTGAGGGCCGCATCCACAATCTCTCCCTTTGCACACTCCATTGTCTCTGGGATTGCGCCGATCGCCGTCTCTCCCAAAGAATCTCGGTGGAACAGATATTTATCTCCGTCATATTTTTCATATAGACTGGCAGCTGTCACCATTGTTTCACCTTCTTCCTTCTGTATTGGATCGTCACTTGCCATCAACTTCTTCTTTCGGATTTCTCGGACCAATTCGGCATGCCGTCTTTGCTGGATGCTCTTTGACCCATTGCCGGCAGGGAAGACGCCTTCTGCAATCATCTGCCTACGGTACTCGGTGATGGCCTTCCCAAGAACATTAGACTTGTTGATTTGTGCCAAATAAAAATGTCCATCGTATCGCTTATTGAACTCAGCCGCAAGCCGCCCGATGATGTCGTCGCTGTGCATCCGAATGAAAGCATCTCGCAAAAGCTCGTTGAGAGAATTGACGTCGGCGGCATGAGTCCAGAAACTGTCGTGGACGGCAGAAAAGCTGAGTCCAAGTTCGTTTGCCTTCAATGCCGAGAGAACCATATGCGTGGCATCGAGGGAGTGAATAAAATTAGGAGGGAAAGCCTGCAATTGCTTCCTCTTGTTTACAGAATCCGCAACACTCGGCTGGGCTAGTGTGATGCTCTGTAGATTAGTCTGGATTGTCAATCCCTTGTTGATGCGATACGGCTGCACCACCGGCAGTTTAAGAGGCGTGGTCCAGATGACTGGTGACCGGAACGTTGCAGATTCTAGTACCTCTTTGACCTTAGCTTTGCTTCGACCTGGGCGCTCTTTGGTCTTGTGACCGCCAGAGGTTTCCTTTTCGTAAATTTTTTCTTGCTGCGTTGGAGATATCGAGGAACTGATTCGGTTGGCGCAATCCCCCAACCAGTACTGGATTTCATGGGCTCCTGTGAACAGTGCACCAAGACCTCTGAAAATCTTTCTTGCAATATAGGTCGATGCTTTACCTGAGAGCCCAGCAGCCTCAACTTCTGGGATCAGGACTTCCACTTGTTTTCGCACCTGCCGAATTGCACCGAGAAAAGTGACTCCATAGACGTTGGTCATGACAGTCTGTTTGACTACTTTCCGTGTGACTCTGCCGTCAAGCATCTTTGCCAGTGAGTCTCCCTTGGCAGCGTCTTCTCTGATCTCAGCTTTGACCAGTTCGCAAACACCACTGTAAACGTCGGCGGGCTTGTCACCTGGTTCCAGGTTGACCTGTCGGGCCCCAGCGAGGTCTCCACCAAGGGCAGCATAGTGTTGTAATCCATTACAGGAGCCATCTTGATGTATTGGCAGTCTGGAAACGAATTTCGTGGGGTCGGGACTTTCGAGAGCGTTGGTCAGTTCAAAGCAAGTGGCCAGACATTGCCACGGATCCTCCGCGGTGAGCCACCATCGTCTTCCGCTCAGAGGGTTCTTAACAGAGTCATAAATATCGTCAAGATGATCCATAGGAAACTGGGCACGGTCAGACAAGCTGGCTTTGTCGTAGCCGTAGACATTAGAGAGATGAATTTTCAACCAACGTAGTCCGTCAGTGCCCAGCTCGCGACCTTTGTCGAACAATAAGAGCCCTCGGCAGTTATCGGCACCCATCTGATTGAGATAGGGTGGGATAGGATAGGCTCGCCCACGGAAGTCGATGTTATGCGGCAAATAGAACGTCTCGTCTAGGTATGCCTTTGCGATTTCCATCTGGAAATTCTGGAAACAACGATTTGAGTGGATACCTGTTCTTTCGTTGTCCATTGCGCGCATCTTGGAGAACCACTCCCAGCGTTCCTTTTGTGTGGCATTCTCGCCGGGCCGTTCAATCTCAGGAAAGACTTTGTTCAGAGGCGGGAGGTTGGCGACCTGTTCTCCGCTATTCCAAGCCTCGAGCATTACGCCGAACACATCCTTGTTGACTCGCCAGCCGGTCTTGCCGAGGACATCAACACCAGCAAAAAGTTGATCTAGATCTCCTCGGCTTGCTGCAGCGATGCCGTAATCCTTTTGTGCAGTTTCATTTTGTTTGATTCGCAGAAACGGTTGCTTAGATTCCAGAAATCCTCCATCGTAAAAACCTTTCCAGGGTTTTGGCGGGCACACCATGGGCAACTGCTTCGCAATGAGATGTTCTGCGGGCTCGCTAACGAGGAGCTTGACAAAATCTTCGTGTAGGGAGACCATGCCCACTTTTCGGCCATTCTGGTAGGCAGTGGAATGGAGAAAAACAGGTTGAGGCATCGAAAGCACTGCTCCGGTGGTTGGATCCTTTCTCGTGATTGTAATCTTGGCAGTCTCAAACATAAGTTCACAAAGTACAGCGCCAACCTTTCCATGTATTGCTTTGGTCCACTCTTTGTTGTACACGAACGGTCGAGCAGCATGGTGGGACGAACGCCTATGCAGATGCGAGGACAGGGTTGCTTCAGACTCGAAGGGAGACCCAATTATCCCTTGTCTCTTGGCTTTGCGCACAGCCTTTTTTTCCCGATCGATATTTGTCGCGTTATATTCGTTTTCGAGAGTCTGACCGAGTGAGGTGACTAGCCTTACCAGCTTGACCGACTTCGAGGCGCCGACCTTGCTCATGATCTGCACAAGGGCGATGGAAGTGACGGCCGCCACGTGCTCCGGGGGAAGTAGCTCAAGGAAAGGTGAACATTCGGCTCGGAGCTTCTGTTGTGCTGACTTTGGACCGGGCAATTGATCCTCTTCCCTAGCTAGCTTGATCTCTTGCTTGATCTTGTCGGCCATTATTTCATGCCATTGCCAAAGTAAAGCTCCAATTTCGCCATGGGCGAGATCAGCCGGCAGGATCCCTATGCTAGCTCTTTTCTGGAATTCGGCCTTCCATCGGTCGAGGGCGGACTGTATTGCATCTCTCTCCAATCGGCGTTGTCGTTGTATGAGGGGATCTTCCTCCGACCTTGATTCAACAGTGTTTTCTATCTGTCCAGAAAAGAGAGACAGCGAGCGTTTGAGCGAGGAGAGGCCCAACCCTTTCTGCTCTGTTTCCCGAACATGGAACCGCTCTTTCTCGTTTGGTCTGGTCGTCACTGAGTCCCCCCGGGAGGTGTCCCCAGATTGCTCAGGTTGACGGGGAGTGACTTCAATTGTACAGATTTGAGAGAGTTTCCCAAGATCTCTATCATCCAGAACATCTCGCAGGCTCAGTACTTTGCTTTCCAACTGGTACCGTTTGGTCATATCCCAATAGCGGCGCACTGTCCGGTCTCGTTTGGATCCGATCAAGGTCTCCAGAGCCACCTTTAATTTTAGCGCAAATGTATGAGCATCTGGTTCCAGCTCCGCTTTTCTCATGTGCACCTCAATCCATTCGTTTATTCGTTTTTCATGATCAGCATTGCGATTCCATATCAGGTCATCCACCATGGCCGCAAGAACGCGATTGAATGAGTTCCGCAACCGAGCGGAATTGTTTTGGCAGAAAAGGCTCATCTGCGACAGAAGTGTGAATGCCCGGTCCCATCGGTGCACTTGCAGACAGGCATCCAGGGTGGCCTCAATTTCATCAATGTTCCTTAACTTGCTGTTTCCTGCATTATTCTCGAGGTGGTCTTCGACAAGTTCCGCGGCATCGAGCATCAATATCTGGGAGAGGTCAAAAGGAGAGAGGTCACTGGTCGCAGATCGATGCGAGGTTTGGGCTATGGGATAGTCTCGGTTGCCATAGGTGAAAGGGATATAATCATCGCTGCGGTCAAAGTTCTCGGGCGCGGATGCTGGGGAGGCCAGATGTCTCGACTGGGTGATGGGTGCAGGCAATGTTTTTGAGCGCGCCACCGTGGGACGTGTGGTCATTGATCTGTGCTGATGTCTCGCATTGTATGGCTGAACGAGGACGGGACACAGCCACGGTAGCTGGATTCTTTCGGCAGCCTGCTGGACATATTGAAGGGCATGCTTTGAGTTGGCCGCAGCTCGCGTGCGCAGCATTGCGCAAATCCAGATGCAAAACTGCTGGTAAAAGCTGCAATGATAGGATTTTTGGGAAATTTTATCATCACAGAAGCCCGCCACAGCCCCCAGCGGATGAAAAGGAAAGAAAATAGAGGAGATGGGACAGTCTGGTAGATGGAAAGCAGATGGAGTGACTTGGAGCGCATGGCAAAAAATCGTTTTGGGTTCAGGACTCAGGAGCATCTGCATCTGCCAGCATTGGGCGGAGCTTTGCCGGTGGAGCCCGGCTCACGTGCAGCAGAGGCCATAGCCAATGACAGTGGCGACTCTACCTGCACGGCCCCACCTGCCGTCCGAGGCAAAATGGGTTCACAGGGTCTACCAAGTACAAGTACATACGGCACAACTCTCTGCATTGATCCTTTGCGCTGTTGTCTCGGGTCGACTTGGCCATCCCCAACCAGCAGAAGGGAAGGGGGTTCTCTTCAGTAAAATCCGGAATTCTCAAGGATAGCAAGCAAAGCGCAAAGTGAAACGGCCGGAAAAGAAGAGTCTTGACCCTTTGTCTTCGCTACCGACACCAAAGACCGCTTCTTACAATTCATACCGAAGAGATGACCGCCAACAGGATCGTCAAGGTGGGAATAATAGGCTGTGGTGAGATAACGCAAGTGGCACACATCTCAACATTGGGCTTTCTCTCGGACTTTTTCACCATCACATATCTGTGCGACGTGTCAGCCGAATCTCTGAGACACAATGCCCTAAAGGTCATCAACCACATCCCCAAAACCACACAGAATCCGGCTGAGCTTTGTGCTGCACCAGAAGTCGATTTGGTTTTCATAGCAAGCTCTGATGAGTACCACGCCATCCACGTGATCGAGGGATTGAAGCATGGCAAGCATGTATTTATCGAGAAACCGATGGCATTGTGCATGAGGGATGCTGATGCCATAATTGAAGCCGAAGAAAAATCCAAAGGTAAAGTAATGGTGGGCTACATGCGTCGGTATGCTGCAGCCTATATGGACATGATCAAGGAGATTGGTGGGATGGATAAGATTCTTTATGCTCGAGTAAGAGGTATAGGGCTCTCACTGCTTCTGGTAGCTTGCAGCATAAAAGCTGAATTGCACTCGCTTTTGAGCAGATATAATCGGTCCCAACAGCCACTTTGTTGCGCAATCAGGCACATTCCCAAAGGTCTTTACAGACTTCACGCCTGAAGCCGTCCAGGACAGGAATGACAAGGCGTCAGACCTCGTACATCAAGCATTGTCGGTCGAATGCGGGTTGCCCGTTACCCCCGAGTCCACGAGAATGTGGCGATTGCTAGGCGGCCTAGGCTCTCATGACTTGTCGGCGATGAGAGAAGCGCTGGGAATGCCAGAACATGTCATTGGAGCGTCCATAAATCTTCCATTCTGGAGGTATGCCTGATCTCGGAAGGCATAACGGGATTTTACGTTGGACGGCAGGTCGCTAACGTGCACAGTGCGATGTTGGAATATCCCACCTTTTCGGTGACTTACGAATCTGGGGTTGACAATATCCCTCGCTTTGACGCCCATATTGAGGTCTACAGCATGACAAAATCCGTTCGGGTCAAATATGACACTCCGTATATTAAAGGTTTGCCGGTGACGATGGTTGTCTGCGAAAATGTCAACGGAGTATATAGGGAGTCCATTGTCAAGAAGACCTATGAAGACCCTTATACCTTGGAAATGAAGGAACTATACAAGATGGTTGCCCATGGAACAGAAGTGAAGACAACAGCGAAGGATGCAAAGATGGATGTGGAGATATTTCAAATGATCATTAAGGCTGGAACACGAACCTAGCCTTCGCCTGGGTAATGACCCTCGGGGTATCATGGTCGTTATGGCGGCCTTCAGAATCGATCCTCTGTAGGAAGAAAGATGACGTACACCTTCACTGCCTCACTTCATAGGTGGGCTGTCCTTGAAATGGAATACGCGGACTGGTTCCAAGAGTCACTTGCCAACAGGTATCGAGTCGGCAGGCGGGTTTTTCCTTGGTCGTCCTCTCTTCTTTGGAGGATTGCTTGGGACAGACTTCGTGGCTGATGACATAAGATTTCTTCTCGACGCTGGGAAAGAAGCAGCAGGCTCCTGTTTGATCTGAATGTCGTCAACCGCATTCTTTGCTGTTGCCGAGTGTTCTTCTGCCAGGTCGTCGTCTGTAATCTCCGGGCTGCTTAAGTCGCTGTCCTCACTCATGTTAAGTAGTGGGCCATGGCTGCTAGATGCTGCGCCGTTTGCCTCCTTTTGACGCTGTCGCTTCTCTTCCTCCGCCTTCTTCCTTCGAGCTCGCTCTCGTTCTCGGCCCCGTAACTTGGACAATAAGCCCTTCTTGCCATCCTCCCGGGGCGCGCTCATTTTGTCCAACCAATCACCATTGCTGATGCAGCTCTGCAGCTTGGGAAGAGCGTGCAACTGATCCGAGTCCAGGCACATCCGCGAGCCGAAAACCGTCTTAGCGCTGGGCTCGTCCTCATCAACCCATTCGTACTTCTGCCACTGGTCCATTTGGATATCTCGCAATTGCCTGGCATTTTCATTCATGGTACGGTCCTTGGAATCGTCCTTGGTGTCTCTGATTTTGATCTCGATGGCTTTCGATTCGACTTTTGGTGCCGGCTGTTCCAGGCCCGGCTTTTGGCGGGATGAGCTAGCATTGTTGCCACCTGTGAATCGCTTTTGGTTTATTTCATCTTCAGCATCGATGTGATGTAGTTGAGGCCGCATCTGCACAACAGCATCTAAGTAGGAGAGGTAGATCCGGTTTTGGTGAAAGCATCCCACGAGATAAATGGGATCGCGGGCGCTTTGGTTCGCAATCTTGCCACCCAGGGTCTGGGTGTTAAGCAACGGTGCAGGGGAGGGAGGTTGATCGTGCATAGGGATATCCTTCAGTCTCATCTGTGCTGTGCCCGTCCCAAAGCCACCGGCCAGACCAAACGAGCCTCCGGCATTGAGGGTGCGGCTCTCGGCCACGGCTCTCCCAAATCTTTCCCCTGCGCTTTCACTGTAATATCCTTGCGTCAACATGGGTATGTCAATTTCTATGAAACCAGCTTCTGATTTGAGACGAAAGGAAGTTGGGGCTTGGCCCCACGCGGCATTGTACGGTCTGTCATGAGAGCGGTATGAAGGATATTGGAGGAGATACAACTTCGAGGAATCCTTGGTATCTGACGAGAAGCTGCTGGTCAAACAGACATCGTAGGATGCAATGACAGGGTCGTCGTCGTCGGCCATGCTGGCCGGGTTGTGAACAGTGAATACAAGGTCGATGTGGTGCTGGTCAAGAAAAAGTCACTGGCCATCCAGTTCAAGTTCTGCGGAAAATCATCGAGGTCCAGCAAACGGCGCAACAAAAATGATCCGCGAATGACGCGCGCCAAGGCTGCATGCTCGCCGTATGCAAGGCTGCGGTGCTGCAAGGCTGCCACACACTTTGAATTTGCCGCCAACGGCACTCGGTGTTGGTCGTCTTTGCTATGTAGTCGGTACCTCGAGCTCACAATCCCAACTTATGATTTGTCTGCACGCACACACCACGAAAACCGCACTCGATGATGCGAGCAGACCGGACTCACACTCCATGGCCCTTCGATGCAGATAATTGTTGGACTCCACGAGACAGAATACGAGAAATTTCTCGGCTCATCTTGCCAATCCAGCCAGAAGTTCGGTAGCCATGCTTTCGAAGCAACAGTGGTAGGAACTGGTGATTACTTTTCGCAGCCAATCTTCATGTTACTCGGCCAACTATTTCTGGACGCCTTTCCTGTTCTTTGACGCTCCGGGGATGTTCCCAAAGTTTGTGCGAGACTTGTGCTGCACCGGTTGTTGTACGACGGGTTGGATTGGGATGGCCTCCCAAACGCAGACAGACCACGCTTCCAGCGATCCCACTTTGTGTCTGTCTGGTTTAGGCAAGTCTGTCTCTTTTGTCAACTGTCTCCGATCTTTCCTTCAAACCCTCCCTCCGTCGCTGTCACGAACCATCGGCACACGATGTCGCAATCGGGAGGCGACCAATCAGAGGGGCGGGAGAGCGAATGACGAGACCGATAGCCGTAGCAGCAAAAATTTGAGAGGCGGCTTTTGCGTACCGGCGAGGATCAAGGCTGTTGTGGAGGCTTGAGGAAGCGGAGAATGGTGCAGAAAGGCAGTATTGGGTGAAGTATTACTATTTCATCAATTCCTCTCCCTCCTGCTCTGCTTTTTCTCGACCTTCTATGCTTTGTTTGCTGTCGTTCTCTTAGACCATAAAACAAGCGACAAGCGACATGGGGTCCGTTGCGAGCCCCGCAGAAGCCGGTATGTTTCCATTGATCACAGTTCCCCGCTGCCACTATCTTTATTTGGGAATTTGGGTCGATCGACGAGGTGCACGCACTGACAGGGCCATTGTTGGGCAGTCGCGAGAATCGCCTACCTCGCCAGCGATGTCGTTCTCTCCGTCCAGCCATCGCTGAGCACCGATTCCGAGTTTTCTTATCACTTATCCCGATTTATTGCGAATAATGCAAAGAATTTCGTCTCGAAATCCCTCCCCGAGATCATCCCTGTGCGCCAAAATGCAGACCCTCTGCTTTCTGCGTACACGCCCCTGCAGGCCGGGAAATTGGTCTCGGCCACGGCTCCCTCCTCTATTCTATTGAACTCGGTACCTCATCTGTATAAACTCTCCCAATATCCGATCGTCCTACATGTGGCGCTGGGAACACCTCAGGCAGACTTCTCAGAAATTAGCTCGATCAGACAATGCGGCTTTACTTTCTTGCAGTCGGAGACTCTCCAAGAGGCACAGGATATTGCGTTGACAGCTCATGCCTTGGCTGTGAGAAGTGGTAAAGGTGTCATTCACTTCTACGATCCCGGCAATTCCGCCCAGGACAATCCAGTCGCGATCGAAAGTCGCGAGCTGGTCCAAGCACTTCTTGAGACTGGTGTTAAAGCTGCACATTCGGGTGAAACCGAACAGACGCTCTATGCCAGCAGTGGAAGAACTGCCACCGTCACGGATCTTGGTCTGCCCGAAGTTGCTCCTCCGCAAGCCCCCGCAACGACCTCGAGTGATATTTTACCTCCTGTTGCCGTTCCAACGTCAACAAATGGACATACCGAGATATCCTCGGCGACTTCTTTGTCTTCACGACGGCAGAGCTCTTCAGGTAGCACCGCGCCGTCTTCACTCGCGACTACGATAGAAACACCGGTTTCTCGCGCAGTGAACGCTACTGACATATTTAACTATGTCACTGAGATCTGGTCTGCAATCGCTCACATAACTGGCCGCAGCTATTCTGCAATTGAATACTCAGGTCCGCCGGACGCCGAGGCCGCTCTATATATTTTTGGCTCAACTGGAGTATTTGTTGACATCCTCGACTCTGATGATGTGCCAGCCGATCTTTCGGGCCTTGGTATAATCACAGCTCGACTTTACCGGCCATGGCTTGGTAGCGCTGTTCTTCTGGACTCTATCCCTAAAACAATCCAGAAGATTGCGGTGCTAGAGCAGATAAGAAGGAAAACTACCAAGTGGGGCCCTGCTTTCCTTGATCTGTTGTCAAGTTTGAACCCTGGTGCCGGTGGGCAAAGTGCAATCTCTCTAGTCCAGTACAGACTTGGCCAGATTGATGCATCAACAGCACTGCAAGCACTTCGTGGCATTTTCCAGAATCTCGCACCTCCAGTTACCCCCCGAAAACACTCCCGTCGTCGCGGTTATTCTCAGGCCGCGGCGATCTCGATCCAGAATCTTAGTATTGGCCACGAGGTTGAGCCAACAGTTGATAGTTTTACCCCTGAACAGCCGGAGGTTGAAAATGCCTATCTCAAAATCCTTGACCAGTTGTTCAGCAACAGACTTTACATTGCAAATCTGCTCGACAAGAAGAATGCAGGTGTCTCCTCCACGATTGCAGCATCACCTGAGTATGGGTTTGGTTCTCTGCTTGCCCGAACCGAACGACGGCAACAATTTGTCAAGGAGGCGGAAGGGGCTGCCCGCAGCAATCAATTTATCACCGAATCTCCCAAGCAATGGCTGTCAAGATGGGCGTTGAACGCCCATGACTCCGTGAAAGCGAATGAAATTGCTCCGGAGGTGGTTGCACGTCTGTCCACAGATGGCTCAAGGCTAGCAAACTCACTTCTTGACCAAAAGGCATTCTTTTTCAAGGAGGCACAGTGGCTGATCGGTTCCGATGCTTGGGCGTATGATCTAGGCAATTCTGGAGTTCATCATGTTCTCGCCTCAGGCGCCAACGTCAACTTGCTCATCATCGATTCGGAACCCTATTCAGAACGAGCTGCAGCAGATTCAATGAGACGTAAGAAAGACATTGGTCTCTATGCCATGAACTTCGGTAATGCCTACGTCGCCTCAGTGGCTGTATACAGCTCTTACACACAAGTCCTGCAAGCAATGATCGAGGCTGAAAGATTTAATGGGCCATCGGTCGTTTTGGCTTATCTTCCTTACCATAAGGAAAACGATTCACCATTGACAGTCCTGCAAGAAACCAAAAAAGCCGTCGATATGGGCTATTGGCCCTTGTACAGGTGGGACCCATCGAATGAAGACAAAGGGGAGCCCACATTCTCACTCGACTCTGAACGCATTAAACGGGAATTAGAGGAATTCTTGCGACGCGACAATCAGCTGACACAGGTGATGAATCGCCATCCTCACTTTGCCGCCAGCCTTTCGGAATCGTATGGTTCTGAAGTGCGCAAGTTGCAGAAACGCAAAGCGAAGGACGCGTATGAACAGATGTTAGAAGGCTTGTACGGAGCGCCACTGACGGTTCTATTTGCTTCTGACAACGGCAATGCCGAGGGGCTCGCGAAAAGACTGGGCAACCGTGGAAAAGCTCGAGGGTTGAAGACCATGGTATTCGCCCTGGACGACTACCCACTTGAGGACCTTCCAAACGAGGAGAACGTGGTGTTCATAACTAGCACAGCTGGACAAGGTGAATTCCCACAAAACGGTCGTGCGTTCTGGGAAGGTATCAAGGACGCTGCGGATCTTGATCTTTCCAATGTCCACTACTCGGTCTTTGCGCTTGGAGATAGCCACTATTGGCCACGAAAAGAGGACAAGATTTTCTACAACAAGCCTGGAAAAGATCTCGACTCTCGCATCCAGTTTCTAGGAGGCAAGCTGTTGACAGCTATTGGTTTAGGCGACGATCAGGATCCCGATGGCTTTCAAACCGCATACCAAGATTGGGAACCTACGCTCTGGCGGGCACTCAACGTCGCTAACGTGGAAGGTTTGCCGGAAGAGCCACCGCCGTTGACCAACGAAGACATCAAGCTGGCGTCCAACTATCTTCGAGGCACCATTGCAGAAGGACTCGCCGATACTTCAACTGGTGCTATCTCGGCATCAGATCAGCAGCTAACCAAATTCCACGGCACATATCAACAAGATGACCGCGACCTGCGTGATGAGCGGAAAGCTCAAGGTCTCGAGCCCGCCTATGCATTCATGATCAGATGTCGGCTGCCTGGAGGTGTGGCTACTCCCTCTCAATGGGTTCATATGGATGCAATTGCTTCGGCTCATGGCAATGAAACCATAAAACTGACCACCAGGCAAACATTCCAATTTCACGGCGTCATCAAATCGAAGCTAAGACCGGCTATGCGAGCAATCAACAAGGCACTCATGACGACAATCGCGGCCTGTGGTGATATCAACAGAAATGTCATGTGCTCGAGTTTGCCGACCATGTCGGAATATCACCAGGAAGTCCACGCCGTTTCAAAGAGGATATCCGACCATCTCTTGCCTTCCACCACCGCCTATCATGAAATTTGGTTGAAGGACGATACCACCGGTGAGAAGACACAAGTCGCCGGCGACGCCGTTCAAGACTTTGAACCCCTTTACGGCCCGACCTATCTCCCACGAAAGTTCAAGATCACGATTGCCATCCCTCCCCACAATGACACCGACGTCTACGCTCACGATGTCGGTCTGATCGCAATCCGGTCAAAGGACAACGGCCACCTAGAGGGCTTTAACATCCTCGCCGGAGGCGGCATGGGCGTGACACACAATGACAAGAAGACTTATCCTCGACTGGGATATATGATGGGCTATGTGCCTGCCGACGTGGCACACTTGGTGTGTGAAAAGATCATGCTCGTGCAACGTGACAACGGCGACCGGAAGAACCGCAAGCACGCACGGCTCAAGTACACCATGGACGACATGGGCAACGAGGTCTTCAAGTCGAAAGTCCAAGACCTCCTCACGCCTCTGGGGATCACCTTCGAGACACCGCGGCCCTATAAGTTCGATTCAAACATTGACACATTCGGCTGGCTGCGCGACGAAAAGGGCATGAACCACTTTACGTTCTTTATCGAGAACGGCCGCGTCGAGGACACGGCCGATTTCCCCATGCGCACGGGCCTGAGAGAAATCGCCAAGATCCACCAGGGCGAATTCCGCCTGACGGGCAACCAACACCTGATCCTGTCCAACGTGACCGATGAGGCCAAACCGGCCATCGTCGAGTTGATGAAGAAGTACAAGCTGGACAACACGCAGTTCACGGGCATGCGGCTGTCCAGCTCCGCGTGCGTGGCCTTCCCGACCTGCGGGCTCGCCATGGCCGAGTCGGAGCGCTACCTGCCGACGCTGATCAGCAAGCTGGAGGGGTGCCTGGAGGAGAACGGCCTCTCGCAGGACTCGATCGTGATGCGCATGACGGGCTGTCCGAACGGCTGCGCGCGGCCCTGGGTCGCCGAGGCGGCCTTCGTCGGCAAGGCCTACGGCGCCTACAACATGTACCTGGGCGGCGGGTACCACGGCCAGCGGCTCAACAAGCTGTACCGCAGCAGCATCAAGGAGGACGAGATCTTGGAGATCATGCAGGGCCTGCTGGGCCGGTACGCCAAGGAGCGCAACGCCGGCGAGAGGTTCGGCGACTGGACGATCCGCGCCGGCGTCATCCACGAGACCACCGAGGGCAAGAACTTCCACGAGAACACGGCCGAGGAGGAGAGCGATGCCGAGTAAGGAAGAATTCTCCGGCTCAAAAGGGTTTTGTTCGAAAAAATTTATTTGCATTCGTCAAGCAATCCCCCCCCCCGGGGCCCAAAAATCGCAACTGCTTTTTTCTTTCAAACCAGCAACTTTTTGATAGTAGCCCTGCCGCATACATAGCATGGAAGAACGGGGGGGTTTGGACTGAATGAAAAACAAAATATATTTGTAGACAGAGTCTATTTTCTTTCTCTTAGTTCGGTTTTCAAAATGTATGTGTCTCTCTCTCTGACATGTCTCGAGATTTCCCAAGGGCCAGCCCATATATACAGACCTTGCAGCATGATAGCCCCTCACCACTCCCAATATCTTTATCTGTATATATATTTATATGTATCTGTATGTCTTGCGTGCGAGATATATATGTATCTAGGATCCAGAAAATAAATCAAGCCTTCTCAAAACACATGACGCCGTACCGGAAGGTCCCATTGCTGTACCCGCGTCGCATGGCGCGGAAAGCCTGCAGAAACGCGAGCCCGTCCCGGCCCTGGGAGATGGCAAATGCCCAGAGGCTGGGATTGCTGACTAGCTCCCAACTGATGTCCCAGGTGCGCGCCACTTGCTGGGATATGTCCTTTGGCGCGTGGAATACGCGGAGGCCCGCTGATTCGGCCATGGCGATGTACTCAGCCATGGTGTTGAGCGGAGGGAGGAGCATGCCGTCCTCGATCGGCTTGATGTCGTTCTCCATCTGCTCGGTGGTCAAGGGCGCGGATTTGAACCAGTCTGCGAGCACGAGTTTGCCGTCGGGCCGCAGGACGCGCGCGGCATTGCGGAAGAACAAGGCCTTGTCTGGAAAGTGGGAGAGGGCTTCGGAGATCCAGACACAGTCGAACGACTGTGAAGGGAAGCGGCTTTCCATTTTTTCCGCGTCGAGTTCGAAGTAGTGGACTTTGCCATTCTTAGGGCCGAGGGGCATAAAGTTGTCTGAGCCTTCGGAGCCTTTAGCGACCGCGGTTGTTGAGTTGGAGATGCTATTGCTGGGTACTCGGGCAGCTTCATCGTTGGTTAGGCGCTTTGCGATCTGGACTTGTCGTCCGCTGATGGTGATGCCGGTCACAGTGCAGCCATGCTCGCGGGCCAAATGGCGGGTGGTGCCCCCAATGCCACAGCCCACATCGAGGACAGTGGCGTTGGGCGGGAGCTTGGAAATGTCCAAGAGAAGGTTGATAAGGTTGGTTTGACCAGTCTCCTTGGTGTCATCCGGAGTGAGGAAATAGGCGTGGTGGATATGTTGGCCCCTGGGTTGCAGTTAGATGTATGAGCTCGACGCGAAATGACCATGAGAGTAGGTGCATATATTTGGGGTTGAGCCTCATGTTTGAAAGGCAACGGTACGTACCACAGGGAGTAGTAATAGTCGGAAGCAATTTCATAGTGGTGCCGTACCCTTTGCTTCAAGCTGTCGAGCGATGAGTGCGCCTCATATGTGGGCACTTCATACTTGTCTCCCACATGCTTCTGCTCGGCGGAGAGAGTTGTGTCCACCTTTTCCGTTGGGTCGCCCATTGAGTCTTGTTGGCAATATCGCGGGTGTCAAGGGGAGTGAGAGTTGGAGTTTTGATTTTGCGACGGGAATGTGTGAGGGCGGAGTTGGGGGTGTGTAATTGACCATGACATTTCAAGCCTGGTGAGCCACGTAGCGGAGAGACTCTGGGAAAATGGAGCGCGTCAGACAAATTAAATACGCCCCAAGCTCTTGACTGAAACCTCACTTAGCTCTCATTTGCAGCTGTCTTTTCGTCATGCGGCCAGCTGTGAGATGCGTCCTGCAGGGCAATGTACTGGGTACCTCGTACTTACGAGATACTTCTTCCCCTCCTGATTCTCGGCTGCTGATCCGGTTCGTCCTCCCGTCACTCCCTGGCCTCGGCCTCGCTCCCCTCCGACATTGTATTCGGTCTAAGCTCTTTCCAGTGCATGGCCAGAATTTGGTTGGGGTTTCCAAGAGCCACTCCGTGCTTTTGCTATCCTTGCATGTGCTTCTCCCTCGTCGACAAATGCGGGTGAGATAAGAGTGGTCTGATCCGGACACAACGAGGCGGTGAGCGTCAGAGTAGTAACTCTTGCCTGCATCAAACAAATCCATATTAATCGAAAGCAGAACTACGGAAACATTCACCGACCAACTACATCGTCGACGTGCGATTTAATTCTCCGTTGGTTTTTGTTTTCTTCTTGTGCTGTCGATGACCGGGCGAGCCTAGAGGGCCATAGATTGCCTTCCGTCCGTCCTTTCTTGTCCTCGCATCAAGATCATACCAAACAACAGACATGGGGAACTTCACTGCCCTTCCGACAGACTCGGACCCATTGCCAGATTTTCCCGCCTTGAAGCAAACATGCGATAAACCCCTTGATCACGGCGGCCTCACCAACGGCTCGTCACCCTCTTCTCCCAAACTCCAGTCAGAACTCACCGCCCTCCAACAACACGTCTTGTTCTGGGACCGCGACAACGACGGCATCATCCACCCCTGGGACGTCTATAACGGCTTTCGCGATCTGGGCTTCAGCGTCCTCTTCTCTCTCGGCTCGCTCCTCATCCCCTTATTTTTCTCGTACCCGACAACCCTGGCGCACCGCTGGCTTCCTGACCCTTGGTTCCGGATCTACGTCGGGAGCATCCACAAGGCCAAGCACGGCTCCGACACGGGCATCTTCGATGTCGATGGCCATTTTCACGCTGACAGATTCGACGCCATGTTCGACCGCTGGGATACCTCGCGATGCGGCGGGCTGAGTGCCGAGGAGATGTGGGCCATGTGGAAGAAGAATCGCCTTGCAGCCGATGTGGCCGGTTGGTGTTTCGGGTTCATGGAAATGTGGACGACCTGGCTGTTGCTCCAGAGAGATGGGAAAGTGTGGAAGGAGGATCTTCGAGGTTGTTACGACGGAACCTTGTTTTGGAGGATCAGTGAATTGGCCCAGAAGAGGGAATGGAAGCAAGGCTATGGCATTGGAGATTTCTTCGAGGGAATGGTGGATGCAGGGACGTGGAAGAATTGGCAAGTCAAGAAGCAGCAGCACCCACAAAATAGGCGCCGGTTGGTATCAACTTGATGACGATGTTGGTGCTGGACCAATGATACAAGGCCTTGAAAATTGGAGACGTATATTGTCTTATATGGAGAGAGGATTGAGGTGTGTGTGCAGGCTAAGGACCGATAAATGGAAAGCCTTTGGCCCCAGCCGAAGGTCCAACAACAATGTTCACCTCATTCATTTCATGCGGCACAACAAGGAGCCGCGCCAACACGGTCCATAAAGCATTGAGCTGATCAATTGCCTGATATGGCGCCAATTCGATGATGAAATGGCCCTGTCCCCAACACACAGGACCAGTGGTCAAGTTGGCGCTCGGATTCACCCATCTCACCCAAGACCTCCTCGACATTAAACCCCGAAGCCTGGACGAGATTGCTATACGAACACGAAACGTGGGCGTGCATGGAAATCTTGCAACCTGCAACCTGGTCTGCCAGCTGCTGTTGGTAGTCAGTGTGGTGGCACCAGCGGTGTAGTCGAAGACGCTGGCCTTGGCCACAGACAGCTGGTTGAAAAAGTTGGCATATGCTTCAAACGCCTGGCCAGACTGGAAGATTGCCGTCGCACTTGCATTGGTCCCGGCTCCCAGAGTGTTGATGTAGGTGAGGGCCAGTGAGAGGGCTCGGGAAGCACACTTAAGGGCTCCAGCCTTTGAACTAGGTGGTGATGGCCCGACGCCCAACATCAACTGGGACGATTGGGATAGTATATTTAATTCTAGTCGGCGGTGACACTGACGATCTGGGGATAAGCGGAAGGACAAGGCACTCGCACGTTACAACAGTCAAGAACAGTCTCGCAAACAGTGTTGGGAAACGGCCCCGTCACATGATACACCAGCGAGCATTTGCAAAACCGGGTTGACCGGGGTGCTCGTCTCGGCACGCTTCATAACTTGAGCTCTGCGGAGTGTCACCGGGGTAGTCTTCGAAGCTCTAACGTGTTCAAAGAGGTTTTGATATCATCAATAGCTACCAATATGTCTGCTTTCCACTAGCTACCTATCTCGACAACACATAGTGGTGATTAGTGATGGCTAGTTTGGTACTTCTTGGTACTTGAAGGATGACTGCTAAATAGCGACGGAGCTAAGACTACTGAGCGGGGCTCGTAGGTTCACTAGTTCAATTTTGAACCAGCTAGTCTTTAGCCCACTAATAGCCCAAGTGGCAGCCTAGCTGGTCCGTCCTGCCCACCCGATTATCCAGCCTGATCTTGTTCCCTCCTCGATATCAACATCGACCTAGCCAGGCAATCACGACCACGATACACCTCACCGGTGCTACATAGCAACCCGTCTACGGAGTGGTAGGAAACGAAATCTCGTACTCGTACTCACCAGCCAGATCGATCATCATCATCCAGCTACATACAAGTACAGTGGCTAGCTCGAATTGGGCCCCCGATCTACCCCATATTTGCCACAGGTGTCACGTCAGAGCACAACGGCTACGAGGTAGTGCGAGGATGGTCGTGCGTAACAAAATGGACTTTAATCGTGCTTCTGACGCGGCCGCCGCCCCCGTCGCGGACACGGGTCTGGACCTAAACCCCCAAGGAGGTCTTGACCGTTGTTCTACTTGCTCTACTACCTACACGGCCTCGACGGTAGTCGTGGACAAAGCACAAACACAAACACCCCCGGAGACCATCGGAGCGGACTCGGATAATGACGATGATGGCGGTGTCTCTGATGGCGACAATAAAAGCAACGACCACGGCCAAGGTAATCGCCGTGACCGCACCATGCCCAGCTCCTCTTCCGTACCCCTGCGCTGCCCCTGGCCAGGCTCCACGTACATAATCCGCAGCATATCGTCCGGTGACGTACTAACGCTCCACGACGGCGAAATCACACTCGCACCACCACCGTCGACGAGCGCGGCACAGAGCGGCGGCGGGGGTGGCGGCGGTAGTGTGCACTGGGCCTGCACGGAGACGAAAGGCTGGCTGGGCTTCCGGAACGTCGCGTCGGGCAAGTTCCTAGGCTACGACGGCAGTCACGGGCGGGACAAGCGCCACGGTGACCGCGACAGGCACGGCCGCCTCATCTGCGTCGTCAGCCGGCACCAGGGCTGGGAACACTTCACCGTCAGGCCCCGGCCGCAGGGCGGGTTTCTCCTCCTCACCACGCACTTCGAGAGGCTTTGGCGCGTCGGCATCCGGCGGGGCGTCGAGCAACAAGCAGGAAGAGGAGGAGGAAAAAGAGAAGGTGCCGAGAGTGGTGGCAATGCTGGTGCTGGTGGTGGGATTCTGGCTAAGATCGACGACGGTGATACGGCTGGCGAGGAGGTCGTTTGGGAATTCATCAAGGTTTAAGCTTTAAACCGACCCGACTCACCTACTCCGTACCGACTTCCACAGTAATTTAATTGGACGGTTGGCCTCAGAGAGAGAAAGCTCTTTATCTCGACCATTGCATTACGTGCTCTAGGACAGGACGGTTAATGGCGGCGGATTCGTTTTGGGTGCTATGACAAGTGGCTTGCAGCCCGTACTACTACCTAGGAGCCGCAGCGTTCAAATGATGAGCGGCAAGCCAAATTAAAAAGAAAAACATAAGTGACACACTCAAAGTCCCGTGCTGTTAGAACGAGGTGGCCGTCGTTGGTAATGAGCATTCCGCCTGCCTACCCGAGGAGTAGTAGCCCTCTGTCATGCATCCTAGACTGGGATTATATTCGATATAGCAATCGCTGTGACGTTATTAAGCACTCTTGAGATATTCGTTCCGTGACAGAGAATGCCACTTGTTTTTGAATCGGGGTTAGTGGACGACGCACGAGGCGTCGAGTCTGGATTTCAATTCTCTCAACGTGGAAATTCTTCTGACGCTAGCGGCTGTACAATTCTGAGTTGCTGTAGAGCCTCATCGGCCTTCTTGGTAGAGACTTTTGGCTGCACCCAGTGCGCCAGCGGCACCGCCCATGCAGAGCCTTCTGAATAGGCCTCGCCATCCGAATACACAGACAGGGCCACGGACTGGATCCATAGAATAGGCCGCCCATATTTTCCGCGATTTTAGGGGGGGTTGCAAAGCGGTTCTTCTCGAAAACCATACATATCTTCATATACGAAATAAAAATCTTCCTGATTCCTGTGAGAGCACAGAACCAATGTAAATTAGTTCCCCCAGACACTGAACAGGTCCCAACTCTTTCAGGCATTTGTGTTTGTGCGGGAGCCGCCGAAGCCGTTGACAAGGCTGTAGGACATGTGGGCGAGTTGTTGCCCGCGTTGAGGAAGGCGACCACCTGATCGCCATTGCTCAGGCCCCACTGTCACACTTGAATTTCTCTCGACCTCCAAGCGTCCTTCTCGTCGACCTGCTCTCTGATTGTCCCGGAAACAGCACTGATGCTGGGGTCCTACGATATGCCAACACCGGCGGGTTGGTCAGGATGGCATAATTCTCCGGTGAGGGTTGTATTGAAACTGGCAGCTTGGACGTCCTCCTTTGCGATGCCGCATCACTGGACGAACCCTCAAGGTCGCGACATTGAGGTCGACTGGGGAATCGAGCTTGATTGAACAGAAGTAACTGCGGCATGGTACCGAGCAACAAATGCTTGACGCTGCTGATCATGTTGGTGCTGGGCCGCGTTTTCTTCTTCCTGCGCAGTGATCTGCCGATCCTGGGAGAGTCTCGCGATCTCTTCAGTTGCTCTTCTGCGACGCTCGAGCTCTTTGTCAGACTGGTAGCGGAGGTACTGTCGATAGCGCGTTTCGGATTCGGCAACTGCATTGGAGAACAGGTTAGCGCTTTCCCATTCGCACATAAGTGTGGACTCACGACTCAAACATGTCCTTTGTTCCCTTTGTGATTGTCTTCGGTACATCCTCTTCAACCGCTGAAACACCGACAACGCAGCTTGGTCACCTGGCGGCGGATCAGGCGGATCGCCTGGATGGTGGTTAGACGAGCGTGTTTTGAAGTTCCCTCCATGGCTTACCTGGAGGAGGTGGGAAGAACTTGAATTCAAAGTCATCAAACGAAGCCTCAAGAAAACTCCCATCGCCGTTCTTTTGAACCCAGCGAACATAGTTAAAGTCGCAAAATTGATCGAGATCCGGTAGTTCGAAAAGGTTGTTCTTGTGCCTGTTAAAAACATCAAACTCGTCCAATGTGTTGCCCCCAAGCAATACGTCGGATGTGAGCCCGTCCAAGACGTAAAACTCGTGCGGTTCGTGCATGCCTGTCTGAGTTCCGATGGAGAATTTTGCAAGCACCTTTCCAGAAAGTTGCTTTGTGGAGCCGTCTCCAAACTGCACTAACTGGGGATCGGGGTCCAGCTTTTGAATGTGGAAGCCGGATTGCTTAGCATATGTCAGGGACATCAAGTCAAGGTCCGAACCGGTGTCGGGAACTGTCTGCACCAGTTGATCTCCAATGCGGCAATTCAGTCGCTGTCGACGCAACTCCATGTGCAAAGCCCGGAGGCTTAACTGTTGCGATGATGTGGCCTTTCGAAGACGGTAGCGGAATTTAGTCAAGCACTCTGTGACTTCGAGAAACTTTCTTCCCACAATCAAAGGGACGATCAGACCGGGGAGCACCCAGAATCGGTTCTCGGATGTCTCTCCAGCCTCGTGCGTGAACTTGCAGGAAACAGTCACGTGGCCAAGCACCTTCATTGATTGGCCGACAGCGTTGATAAACTGGGGAGGGATACTGCCTGGTGCATTGGCTTGTTTCCAAATGTGCAACTTGAGCCTGGTCGCGAGCCTGGCCGAGATGAAGTTTTCCTGAGCCCCCGTGTCTGCAACAGCAGACTCATTGTAGCCATTCAATGACAGGTCGACACAGGATCTGATGGGTGGAGATGGTTTGACACCGCCACAGGGAGCCTTGGGCTCGTTGATCAGTTTTTCTCGTTGCGATGTTGATCTCGTCTGGCGAGTGTCATATGGAGGAGAATGGCATTGAAATGACCGCGGCGAGCTGGGACGGGGTGGGCTGAGTTGTGGCCCAGAAAGACCTAGTGACAGGCTTCGATCCGGGGATCGGGGCGAATCGCCTATTACCAGGGGCCGGGCAGGCGACGTCATGGCCCGCCCTTGGTAGCTGATGTTTGGGGTGACACTTTAGTCCACGTCAAGGTACAGACATGATACGGAAGGTGTCCTGAGGCACCATAGGAGAGCTTAAGTCAAAAAACCCTTGGGGCACTTTGGGTCTCTTGGGAGAGGCGACGCACCCGGATGTGGCATCAGATGAGGAAGAAAAGATTTTTGCTTGGGCGATGTTCGATGAGGAGTCTGCACCTCCCAAATATCCTACTGTCTCTTCCTGCATCATTTCTGGCCTTGGGGAAAGATATATTTTTAAATATAAAAAATTTATCCTGCGCACCACTTTGTTGCTTACACAAGTCTCGTGAAGCTCGGAAACACTGGTGATTTGGAGCTGGGATGATTCACTTGATTAACGAAATGGAATCAGAGAAAAGTAGTGGAATGCCAGGCGACACTAATGCAAGAAGATGGAGCAAAGCAGGGCAACAATAAGGACAGAACTTACGAAAAAAGGGCAAGGGTGCGGTCAAGACCCAAGTACCTCCGAGCTTTGCGGCACGACAACCCTCGCGTGGCCTTGCAACACTGGTGAATTGGACTCTGGCGACAGGGTGATTTTCCAGTAGTAGAGAAAGGATAATCATGGCAGGTGACACTAATGCAACACAATGGAGAAGAGGGACGAGAGAGTGGTGACGCTAATGCAAGGACAATTGGCGCGAACCATGCAAACCACGGGCTCAAGAGAAGGGCCCAAGAGAAAGGCAACTGCCTCAGAGCAATCTATCATACCTTGAAGCTGCCTGGAAAGGGCGTCGCCTGAGTTGATCGGCCGACTGCCAGCGGGCGCCAAAGACTTCCATCTGCGAGCCATGCGAGGCGGTCATGCGGTTGGGGGATGCAAGTACGAGGTAAGTCGGGTTATCTTATGCAATTGGGGCGGAGTCTGCGCCCTCCTGCAGCAATGGCAAGGCTGTCCAGCAGGACCCTCCCTGCCCTTTTCTGCTGTTCCCCCAATCCAGACCTTGATAACTCCTTTCACAGATCCTCAATCTTCAACTCGGTATCGTATTACCGATCTTAAATCAGATACCATTCTTCCCCCACCCCAGCAACCCAAACCATTGCTCGGGATCGGGAGTAAGAGAACACCACAAGACTCCCCGATCTACAGGAGCTCTACTCCACTTAGGAGCTTGAATTCACCGAGCAGCACCTTTCTTTCTGTGGACATGAAAAGAACATGCGGCCAGACATTGAGAAAAACAGTATAACAGTCCACTATATCAGCGGATATGCAGATCTCGCAAACTTGATATCCAGCGACGTCGATGGGGACACGGCCATCTTCCAAAGCTTCAGTGCTTTGGCATCGCAGGATCTGCTATATATGCAAAGCGAAGTGGCCGGGCTGGAAGCCAAGCTGCGAGACATAGATCAACAAGATGAACGAGACTTCCAGGAGCGCGAATCATGGCCCATGGTCTCACTGGCATCCAGGGACTGGGGTGTGCTCGTGCAGGAGGCAAATACGCCGCATTCACCTATGCAAGCTCGATTGAAGCAGCGGATGGATCTCATCATCACCATCAGGCAAAAGCTAAAGCAATACCGTTCGTATGGGCCATGATCATCTGAATACCACTGACCATTCTCCTAGGAGAAGCTCTTCTTTTAGAATCTGCCATTCTTGCTCTGAGGAAGCCGTCAAAGCAGGCACACAATGCCTTTCTCCGTAGGTTTTGGAACGAAGGAGATGGACGACGCCGCATCTCAACCCTTGACGGACACAGCAAGTTCCTCTATGAAGATCACACGCAGTTAGTGGCTTTGAAGAGGGTGGACAACGAGGATCGACTTACCCAACTGCTGAAGAAGCACTGCCCATGGGTCTTCAAGGTAGTAATCATGGTTCATTACGATCAAGGCGTGGCGCTGGCTGACTTGATAGGTTGCTCGAGTGAAGACGCAGAGCACGGGCATCGAGTACTTTTCGGCACGAAGGATGTCGTTAGTGGTAAACCTCATCACCGTTGTCCTCGCCGCTGGATTGCTGTTCGGCGCCATTTACAACTTGTACTATGTCCGGCGAGAACAGGTCAAGTTGGGATTGATAGCTGGATACACTTTGACGTTTGCTTTGAGCATAAGCCTGATTTCGAATGCTCGGAGGGCTGAGATCTTTGGAGCCTGTGCAGCGTACGCAGCGGTGCTGGTCGTGTTTGTAAGCGGTGACTTAGGAAACAATCGGGCACCCAGATAGCGAAAGAACAGGTGTGCAAGACCAGAAGTGCGTCTGGCCAGGTAAGACGCTGAGAGCAGAGCTGGAGAGGGAATGCAAAACTTAAAAGGGAACAAGAGATTTTCTGACAAGGGCAGGCACTCAACAAAAGCAAGCGGCTGCCGAGTGTCTTTTTTGGTAATCCGAAGTTCACACTATGCCTCGCGGCTTCCCCATGGTAACTTGGCTCTCGCGTCAATCTCTCCCAAACATCTTCACACGGTCTTCGAGCGGTAGGTACGTCCTCTCTCTGCTCCTCTTCAGACCATCCAGCGGCGCACCAAACACAAGCTGTGAATGCAGGGCCCACGTCTCTGGTATGTTCCACTCATTGCGCACTTTCTCCCTGAACTCGGACATGAAGTTGTAATGCTGAAGATTGCAACCCAGACCTTCCAGCTCCAAAGCTGTCCAGACGACGAGTTGGGCCATGCCGCTGGAATGACTAGACCCTGTTGGTTTCTGTGCTCAGCCATCTCGTCATCAAAGACAAACTCGGAGAAAAAATGCCAGTACTTACATTGCGGAATGACATGTTGGAGGGCCGCATTCTTCTGTTTCAAGGCGTCGAGCCCGGATTGATCCTCGAACCACAAGACGGTGCCGTAAGCGGCGCGGAAACCCTGCACCTTGGCCGCCAGGCCCGCATACGCCTGTTCCGGCATGGCTTTTTTCAAGGCCGCATCGCCAAAGTCCCATAACTTCTGGTGATCCTGCTTCACCAAAACAACTGCGCGAGTGGACTGGACGTTGAATGCTGACGGGGAGTGCTTGACTGCAGAAACGACGATGTCGCGGATCCGCGCGTCGGAGATTGGAGAGCTGTTGGTGAGAGTGTAGCACGAGCAGCGATTTTCGGCTGCGGCGAGAAAGAAGTTGGTCGAGGCTGTGGCGACGGTAGAAGTCATCGTGCTGGTGGTGGTGTGTCTTTTGTTATTGTAAATGTTGGGCTCTAGTTGCCTTGAGTTCGAGATGGGGTGCCATCATGGAGGTTTATATACTTTCGCAGGTCGAATTCGATCCCAGTTAAGATGCGCAAGGTGCTTGGTACTATGGGAGACGATGAAACACATCGTCACTGAGACTCTGACGCCGTCTGTCGAGTCGACAACCGTCGTCGTGCCCGAGCGACCTCTTTGTCGGGGCCGAACAGAAAGCAAGTCACTGACTGATATGTGTCGTTGACCGGCTCGGTGAAGCGGTTATTGCCTTGACCCGGCCACTTATGTAGAACAGCACTACCGAGTAGCAATTTCGTCATTTCAAGGCTAGCGGGGAGCCTTGTGCCCGCAAGTTGTAACAGCCGACAGCCGGTCACCTGGAGCCTTCGGGCCTTAACTCCACAGACCCCAGGCGGGAGACGGCGGCCGGAGATACAGATGCGAGCCGACCGGACTAGCTAAGTAGGTAAAGCGAACGCGGTTTTAACCTACTTGGTACAGGAGCCTCGGGCGAGCCTCACCCAGAACAAGTTTTACTCTCGAGGGATTCCCCTCGGGGATTAATCTCCTCTGAATCGTGCCCTGGTAAACCTCGCCGACTACTCCCCACAACCTGGAGGGAGACTATCTAGCCTAGGACGATCAGTTTCCATACGCGATCTTTCAGCGCAGCCCAGTCCAGGATCGCAATCCAGGCAAATCCCTCGCGCGACGCGATCCCGTCCTTCCATGAAATCACCATGATTCCAATGGCTCCGTTGTTGATGTGCCCACCGTCCCAGTCACCTCTATTTTGCGCAATGGCAATGACCTCGACGGTTTTCCTCGTCTCGCCTGGCCCAAGCGTGGGCGGGTGGAACCAGGCGGCTTCCATGTATGTCGTTCCTTGAGATATTGTCGTGCCCCACCCCGCCGAACTCTCCCCGTCTCTAGAGCCAAGGGAAGCGCTGCTGCGGTCTTCAAAGGCGATGGTGACGTGGGTCGACGCGGTCCAGAAGCAGAGGACTGATGACAGATTCACTTGGGTATTATTTGAGGGACTGGGCAAGGAATCACGCGACACATCTGTGGCTCTAGACGAACGGTCTGGGATGCTAGACCCCTCGGCGAGCAAATCAACCTTGTCACTGAACCTCCCGACCTGCTTGAGGTGCTTCATGGCCTTTCCATCGTCGGACAGTCGGTAGAATTCAACCCCTAATGGCGCCATGGTCAAGTTTTGATTGTCGATTTTCGTAGATCCGTCACTCTTCCAGCCAACCCACGACCAGCTTGGGAAGAATACTGGGCTTTTGGGATGGCCATTCGACGTAGAATCCCCACGATGCGGCCTGGGTGTGAGGGCGCGATTGCCCCAAGACAGGGCAGACTCGAGAAAAGCGCACGGCATGCCCCAAAAGAACTCCAGGCCCATGGACCTCTCAAAAGCACGGATGATGCCCGAAAAGGCATTCAGGGCGTCACTGTCGTATTTCAAGGCCCGTGTTGAATATTCGCCTAGGAGGACGCGATAATAGTGATCGAACGTGATATAGTCCGAGTTCCACGAGAGGTTGAGTTCCCCTCGACAAAGACTCGTCCTGTGGGGATCCGGCAAGATATGGGGGAATTCCCGAAAGCTGTCTTCGCACCAGAATGCCTCTTCACACTCCCAAAACACCTGTTCGGCCGTAAAGACGAGCGACCTGGCAGCCAGAAACCTCTCTTGTAGTGTCCAGGCTCGAGTATCCCAGACTGTTGTACCAAGATAAGCAGCCGCTCGCCCTGTCCGTAGGTCGACTTTCATCCCAGTCACTGGATCGAGCGACTGTAGGAGGCTCAAATTTCGGACATTGAAAACCTCCTGTTTCTGTTGTCTTGAATGTGGACGTACGCCAGGAAGGTGGGAATTTGCATCGATGCACGTCGCTGCGATGATGACCACGGTCGCCAAGGCGTAGATAGAATCCATCTGTGACACAAACTTTGTCTTATCCGCCGCATGGTCTTGCATAATGCACAAGCTGTCGACCCAAAGGTACTGCTCGCCCAAGCCTCGAGTGACTTGGAGAGCATCCTCGACGATAGGCGGCAGTACGGTAGCACTAAGTGACCCAGGGGTGAGGAGGGTGTGAAGATTGCTTTGGAGCAGGCGAGTGGTGTTTGTGGTCCCCCAGACGTAGCTCAGGCAAACCCAGGTATCTATCTCTCTTGCCTGCACCAGACACCTCTGATGGACGTCAATGACTCGAGGGGAGATCTTTGGCGTTCCTCTGAAGATCTGAGAGCATTTGCTTCCATGAATATTTTGGCACGCCTCTTTCCACCTTTGAAATAAAGAGAGGTTTGCAACAAGGGGCCGAAGGCGACCGGTATAGGGTTCAGGAATGGCGTTATCATCGGTTGCTAGCCAAGTAAAGCCTTGATTCTCAATGCGCATCTGAGCCTTTGATGATGATGCGGTCTCGGGATACGATTGGAAGAAGAATGTGATAGAGCATGTCTTGTCATCTTTTGTTGTGGTCGCATGGGGGATGGTGCAGTTATCCTGAGACGGTCGGAATGAGACTTCTGTTTTGAGGAAGATACTCCATTTTCCACAGGATGCCAATCTGTATCCAGCCGGATGTCCACACGAGACCGAGAGACATCGAGATGTTGCGTCTGGCTTGCCGGGGCGTTTTTGATCCATTCATTGACCAGATTGACAATCTTCCTACAAAGCGAACACTTTATAGCGCTGTTCGATATAGCGACAAACTCTCTTTGCACAAAATAGTTGTTGCTCGAGTACTCTGCAGAGTCGTGGTACCCTATGTACTCCAAGTCGAGATGGCGGCAGAGAATGCAGAGATCGCCAGGGCTCGATGGCCCAACAGCTGGAGACCATCAACCCTGAGTTGTCTGGGGTTAGAGAGTGACTGAATAAAAACAACACTCACTCTTTGCTGAAACTATGTCGCCCTCATCATCTGAGAACCGAAGCGAGTCTCTTGACGAGATGGAGGGAATCGCGATCGAGGACATGGTATACCTTGTTGAACCCGTCAACTCGACTCGGTATCAATAGTCGTGTCATATTGTGACCGTTTCACAATTTGTGATGGTGCTGCTATTTTCTAGACCCAAGTAGGGTTCCTGAGCGCCCGAGAATCAGTGTTCTTCACCGAGAAGGCCGCTTTAGGCATGGCAAACCCAAGAAGCCAACCCGACTCATCGACAGATGGAACACTGACAGCGAACGATAAGACGAGGGATAAATGGACGTGGCCTTCGCGCACTCCCTAGGGTCGAACCGTATCTGGTGAGTTGATCATTCGTTTGCAAGTCACTCACCTGTAAAGTCGTTGCCAGAAACCCGTCTCGGGTTTAACACAGCTGTAGACTGCCAGACAAGTTCGGCGGGAAATTTCCCTACAGTCTGTAAGTATGGGGCACCGTACTGGGTACCGAGTAGCCTACGAAATACGCACTCCGTAAGACAGCCAGCCTCCTTGCTCTTGTTCAGGGCTGAGGTCCGTGGGGCAAGTCCTGCGGATTTCAGATTACTCGTTCTTACATACTGAGATACCCAGCTCTTTGTACATGGACCAATGCTTTGCACCGAGTACAAAGGATAAATAATACAAGATCAACGTCGGAGTGATAGACAGACACCTTGCGAGGGCGAGTGCACTGCAGGACAGACAGCTAATAGACACGCGCTGTACTTGCTTCCTGTGTTCTCCTTTCTCGTCCATGCACAGATGTTGTTCCTTTTCTCCCTGCCAGCCGTTACCCGGACGCCATGTAATATAGACGCTTTCCGCACCACCTGGCCTCCTCCATTGCTCGCTCGCTCAATCTCGAGCGTCTCTTCACCTCGCCCATCTTTTCAAATGGCGACTGATTTCCCTCCGTTGGTCAATCGATACCAGCCCAGCCCGAACGCAGCCCAGCTCAAGCCGAGCAACACAGGCGCCCCTCGCTTCTGCGGCTCGCCATGGCTCTTTTTGAACTCGTCATCCACCCACTTCGTGCCCGGGTACAGGATGGCAGACACCTGCGTGGCCCAGTACAGGCTGCTCATCAGCGCCGCCGTGAGCAGGTTGTCTAGAAGGCCCGACGTGGTCGACGTGTTGGTTGTCCGCCAGGTGTAGTACCATGTGAGCAGGCCCAGGCCGAGCCCCGTGGACATGGTCTGGCCGTTGTGAAATTTCGCGTGAGGGGTCCAGCGTGGATTGAAGACGTGGGTTTCGTTCCAGTCCGCCAGGTAGCCGCCCGCGGCGGAGGCGAGGCCGAGGAGGGAGAAAATGATGCGGGTGGGAAGGACGGCGGAGGAGGCAGTGTCAGAGGACATGGTGGTCGGAGGTGGGAGGGAGATGGGTGATGATGCGTTGAGAGGGAGAACTGGTGGAGACGGAGACGGTGATGGAGGATCGGAGTGCGATGAGTCTGGTGGGAAGACTGGGAGGATGGAAAGGATGGAAGGATTCAAGGTGAGTGTTGTTGTGTGTTGTGTGTGTTTGTTTTGTTCCTCGAAGTTGGCGCAGATGCTGTCGAACGTTGTGTGACGCAGCTTCATCAACAAAAACATTACGAGGTAACCTCTTGCCTCCCCCGGACAGCTTCGTCTCAGGGACACCAGGCTGCAGTCAGCCTAGTGACGCCTCCAACCAACTCCTTGTCCCGGCGCTATTAATACTAATGATAAGGTCTTGATGAACCCTTTTTGGGCAGCCCGGTCCCCCAGACTGCAAAGGTAAACGAAGCTTTCTCTATTCACCACAGCTCCTCCAGGTGGCCTGAAGGAGCAATAAACCTCCCTTTTCTTTCGTCTTACCTCGCCAGTTCAGTTGCACGAGGTTTGGCAGCGGGAGAAGAATAAACTGCAAGTATAAGGATCTGAATCTCCCGCCTCTCCCACCACCCCTCCTTCAACATCCCGCCCATTTAATTCAAGCAAGCAAGCAAACAAACAAACAAACAAACGAACAAATAAACAAAAGAGCCATGCCGTCGCGCCAATTGGAAGTCGGCATCATTGGCGCCGGCATAGCTGGACTTTCGGCAGCCATCGCCCTCTCTCGCTCCGGCCACTCTATCTCGTTGTATGAGAAATCCAGATTTCGCAATGAAACTGGTGCTGCCATCATCATTGGGCCCAACGGCACGAGGATCCTGTCTAAATGGGGGTTCGACTTTGTAAAGGCCGGAGCTCTGGATTACAGCCAGATGCGCCGCATCAGGGCTGACACCATCGAGGTCGACTCGGAGGAGTTCTTCACTGGCGTCCAGGAACAGTACGGCGACAGGTGGCTGCTTTTCCACCGCGCCGACCTGCACGCTGGGCTGAAGGACTTGGTCGAAGCGTGTGAGCCCCGGCCACAGATCCACCTGGGCTCCCCCGTCGTCGACGTCGACGTCGACAGCGGTGTCCTCAAGCTTGCCACTGGCGAGGAAGTCAGGAAAGACCTCGTTATCATCGCCGACGGCGCCCACAGCGAATTGATCGCCAAGGTCATTGGCCGTCCCTACCCCGTGAGCAAGTCGCCTATGTCCATGTACCGGTTCCTGCAACCCTTTGACAAGGTCCTCGCGCACCCGGAAGCAGGGCAGTTCTACAAGAACCAGCCGCCCGGGTTCACGACCTTCTACAAGACCGAGGTCGGTCGCCCGGGCCTGCTAATCAACACCTACCCTTGCCGTGGCGGCGAGTTGCTGTACGTGGCGCTCGTGCACCCGACGAAACCTAAGGAGAAAGGTATTGAGGGGTGGGACTCGCCCGCCGAGCTGGCCGACGTCCTCGCCGACGCCAAGGGCTTCCATCCCGCCGTGCAGGCCGTGTGCGAGGGCGCCACCGACATCAAAGTGTACACGCAGATGTGGCGCGACCCGATCGAGCACTTCTCACGCGGCAGGGCCGTCCTGATCGGCGACGCCGGCCACCTGATGCTGCCGACGCACGGCCAAGGCGCGTCCATGGCCCTAGAAGACGCGCTGGCGTTACAAGTTCTCTTCAGCGACGTCCCAGACGCGGACGACGACAACGCCGTGCAATCGCGCCTGCAGCTCTTCGACAAGCTGCGCCTCCCGCGCGTCAGCGCCGCGCAGACCATGTCCAACAAGATGATGGGCCCGCCCGACAAGATGATCGCAGAGGTCAAGCGGTACTACACGGGCCCCATCCCGGGCCCCAAGGCAAAGACCTTTTCCAAGGAGTACAATGACTTTTTCTTCCTGTACGACGTCGCGGACGAAGCGAGGAATTTGCGTCAGCGTCAATGAATAAAATAACGAGAGCCAGAAAAGAACAAAAATAGACAGGGCCAGTTTAGGATTAATAGAGCAAATCTATACCCTGGAATGGGTCGGGACGAAGTGGGTTGGGATGGGATGGGGCTAGATCCAACATTTCTCACTAGATTGACTGCTATGTACCTATGTGTCTACAGAGTATAGATAGTAGAACTCTTTCTGATACCAGGAAAGACAGAGACGCACAAAGAGAGAGACAGAGAGAGACTGAAAAGGAAAGGAAAAAAAGCCAAATCACATAATCCCGCGAATTCTTTGCGAAATCCTATTCCATCAGACATGCCTCATCCCTCCCTTTGCTTGCTTTTCCCCCTTCCTTCCGATCCTTCTCACCCCTCCCTACTATCAAAGCTAGTCAGGCAACCGAGTCACACGCAGGGCCTAGGTATATATATATGTATATATGCTCTCTAGAAAGCGCGGTGCAGTTCCGCCTCTTTGCCGGGCGGCGTGGGCTCCGCGTGTCTTGCGAACAGCCTCCTGAGGCCCTGATTGAGGATGAGATCCATGATGCGAGCGGGGCCCTTGGCGAGGCTGTGGATGCTGATGCGTCGGACGCGGAAGAGGTAGTACAGGGCGATGCAGGCAAAGATCTGTACACGGACGAAACGAATAGAATGGTTAGTCAAGGGGGCTTCGTCAACACGATCGATGGGATGGGGGTGAGGGTGATGGTAATGGCAATGGTAATAGTAATGGTAATGCGGCAGGCGAGCAGGTGGGCAAAGCTTGGGTCATGTCCCAAGTCAAGTTTTTAACCCCAGATAAGGAAGGAAACCAGGTGAAAAGGAAGGTCCCAAAAAGGAGAGGGAAAGGTCCGGGGTGAAGAGAGGACTTACGTTGAAGATGATATACGCGAACCCGATCCCAAAATTCCGCCATCTGTCGCTTGGGTAGATCTCGCTGGCGGCCAGAAACTGGTCTGCCGACGTGAGCGGGCAGTACTGGCATTGGCTGGTCGCGTTGGGATTGTACAGCTGTCCTGGCGCGCCCCCGTTCAAGTATGCGGCCAGGTACTGCGCGCAGGTTTGGCCGGATGGAGGGTCAAACTTGGCGAGCTCGTTCTGGGCGCAGTGGACAAGCCGACCTCGCAGACCTGTCCCCGCCCAGCCAGCGATGAGGTAGGTCATGGGCGATACTCGATCTAATAGCAATGGTTAGTTACTGCAAGTGAGGGCAGCCCCTGAGAACGGAAAAGGGGGACCAAGGCACATACACATGAATATCCAAAAGCCGGGTAAGGCAGAGGGATTCTGCAGGACACCATTGAAAGTGAGCATCATGCTAAACAACAGTGTGGCAATATTTCCCGCCGTTTCCGCGTCGGGCATGGCTGCAATGATCATATGGGAAAAAGTGCTTGTGAAGACCATGAATTGTACCACGAAAAGCAGCATCAGCCCTCTCGTTTCGTCGCTTTGATTCTTGCCGAAGATGGCAAAGTACCACGAGATCCACATCAGGACGGCTAAGACCACCTGGTAGGGAATTTCGACGAAGATGTTGCCGACAAGGAAAGCGATCCACGAATATGCCTTGGATGGACGCTCCCGGACTTCGTAGAGGGATCGCTGGATGACAAAGCGAGGCATGATTTGTTGGACGAGGGACGAAAAGATCCTTGTCATTTGTCAGTCAATATCAAGCAGAAGAGGTGTCAAGGTGCAAGATTCAACTAACGTGACAAGCATAAAAATACCGAATATCGTGTTCTGCAATCCGGTCGAGGTAGTATTCTGCTTGTAGAATGAGAAACCGATGAACAATGCAGACATTATCCCCAAGAGAAATCTAGAGGCACGTCAATTGTCATCATTCCATTTTAGTGAGATAGGTTCAGTACTTACTTGCCGGTGATATAAGAAGGCGTTCTCCAATACTGTTGAAACACCCGGTGAGTGACATGGTAGATCTGAGCAGTAAGTGGCATTGCAAATTCGGATGTGGACGATGCATCTGCTGCCGGCTCGGATCGCTTAGCCTCCTGGATCCGATCCAGTTCTGCTTGCACCTCTTGAGCTTCCGGGGTCGTCTTCCACACTTCGCTCCAGTCACGGTCAGACTTCTTCCCGCAGATATCGAGCATATACTCGGCAGGGTTTGCGTCGTCGTCGCACTTGGGAGCACCATTCCGTTCAAAGTAGTCCAACAGAGTCCTGGAATTCTTGCCGATGTCGCCGAAATAAATCGTCTTGCCTCCTTTCATCAGGAAGAGGAGTCGGTCAAATTCTTGAAAGAGGATGGCGGATGGCTGATGGATAGTGCAGAGAATTGCTTGCCCTGAATCTGCCAGTTTTCGAAGGAAGGCAACAATGGACCAAGAACTCTGGGAATCTAAGCCTGAGGTGGGTTCGTCGAGGAAAATAAGGAGAGCAGGCTTTGCTGCGAGTTCGACACCGATCGTAAGCAGTTTACGCTGTTCAACGTTGAGACCTTCCCCAGGATTTCCAACGATAGCTTCGGCGAAATCTTCCATGTTGAGCATTTTGATAACTTCTTCAACGAAGTCATCCTTCTCTTTCTTTGTGACTGAGTTCGGTTGCCGAAGGTAAGCTGAAAACCGAAGTGCTTCTCTGACGGTGGTGGTCTCAAGATGAAGGTCTTGTTGCTGCACATAACCCGTCTTGCGTTGAAAGGAACGATCAAGGGGTTTACCGTTGACAAGCTGCCACGAAACAGAACGTCAAAACTTTGATCCAAAGCCAACGGAATATGCATGGGATGCTTACCATATCGCCTGTCAAAACACCTATCTTGATTCTCTGCGCCAAGGCATCCAGCAAAGTAGTCTTACCGGCTCCTGAAGTACCCATTAGGGCGGTCAAAGTACCGGGCTTTACCCATCCTGAAACGCCGTCAAGTAACCTTCGAGGCTCGCCCTTGATTTTGATGTCGAGTGTCACATTCCGCCAAGTGAAGATGTCCTTTTGCGCAGGTAGAGCTTTGACTTCCTTGGCTTGCTTTTCTTCCGCCGATTCCACGCCCTTTTCGTCGGCTTGTGTCTGCTCTTCGTCACGCTTGCCGCCTTGTAGGTACGATGGGACATGACCTCTTCTGAAGACCAGGAATTCGGCGGTCGAGGTTGTGTCGGAGTTGATTTCAGTAGCGATAAAGTAGAGGGCGAAGAAGAATATCATAAACGCAAAGAGAAAGCCGAGATTGCGCCAGATGTGGCTGTAAGAATACCCATAGGACGACGATACCCATGAATCACCGGAAACGGCGGTTTGGCCAGCCACGGCGCCAGCAACAGCGCATTGGAAATTGTCGCCAGTGCCGTAGGGTGGGACCAAGCTCGTAGGTGCACATGGGAAGTCCCGGCCATGAACTTCGTTGACAAGGAGCGACTCAAATGCGTAGGCGATTGGATTGATCCAAGAGGACCATTTGAACCAGGGATGCATGAATGATCTTTGCAGCGTAAAGCCCGTGTCTGGCACGTTGTTAGCATCGGATGGGTTACACACAAGACCAATGATTTGACCAGAATCTCTGCAAACAGACGAAAGCCCCAGAGCGGCACTTACATATAACTATCCAAAGGACCATGACACCGGCAATGGCCATAGCGGCCGAAATGGTTCTTGTGACTGCTGCCGTTGTTCGAAAGATCGCTGACATGGTCAACATGGCCATAAAGTTGAACAGGAAGAATATGAAGAAATTTGACGCCCTGTACCTCAGCCCAGCTAGGAAGTACAGGATGATGTTGAATACGGTAGTTGTGCAGAATTTGATGGGCAAATCAGCCACAATACCTGCAACAGCCTCCGTGAATGGATGATAGAAGGCATAGGACTTGTGCTTGGCGACAATGGGTCTTTGGCTGTATAAGGTGTTGATCTCAACGATAGATTGCAGAGCACTGAGCAAAACAGCGAAGAAGAGAACAGATCCTTTAGCGAAGAAACTGCTAGTGGAAAGCGGAGTGCCGAAAAAGATGGATCCGATGATCAGGGCTTGTGCGATCTGGCTGAAGATGACAGCGCTGAAGTTGATGTTAGCTTGATGGCGAAGATGAGACATTAGCAATTGGCCGGCACGACTTACATAGTCGACGCTTTGTCATTCCAGAGTCTCTGATATGCTCGCGTAACGCAAAGGCGAATTTGCATCGGAATGCTTATCACGTATGGTGATTTCGGGCGCATATGCTCGGCTTGCCTCTGTTGATGAGCCTCTCTGAAGGTCTGAAGAGCTTCTTTTCCGTCGGCATCGACTTCTTCTGCGTGGTTTGTCTGCTCTTGAGACGCTTTGTACTGAGAGCTTTCCAGCCAGTATTTTTCAAATTCCTCAGGTGTACGAGGAACCTTGTTCTCGAGGCCTTCTCTGGGCTGTCTCTCCCTTGGGTTGGTGACGGACCTAGTATGAAGCTCTCAGCAAATCCATCTCCTCCAGCAATTATTGAAGTTCAAAACGTACGTCAAGAAGTCGCCCGTGGTTTGTCTAGGAGGACAATACCAGCCCATGTCTTCAAAGTATGCTCGAGCCTCATCACAAGGCCCAAAGTAAATCTGTCTCCCTTCGTAGAGCACGATTGCCTTGTCACACAAGTCATAGATGGCTTGTGAAGCCTGGTAGATTGCAATGAGAGAAGTGAGACCTGCGAAGTCCGCAGCAATCCTGAGCGAACGAACGAATTCGAGAGCGGTCTGCGAATCAAGACCACGAGTGGAGTTGTCCCATGCAGCGATTGGCGAACCTGTCGAAACATTATGGGCATGAGCATTCAGGCATATTTGAATCAATCTCACCTGCTAGAGCCATCTCGGCGATACTGACACGTTTACGCTCTCCGCCGCTAACACCACGAACGAAATCATCCCCAACTTTGGTATTTCGGGTATGTGCTAATTAAATCGTTAGCCACAAGTCTCCATTAAGCGACTTGTACGGATGTGTTAACTTACACAAACCGAAGATATTCATCATGACAGATGCCATGTATTTGGCCCAAACATCTCGAGGAACATCCAGAATCCTGTTGGATGGAGTGCGACATGCAGCGGCGAAGTTGAGAGTCTCTCCCACCGTCAGGTGAGGAAAGTGCTTTTCGTTCTCTTGATTGTATATTGCCTCGCCTTTGAACTCCTTCACAAAGAGTTCCTGCGGGATTCCACTGTAGGTGATCTTGGAGTCCTTTGACAACTGGAGGCCTTGGAGCTCACCACAGATGGTTTTGAGGAATGTAGAGCAGCCACTGCCGGGTCGACCGAGGACAATCAGCAAATCTCCACTGTCAACATGTCCATTGAAGTTGCGCAATATTTGTTTCTCAACAGGGTGTTTGAAAAGTTCACGGATGCGGAAGGGTTGCATGAAGATGGAGCCAACATTCTGCTGGAGTACTAGGGCGGATCCTTTTCCAGAAACACCAAGATTCTTGAAAGTGAAGCCAGATCTTCGCAGTTTGATGTTCTGCTGTTCGAGCAGCTGGAGGAACTTGCGGATCCATAGGTAAAAGTTGAATGAGGGACTATTAGGATCAAATTCCGGGGATTCAATGCCCATGCCGGCAACAGTGTCTTGTCTCTGCAGGCCATCGCTGGTGATGGTGCGAGTTCGAGCTCCGGACAAAATGGATGCAATCTTTGCAAGCTCATCTCGATTTGCGTCTTCTCCGTCGTCGAATCGATACTCGTCAGTGTCTCTTGTTTTTCGTGTTCGGATTGGCTCGAATGCTGGACCTTCAGAGCTGCTGGTCGATATTTCGCGGTCGAGGGAATCGCCCGTTGGCGGCGGACGATGAGCCTCGTGGCCTCTACTCATGATTTCCGTATACACGGCGAGCTCACGTCAGGCTATGGACAGTGTTGGCGAGAAGGAATGTAATAGATTCTGAGCACCAGGGTTCCCAAATATTCGACCTCGCGCTTTTAGGCTCTGCCGGGCTGAGAGACACCACCCAAAAGTGCCGCCAATTTAACCAAGAGTATATAGCAGCGATGGAGACATATGGTAATAAGTGTAGCTGATCTCGAAGCAGAACCATAAGATGAGAGAACAGTGAGAGTCGAAGGATGAACCACGTACGAGTATGATGGACCGGACTTCTACCACGCTTGGGCTTTCTGGTTGCACTAGGTACATGTTGAAGGGCAAAGAGACGTCTCATTGGACGGTGGTAGCACCCTGTATTTCTCGGCTTGATTAGCGAAGCACGGAAACCTTGCATAGCTCCTCGGCCGTCAAGGCCAAAGTCAAAGTGGAAGGTCAAGGCTCAAGAATGCGCTCAGGCCAGGGCCTGCGGAAGTCCCGCCACAGCATGGGAAATGCCGCTTGACGAAGCAATTTGATTGTCTGAGGTCTTGCAGGTTGACAAGGGCCCCCAAAAACCCACCATTTTCATTGCGCTAGGAACAAGTCAAGCGAAAGTAATAACATCTCCGGCGTAGATTATGCCGTATCATGAATAGTGCTGATTTTGTACCAGGATACAAGGCCCAGGAACTCCATATACCGTGTAGTCATTGCCCCGGAAGAGTAATATGATATGGACTTAGCTGACGGCCCAACTGGGGTGATCGGCGCGGTAGGACATAACACTGAGGAGATGCGAGTTCTCCAAGCGGCGCTTGTATGTAACAACCTGGTCGATGGTGACCAACACCCCCAGTAAAGGGCAAATTCCGAGGGACCGTCAAGGGGGCCTGAAGGGGCTTGGGGCCTCGCGTATGTTACTTAAGGCCTTACATAATGCTGCTTGATGGGCTGGCTCTCTCCTGAATAGGACAGCAGCCAAGAGTGAAGCAGTGTCACCAGTGCTAGCGTTGCTTACTGCGCGGCAGCAGGAACAGACGATTGCGCACAGACTGCGTAGGCACTGAACACCAAGAATGCACCAAGGGTCTCGGGAGGGGACAAGGGGCCGCGGCCAAGGGCCAGCAAGGGCACAGCTGGTGGCGATTCGCTTGTGCATTGTGTACTAACAATGGAGTTCCGGAAAGTCGAAGGAGACTATTCCGGATTCAAGTTCCCACCAGCGTCAACACGAGCGGAGGGAGATGGAAGCTGTGAAGGCGATGATTTGCGTAGAATCAATGGGTCGATGCGAGGCCGAATCAGAGAGATGAGCTGGATTCGGGATGGAGCCCAGGGTACTCGGCGAGTCGGTATTGGAGAATTATTACCTCGAACAGCAGAGTTTGCGAAGAACGAAGAAACATGCGCGGCCGAGTGACAATGGTGACGATGGTGGCGGCACAGTTGTTGTTGTTATGCCAAGCCCCCACTTCCGAATCCGTCCAGTTACCGTCGGCCGAGCATCAGCAACTTGCATCAGAACAATTCAACTCACACAACGCTCTCTGCAAGCACATCAGCCTCCCAGCAATACGAAATACGGGCCCCCACCGCCACCCAAATAGACTCTATCGCCCTCTCACTCGCGACACGATGATCAAATGTCGTTGCCTGGTCTTGGGCTAGAAGAGCCAGAAGAGGTTCACACTGTTGAGACCGCCCAACACGATCTCGCGAAGGAGACAGAATGGCGTTTCGAGGTCGCCGTGGGCAAGTATGCACAGGTCAAGGTGAGTTGAACTTTTCAGTCCGCTGCTGAGCTTCTTCTGATGCACAAGTCACGCAGTTGTTGACAGGATCCGCTGAGCTGTTTGGGACTGAACTCGTGGTCGGGAACACCTACATCTTCACGGGCACAAAGGCTGCCATCTACACTTGGAATGGCTGCTCGTTCGAGGTCACCGGTGATGCCCTGCAAAGCGAGTATACCGCTGAAGAGACCCCCATGAGCGAGTACGTCAATGCTCACTTCGCCCTGGAAAACTTGCGAGTTCAGGCTCAACCCGCTGGACGCGAAGGCCCACGAGTCTTGATCGTGGGACCTGAAAATGCAGGCAAAACATCCCTCGCCAAAATTCTTACAGGCTATGCCTCTCGATCTGCTCGCTCCCCAGTTGTGGTCAATCTGGATGTCAAGGAGGGGGTCATGAGCATCCCCGGCACTCTCACTGCCACGGTCTTCAAAACACTGATGGATGTCGAAGAAGGATGGGGCACTGCGCCAATGTCGGGCCCTAATGGGGCCATTCCCGTCAAGTTACCACTCGTCTACTTTTTCGGCAGCTCGAAACCCCAGGAAAAGGAAGGGAAGGTCTACAAGGCTCAGATCAACCGGTTAGCTCTTGCGCTGGCAGGGCGTAGAGCTCAAGACCCCGAAGCTAGAGAAAGCGGAATGATTATCGACACACCGGGAAGTTTGACCACTTTGAAAGCTGGCAGTACGGTGGGATACGACATCATTCAGGACATCGTTTCTGAATTTGCCGTATCGGTTATCATCTGCATGGGCTCAGAGAGATTGTACAGTGACATGGTCAAGAAGTTTGATGGACAGCCTACAGTATTCCGACCCTCACCGTCCACTGCAACAACATTACCCACCGCGCTCGAAACAATATCCGTAATCAAACTTGCCAAATCAGGCGGCTGCGTCGATCGCGACGAGGCATACATGACTGCCTTCCGCGCTGCGCAAATCAAGACATATTTCTACGGCAACCCGCGCCTGAGCAACGGTATCTCCCTACAGCCTCGCCATCAACAAGTGGATTTCTCCACGTTGACCGTTTGGCGCCGTGTCGGGACCACCCCAGACCCGTCAGCAGCAGCAGCGGCCAACGCAGACGAAGACGAAGAGGACTCCTTCCTGCCGGGCGGTGCAGGCGACGACGCTGATGACAACACATCTCCCTATTCCATGTCAAAGGTCCCGCTTCCCGAATCTCAAATCTTCGAGCGTATGACCGCCCCCATCGCGGCCATGCGCAGCTCCGTCCTCGCGGTGATGAACTGCGAAGGAGAAGCCGAGCAGGAGGTCATTCGCGACAGTACCGTGATGGGGTTTCTGTACGTCACGGACACAGATGAGGTAAGAGGGAGAATCAGTGTGTTAAGTCCTGTTGCAGGGCGAGTGCCCAGTCGGGCGATTGTGTGGGCAGGATGGCCGGAAGGTGTTATAGGGTTGGAAAGAACATGATTCTGACCGCAGTCTTGGAACGAAAGGATCATCGCTTGGGTGAATTGGAGCGACGCAACGAGCTCCCACTAGAGAACCTAAATAGAACAAAATTGATGTCGATTGGTCTTGATTAGAGGCTTGCCTCAACTTTTGCTCTGGGGTCCGAGATTTTGTTGTACATTTTTTTTTGCCCATGTCTTTTCTCATGTCGCTCGCCATGCATGCAGACCTTTGGGGTTCCCAGCCGTCTACTCTTTTTTTACCCCGACAACTGAGAGTGCAGTAGCTACCTAGCTAGGTAGGTAGGTGGAAGAGAACCCCCCCCACGGCCCTCCTTCTCGTTTACTCTGCCTTAGCCACCAGATCCCGAAGGATAGCGAGCAGACTCTGAATGCCCTTGATAGCGTTCTGGTCGGGGCCCTCACCAGGCGTCCAACGGGCGTGGGCAAAGTCGATGAGGCGCAGTTCGTGGACCTTAGGCGGGCGTGTATCCTCCTCGTCATCCTCCTCGTCCTCATCATCGTCTTGTAGCATGCCCTCACCTCCGTCCACTCCGTCCCGACCATCCTCCTCCTCTTCACCCGCAATGCTGATCTCCAGCGCTTCCGGGTCTCCTTCATACACCATCAACACACTCGCGCTGTACATTCTGCTCTCCTCGTTCTCGAGCACGTACTGGATGCTCTCCAACTCCCTGATGAACCGGCGGATAAGGAACTCTGCCCGCTGACGTTTGAACCGGACTCTCTTCGTCGCGGCGTCGCCGTTCTCCTTTCCCTGGATGATGCCGCCGAAGTACGTCGTGAAGGCATCGACGACGCTGTCTGCCGAAAACGATTGGCCGTAGTACTTGTTGTAGGATCTATACCCGTTCTTGACCTCGACATACTCTTTCTCCGTGGGCGGCACTTCGACTTCGGCGTCTTCTGCCCCTGCCCCTGCACCAGCCCACATCTTCATCCCAGCAAGACGGAAACCTAGACTCCCGCTCGTCGTCTTCGCCGTGACCTCGTCGAGCTTCCTTCTTTTTGCCAACGGAGCGTCGTCGTCCCACAGTCTGACGCCGAGCTTCACGTCCAATACGTTCGGGTGCTTGAACCCGGACACGACATTCTCCAACACAATCGCGAGACCCGTGGCGATTTTCTTGCCGCCTGAAGGTTTCCACGAAACCCGCCTCATAAGCCCCGGTGTGGTCCCTGTAACAGCCCCTTGTGCTGTGATCCCATCTACGTGTGGAGGGGCGACAACGCCATCTTGAGAGGACTCAAGCAGCGGGGCAACGGCGTCTTGGTCGTCGTGTTGCGAGAGGGAGCCAAGGAAGGTTGGCATGTGGGCCTGGAATAAGGGGTGGTCTTTGGCGGACTCGTAGAAGTCGATCTCGGCTTGGGTGCAGGGCTTGATGATGAGGGAGCCTGAGGCGTTGGAGCTGATGCCGTCGCTGTGCAGAGAAGCTGTCAGTTTTTATGTAGACATGGGAAAGACATTTCTTACTGTCCAGCAGCGGTGTGATCAAAGGCCACCAGCTCGGACTCTGAGAGTATTGCTGCCACCCTTTTACTCGCCTGCGCTGAGGTACTAGAGCTCCCCATTTCGCTAGGTATGCGTAGGGGGAGGGAACACAAGGGTTATACAAGAGTCGGCCACCTTCCAATTGCTAGAGCTGCGTACATTTATGTACCCAGGACTCAGTAGATCAATCCATTTGTGTGGGCACCGACAATTCTCGAAGGATTTCCGAGTAAAGGATTGCAGGGGGTGGGATTCCTGGCCCTCAAGCTGCCCGGCCGGATGCGGTCATGATTGGCGGAACATATTGTTAGTGGTAGTTGCACCAAAAGGCTTCTTTTCTGTTAATTCTTCAGCCTCGCCATCAACATCTGGAGGTCCGACGCTGGAAGTCGGGAAAGGCACTGTGAGAGCGTGGGGCGAATCATGCAACGTGTCACCTGAATTGCTGCACTGTGGCTTTCTGCAGAGATGATTGTTTGCTACTGCGACATTCAACTTCCCACGCGGCGGTAAATACTGCTTCACTTTTACCAAGATTCGCAGAGGTCAAAGTGAATGGCGAAAGTCTTTCTATAAAACATTCCATTTATCTGCAGCTCCGGTCAATCTCTCATCTTGCAAACTGTCCGCTGCCATGGACAACTCTGAAACGAAGGAACTTCCGTTGAGGCTTCGAGCCAACACGATCCCGTCAAATGGGACTCGGGATCCCACTCAACCCTCTCAAGAGCCTGATGCCGGCGACGGCGATGGAAACGGAGGAGATCAAGAGGTCCAAGAGGATCGCGATTACGGCGAGGTCACCCACGTCCCCCCAGTTGAGGTGAAAAAGAAGAAAAAGAGGAGTAAGAGGCCAGCGAGTCAGCGCGGGTTGGTAAGGCTCCGATTTGACACCAAGCAGGGAGGCAACATTTGTGCTGACGACCATTGAAGGGCAAACCTTCTGGCTTCGAAGATTACTTCGCCGACGCCCCCTTGACACCAGAACAACATGCTGAAGAGCAAGAAATTTATCATCCGTAAGGCGCATCCATATCTTTCAAAGCACAGAGATCCTCAGATCTTCTAATCATCCACTTCGATAGCCGTCTTCCCTTTGTGGACAGAGTCGCTACCGCCATTGCTCGCTTCGAAAGGAGCCGTAAACTCACCCCACAGCGCCGTGATGCCCTTTACAAGTATCTCATGTACGGTGGCTTGACAGTACGGCCAAACATCGGCCAAGGGGGCCTAGACACCGAGGGCATGGACAAGACCCAAATCGCCCTTGCACTCTCACAGGTTTGGATCAGTGAGGACAAGCGAAACTTGGGCACTGAGACCAGTGTCTATGAGGTCGACTTCCTCGGCTGCGCAAAGGGCTTCTTGAGCCGACGTGCGAAGGACATCTTCGGCCTCGACACTGAAGACGAAGTCAATATGGTTTGCACCACTTTGGAGAGATTCATGGATTATCTCCTACAGCATGACGTCTGCCCCGAGTACAAAGAGGATGTGCTCGCAGCGCGTGAGCTGTGCCGCAAAGCAGGACCCGAGCTCTGGGATATGGCCGAGGCGACACGCCGCCTGCCGGGTGAGTTCAACATTGCCTGCTCAACTCTGTTCGATGGCAGCTATTCGCGCGACTACGACGGAGAAACGTGGTGGGGGAATTCCGATGGCGAAGAAGCCGTCTTTGTGGGCTTGAAACCAGACGAAGCACAACAGATCGTGAAGTTCGGAGTCGCTGGTGCCGCCACTGAGAAAGTCTACACCGCATTCCTTGCGGGTGTGCAGCAAAAGGCGCCGAAGATGATGGACGTCGTCAAGATAGAGGAGCGTACCGGCTTCGAAATCACACGCATCGAGCCTCCCACAAAGGCATGTAAACAGATCTACACGAGCCACTCGCAGCACTTTCGCCCCGTCGGCTGCGTCTACGCCAAACCATGGAAGAATCCTGACGCTCTACCCGAAGATCTCACTCCGGCTGAGAAAGAAGCATTGTCCCCGCCATCGGTTCAAGCTGCGGAGACGGAGTACGTCTTTTTCATCGAATCGATCCTCCAGTCCTGCCTGCGCGTAGGCACCAAGGTCGAAGCCACCGTCCGAACACTGGGATGCGGAATCACCTTTTTCGATGAGGTGCTGAACGTGTACCCCTCGTTCGACGAGTTTCTGGTCAACGAGATGATGGTAGGGTGGAAGTCGCCAAGGCCAGTGAAGGGCGCGCTGGATTATGTTTCTGGGGATGACAGTGACGGTGGTGAGGACGACGGCGGCGGTGAGGAGGGCGGTGATGGTGAAGTCGGGAAGAATATGGCATCTCCAGCAGACGAAGAGGAGCAGTCGAAGTGACGGGGGAACAGGTCGACGGCAACAGGGCACATTCCTTTGATAGGAAATTGTGGACGACAAGAAATCAGGGCTGAGAAAACCGATGGTCCTTCCCCGTCCCTCAGCATGAGCGATAAACACCCAGTGTTCAAGTATAACCGGTCCCAACGTGAAATCTCCTAGGCTAGATTGGAAATCAGCAGTCCAGCCCAACTCGATCCAACGCAGTGCGCCGTCCATCTCAGCTCAGGTGGATTCATGTCAAATTCCCAACTATCTACCCAACCAGCCACCACACGAAGCCTATCTCCCAAACGATCCCAAATTTATATGTATGTACGAATCTCTAGTCTCTAGATCCCCAGATCTCCAGATCCATCAGCACCCCGGAGACAAGCCAGCTTTGCTTTGGGGGGGGGGGGGTTCTACCATTCAACAAGCACGTAGCTTTTCCTTCCTCCCTAGATATTTAATTCCATAGCGCAGCAATTACACAGTATGATGTACCTAGGTATTCACGCCAAAGGAGCCAGATTGGGCTCCCCGCTCAGGGAGGCTCAGGGAGATTCTCAGCCACGCTCTCCTCAGCCAGTGACCATCTAGAGACCCTCTGCTCTTGGAACTACACCGCATACGATTCGAGCGAAAGGATTTCCTTAATCAGTCTCCTGCATTCTCATCCCTGGCAATAGATGGCGAGACTAGAGAATATACATTAATGTAACTTACCGGGAATGACTCGATCACAGCGTGTGCAATGCCGCAAACGGCATAGTACTGTACCGCTACTACTTCATAACATACCTTGGCTCAAGTTCCTGGATGCGTTGGCATTGATCGGTACTTATTCTCCTTTTCAGCATAAGCTCGAGTACTCATTCCGATTGCCAAGTGGATGATACCTCCACCAATATGGCCACCACTGAATCAGCAGACGTGCCCAGCGAGGGCCACCTGAAACGCTCAGTGGATATTCCAGACATCGTTCAATCGATTTTGACAGGTCCCATACCCAACGAGTTTTGCGCAGCGACTACTCCAACAGTGTAATCGATATACTGCTATATCCGTGCTGTGATTCCTGAAAGGTATCCTCTAGAGTCGCTATCGGCCGCCGAAAAGCTTTTCTCATCGTCAATAAATGAAGCATTGCAAGGTTGTCTCAATATTGTCATCCTACTCTGCTCGAACAACCTTTTAAGCGATCAACAAACCTACCAAGCAGCGAGCATAGCTTACGCTAGCGGAGCTCGCTCTCTTCTTCTGTATACATTCTCAATACCCACTCTTACGGTTGCAGAATTTGCAAGGAAATCTAAATATTATTAAACTTCTTCAAGCAGGGGCCGATGTTAACGCCTCTCCAGCAACACACTCAGAAAGGACCTGGCCGTCGAGTATGGGAACATCAGAATAGTCGAAACCATATTAGATATTATAGCCTCAGTTTCTAACCTCCTGGCACCTAAATACGGACGTACCCTGCTATAAACAGCTGTATCTCGCGGGTATATTGGTATGATCCTCCTCCTTCTGGACAACGTGATGTCCTATGAAGCCGATATCAACTTGCTCTTTTTGGAAACTGCGATTGAACCAGCTGCAGAATATGGTCGGCTTCACATGGTTCACTTGCTCTGGAGTGTGTACAAAGACGTCCATGGAGCTGGCGCACGATTGAGACTGCACGAACTCTCGCATTGCGTAACGGCCATTACGCTGTGGCAAAATTCCTTATTGCAGATCATATGGACGAGCGTTTAGAATAATCGAACTTGAAGGAGAACCTGTGCTTCCAGTTTGTGGGAACAAGTCGAGAGAACCCTCAGAAATCCAATGTCTGCCTCGCCTGCGGGTACAGCCAATGGCGCGGATCTTGTGCCGGGCGGGAATGTGGCTGAACCACTTATTACTGCACGGCTCTCGAGAACATGGAGCTGCGCCCACCAACCCCCACGTTGGCACTATGCCACCTGCTTTCTTTCAGCCTGATGCTGGGCAAACTTTTCTACTCCATGGTTTGATCTTCCAGCATGGAGCTCGGAAAACTTCTTCTGGAGGTCTCGACGACAATTTAAGATAACAATCATGTCTGTGGTGGGACTATCGCCCTCTGATCTCGTCAATGGACTGCGGGCGGCGAAGACAATCCTCGAGGCAGTCAAGGAAGAGGGTGGATCCAAGGAGAAAATTGTCACCGCGTTGATGAGCATCGAACATGACCTCGAAGCCATCAAAAATCTCGAGGGCGTCTTAGATACAGTGCCAGATGAATTATCAGCAACGACAGTGGACATTCGCAATCGAGTGAGGAGCCTGCGCGAATTTCAAGAAAATCGACGAGCTCGACTTTTGAAGCATAAGAATGCTTTGGTCAGCGGTACCACCTTCAAGGCAAAAGCGAAAAGTGCCTATACACAGGTTGTATGGCCATTCAGTGGCGAGAAGGATTTCCAAGAATCATGTACACGCACCGCAGCCGCTCTCGATGCAACGCATCTAGATGCCATTATGTCAGGCACCATCACTCCTCATAAGACGCTGTGCTGATCATCGAATGGATAGCCTAACAGGAAATCGCACCCAGGCAGAGGTCGCGAAGGTCAACCGACTTCTATCCTGGAAGCTAGACCTCATCGATGAGAGCATTCAAGCCGGACGGTTGAAATCCTCCGTAGACGCCCAACAAATCCAGGATTCCATTGCCCAGTCACACAATGATCTTTCGAGCTTAATTCAAGACATGCAAATTGCTCTCAAACAAAGCCCGGGCCATCAGCAACAAGCCGCCGCATCCCGATCGCCAAAATGTCTTGAGCTGAGTCGTAAAACACCTCGTCTGGATACACATATCAAGACTTATGGACCGATTCCCTTGGCGAAGGAACTATCACGACCCATTTCCGAGCAATTTTGGGCGTTACCGGAACAAGTGATGGCACCAATCTTGCTTGCGGCTCTATGCTGTCTCACCACACGACAACGGGTGGAGAATATGCTTCGAGATTTTGTTACTCTCGCACAGACAGATCCAGTATCCGCGACTCTGCTTGCTTGTATCGTCGTGGTATTTTCGCGCATGACCGTTCGACTATGTCGCCCGCTCTCCATCTTAGGAGCTGACCACGTCACTTTCGATGATGCCTTTGGATCCTCGCTGACTTTGCCCTTCTCAGTATGCGAATACCCAACCACATTTGCCAAATTTCTCACAACCCATTTCTGGAATCACCCATCCCGCTCGTACATCCTTGACGGTCTTTATCACCTCAACATGAACGACAGTCGTGGCCAGCTCGTGACAACCCAAACATGGAGTATGTCAGTGAAGCCAAACGCAAAACTCACGATGTCCATACTCTTCGAGTTGACGGAGAAGAGGTGTATCCGGTGCACGAAGGATCTTGTCTTTCACGGAAATGACCTTTTCTGGTACATTGCTTGATCTGGTCCGGTCAAACAACGATACTGACGTTCAACAGTACAACATGCTGTCTCTGGTATACATTGTACCCGGAAGATTCTGCCACTCAAAGCGAATCGGAAGACCAAGCAAAAGAAAAGAGGACACAAAGCGACGATGAGATTTCATTAATGGATGAGGTGACGAGAATCGTTCGGAATCTGCATGCTTTCTCTCCAGAACCCAACGCAGACGAGGTCAACGGCCAGTCGAAAACAGGGACAGAAGCAGTCCCAACCACGAACCCATCTTTGAAGTCCTCTGGCCGAGTGGCAGTCTGGTTCTGTTGCCACTGTAGAAATGGGCCAATGAGCGTATATCTTAACGCGCACTGTTCGGCATGCGCCACCAAAAAGTGTGACAACTGTGTGTTGGAGTATTGAAGTTGTATAATGTAGCAAGACTCCTTTATCCAGCTTTTGGATAACCGCAACGCCAGAGTCTTCAAGATGACAATCCTTTCTGGACCAAGATAAGCTTGTCGCCTCTTGTAGAAGTCACCTCGCCATGGGCACTTAAAGCTGCAACACTCTCGTGGCCTGGAGTCCGCCACATGCAAGACACGGAGAAAGGGTGTTCTGGATCGCCCCCCTTATTCGAATCGTTCGAACTTATCGTGCAGATCGAGTCATCGGCATTCACGAGCACGGGCTTCGACTGATATTTGCCCAGAATATAGCAGATGGAAAATATCAGCTCTTTGAACTGAATTGCTGCTGTTGCCGCATCATCAGATGTTGAAAACGACGCGCGGTGTGAGACGCTCCATCCACTGGGTGCTGTTGCTTGGACCATTGTCGGTGAACTTCCTGCTATACAGATGAGAGCGAGAACTCACGGCCTTGCCAATCTCGGTCTCAACTTCTTGCAATGGCTCGTCACCTTTGTCTTTCTGTGCATGTTCAATGCAGATTCTGGTAATCCTGGTGGGAAAGTCGGGCTTGTCTTTGGTTGGACGACCCTCATTGGATTTGCGGGAGTTTAGATTTTCCTACCAGAGACCAAGAACAAAACAGGTACAGAGCTCAATATCCTCTTTGAAAATGGTGTCAAACCCCAGGAAGTCTTCCGGCACCAACATTGACGAACTATACCCCAGGGGAAACAGTGAAGAGCAAAAGGGACTATGATAAGCGAGATACTCTGACTGAAGGCCGATGTGGAACTACAAAGCAGAGACATTATAAGAAAGAATGGGATAGGGGGTTTAAGTCTAGCCAGCGCCGTTGACGGAGAAAGAGAGTGTAAGTGACAAACTTTATATGATCAAACGGCAAGCCTCGCAAGCTCCCTGACAACCTCCCAGTAGAACCCTTTCTGCGACCCCGTGTCATTCGTATTTACGTCTGCAAGCTCCCCAGTCAAACAGCTTCGCACTGCTTCCATATATATTTTCCCAGTCTTCGCTCCAAGATTTGTGACGTAAAAATTGGTTAGATCTTCCTTGAAGGCATCTAGGCTTTGACCCTCGGTGTGAAACTCAGAGATTGGCCTCCAGAAGCCGATCTCGAGGAGCACAATGCCTAGTGAGTATATGTCGAAGGCTCTGCAGTATCGATCCCTAGACGCGGTTATTGATTTTGGATGGCGATAGAGTTTGTGCACCTCCAATGCCGACACGACGAGGTCGGTCTCGGCAAAAGGGTTGTCTTGCCTGGAGTATTCAAAGCCTAGAACAAGTGGGTCTCTCAGTGATGGGGGTGACTCGTCATTGTTAAGTGGTGAACCCTGTATGAAAATGATGTTGTCTGAGCGGATGCCCTTGTGCAGCCATCCCGAAGTATGAAGAAGGCACAGCGAGAGTGAGAGGTCGAGTGCCAGACGGAAACGATCTCCTAGGAAAGGGACAGATTTGCTGGTGAGGAGCAGGTCGTGCAACGATAGGAACGGCGGCGTGGCTTGCGGTGCTGAGCTTCCTGTATACTCAAAGAGCAGTCCGACACGTGGATGCCAGTCGTCACAGAAGTACCCTAGGCAGTTTGGTACGCGGAGGGCCTCCGGTTTGCACGAGAGGTGCAGCAACCGAGCCAGAGCGTCAAGCCTGTTCAATTGGGACAAGCGAATATGGTCTGCAGCGTCGCGATCGAAGTGCTTCCACTCCACGATAACTAGATTGTGTTCATTGCCAACGGTCTGCCTGGCTAAAGCTCTATCGAGGAGGCCAGACGTTGCATTGGGAGGCTGGCAAAGAGCGATGCTGTCGCCAGATACTCGTAGTTCCGAGGAGGTATCGGCCGAGTTCGACATGACGAGGTGTCTTCGCAGTGCGCTGGCTTGGGAGAGAGCTTCGTACGGAGTGGAGGCGGCAGCAGCCTCGAGACCAAGTAATTCGTTGACGTTGGAAGTTGTGACCAATTCAGCACTCAGTCCTTGCCGCAGTGCTCGGCGTTCCGCAGCCGCGAGAAGGTGATAGAGTCCGTCATTATAGTCGGTGAGATCTTTGATCACGGTCTCAAACTTGCCTTTGTCGGCTGCGACCCAGCGGAACTTCTTCAAGATATTGCTGTTTTGGCTCCGCTCGCGCCGCAGCGCCTGGTCCTGCTGCAGAAAGGCGTTGAACTCTTCTGCAATTACATCCTCGACTCGTCCTTGGATGCGCTACAGAAATGTCAGCAGACTCCCTTGGCCCGTTTCTCATTGAGCTCGGTAAGGGGGTGGGCGGGCGCGCACCTGAACAACGAAGGTGGGATCCTCCGTAACGAGAGATAGACCATATCGATTTTGGAGCACTTTGTAGTCGGCGATGAGATCAGAAATGCGGAACAGAGTCTCTGTGATGATCTTGTAGTCGTCTGGATCCCCTGGCCTCTGTCTCTGCTGTCTCGATTCATCCAAAATTCCCCATTCCTTAGCCCACATGTGGAGTCGCGTTTGTTGAATCCTGAATTTCCACAAAAGTGTCTGCGATCCCTCCCCTATTTGTCTTGCCTGGGTGAAGGTTTCGTATCCTCGCAAACATGTCTGTAGTAGCAAGACGATGAAAGGCGCGGTGCTCAACCCCAGCTCTGCCCCTGACATTTTGATCCGGGGACTGAACTGAGCAGAGTGGGTGAAGAGGGCCGCGGCACCCAATCTCTACTCAAGTCACCACCATTTTTGCTGCCTGAGTCCCTGGTGCCTAGCATACGCTAGGCGAAATTTGAAGACAAGCCATGGCGCTGGAGGCTGCCTGTGGCGGTCTTGGTCCTGGTTGACACAGGCCTCACCTGCCCGAGACGATAAGGCTGGAACCTGAGCTCCTCCACGATTTAAGACGACAATGCGAGGCCGCGGGATGAGCTCTTCCACAATTGAATGCCACGACGACAGTCTGTATGAATCGCGGAAACAAGGTCGCACGGTCCGAGCTGGTGCGGCCGGCAAGGCTGCCGTCAACAAAGTCTTCCTCCGAACATTCGAATATTGCCGCAAAAGAACAGCCTGACGACGAATTCAATCTCCTTATTCTGTTTGAATACCTCTCGTCGTCCTTCGGACGGAGGTCCCCATCCGATACGCTCAAAGTCCGACGCAAGGCCTCTGGGCCACGGTCAGGAATGGCAGAATTTACGTGGTCAGGCGAATGGCTACTGGCTCCGCCGACGAGATGTACGAGGCTGATTTTTTTCGGCCATCAATAGCTCAAAAGTCTCTCAGGTCTTTTTCAGGCAGCAGGGCACACGAAGTCACGTCTCGTTGGAGGGCATTGATTCAAGAACTGAGAATCCTTCGGCATCAACCACTGACTAGGCATCCCAACTTCCCTAAAATCATTGATATCGCTTGGGAACCCGATGCTATGGACTTGCAACGAGCCCTTCCAACAATTGCAACTGAATTTGCTGCCTGGGGCACGCTCGACTCGTTTTTCCTCACACTTCCCGAGCACGATTGGCCCATGAAGAGCAGACTCCTTCTCGACGTCGTCGAGGGTGTGTCGGCGTTACATTCTTGCAAGATTGTCCACGGTGACATCAAGATGGAGAATATCTTGGTCTTTGCTTATGAGGGGGATCCAAAGTTTCCAACCATTGCCAAACTATCAGACTTTGGTTTCTGCGTGGATGTGTCCGAGAGTGCTGAACATCAGAACTTAATCGGATACACAACTTTATGGGCTGCCCCTGAAGCATCCCAGTCCCTGGAGAAAGAATGCCTGTATCTGACAGATGTGTATTCACTGGGCTTCATTGTTTGGAGTATCTGCCTAGGCGGACGGAAACCATCCGACGAGGTCCTCGCGACGACCATGGATCAAGAAGAGAAGGAGCGTGCCTGGACTAGCCTGAAGGAGTCTGACGAGATGGTGGCTGTTGCCAAAGCGAGCCTCGCGCAGCGGTCCCTCACCATGCCGATGAATATTTGGCAAGCTACTCAGTACTTGGATTGGACTTTGCGGCATTCTCCCAACTCACGCCAGCTAAATATGGTTCTTTCCATGCTAAGGCTGAAAAGCTATAAACGGCGGGCGGAAGAGATACCGTGTGAAGACACCTATCACCCCCTCACTCCACTCAAAGGAAACCTGGTATGCCACGAGCTCACGAGGAGATATGTCCCAAGACTGATTTACCTATTCACAGGGCCTCATTAGCAAGTTCTTCTGGGAGAGCACCTGGACGATCTCTAGCGTTCGCCAACAAATCAGCAATGATCTCGTGGCCATGGCAGCGAGATTGGATACCTCCCCTTCCAACTCAATGGGTTCGCGAGCCGCTTCTAATCATACTTCTCGATACCCCGTGGAGACGAGTCCGAAAGCAGCTACTGCTCTCATGAATCTCGCATACAAATATATGTCCTCGAGGAATTCTGAAAGATCATTCGAAAAAGCCATGCATTATCTCAACTTGGCCGCGCAAAGTCAGTTGGAATTAGCACAATGGGTATGCCTGCGACTCAAAACATCCCCTTTAGTCGACATCACTCCCGAGCAAGAGCTCGAATGGAGCAAGAAAGCTGTCCAGGTAGGATTGAGGCCGATCAGGGTTGATCTTGCTACTTTTGATCCTGAGGCCACTCAATCCTGTCATGAAGCCTACCAACGATCCTTCTGGGCGCTCGCCTATGGTGTCACTGACGATGCCATTTCTGCGATTACCCAGATGGAGGAGAACGTCGCGCGGACGTCACAGTGCGTCAGTCAAATTTTGGATTCTTTTCCGTCATTACCGTTCGGAAATACACCCCTTCACGTCGCTGCTCTTGTCGGCAAACTTGGATCGCTCGTGGTCATAGCCAAGTCTCAAGTGTTCGCTGTTAACGCCACTAACCATCGCGGCGAGACCCCATTGTTCCTTGCGTGTCATTGCGGACATGCTGCAGCCGTCGACTTTCTTCTCTCCCTTGGGGGAAATGCTGGGATACCAAACAATTATGGAGCCTCTTGTCTTCACTGGCTTGATGCATTTGAAGAACAGGATATTACCAGGATAGCCCAGTCCTTGGTTCGACATGGTAATGATCCCAATCAACCAGCACAGCAAGACCATTCTTTCTTCGGGGACAAGTTCAAACTCTTCAACAATCACACTATCGCTGGAACCCCTCTCCACCGCCAAGTCGTCGGCGGAAGCATCACAACTATCAAAGCCTTGCTCAATCTTGGTAGTAAGCCGGACTTCATTGTCAATGGCTGGACCCCTACCGATCGGGCTGCTCAATTTCATCGATCAGAAATCGTTGAGATTCTACTCGACAAGGCTCCTTCTTTTGATCTCAATTCACCCACCTCGAAAAGCGGGCTGGTACCTCTTCACCGTGCAATAATGGGGGTCGACCCGTTTTTGGCGATCTATAACCATTCAGGGAATCACGAAGACGCCCTCAAGGCTACTCTTCACCTCCTTGGAGCCCGAGGCACGCGGCCATCAGAATTGAAAGTCAATCCGATACTGTATGCGGTGTCCAAGGGAGCGCGCTCTGCATTAGAATTTCTCATTGAGCATCAAAATAAGAGTATGAGAGAAAACTGTTATGGCGTCGTCTTGGGGCGACAACCGAGACTGCTAAAGGGACGCGGCAATACATTATTAGGCAGGATTTTCCGAGGGTCTGATCGAGCAATCGAGTCTCGTCCGCAGTCTGGACAAGCGATTATTAGAGGGCGGCAGGTAAAAGGAGATCCTTTCACCTACAATGCCGTCCTTGAAGCTGTGAAATGCGAGGATGAAGAGATGTTGAGAACATTGCTTCGGAACGGAGCAGACCCGCTATCACTACTTCATTTCAAAACGCATACCCGCTTTACCGCCTTGCACCTCTGTACAATGCATATGCATGGTGGCACACAGATCGCCCAGTTACTCATCGACCATGGAGTCGACGTCAATCAGTCTGCCTCAACCATCAGCAGCGATACCCCTCTTTGCTATGCATTGCAGGGGAATCAATTCCACCTCGCAAGCCTCTTCCTCGACAACAGAGCTTCATTGACTGTTTGCGAAAAAGAAGCTGAACGAGGTAATGTGATGGGAGAACTCATGTACTGCATCCCCGGCCGCTCCGTTTTCAACGCGATACAATTCTTAGCACAGCATCCCAAAACCAGGTCTGAAATGCCGCTCTACATCCACGACGGTTACAAGACCACCGTCTTTCACATGGTTTGCGGCTTGAGTGAGCTACGAAGGAGAAAATGGCCGGCGGCTGATTTCTTCCCGGTATTCGTATTACTGCGCAAAATCTACCCCGAGAGATCCTTCCTCGACGCCGCTGACATTAGCGGATTCACACCGTTGCATTATGCCATATATCATGCATTCCCAGAAGCAGTACAAGCGCTGCTGGAAGCTGGAGCGGATCCCTTCTCACAGAGCAAGCCAGACCTATCGAACCCTCTCATTGATTCCGAATGGATATCCAAGCCTGGTGCCGAGTATGGGATTTCGATCTTGGAACTGGTGAAAAGCGAAGGCTTCATCAAGATTCAAGCTGGCATCAACGACGCGGATCGTCATGACTTCATAGAGAGACGAAGAAGGATCAAGGAATTGGTCAGTCCATATATTTCTTGAGGAAGGAGATTCTACTATAAATATATGACGATCGCCTCTCTCGCATCTAAGTCTTCCACGCAAAGAATTTCCACAATTCATGAAATGACAACCAAGGCACCTACACAATGAGACAGCCTGACAGCGCAGCCAAGGCACTGGCCTTCAACTCTTTTGACTGCCATAATCGAGTTCTGCACAACAAACTCCAAAGCCTCGTTTCTGGCCGCTTGGTCGGGCGTCAATGCCACTGTAAGACTTTTGTCATCCTCAGTCGCCGCCGCGAGGTCAGTGACGGAGTTGGCAAGTGTGACTCGGGCACCGAGTTGGGGCGGCGATTGATGTTCACAAGGTGTGCCCACAGCTACATGACTAGGGAGTCGTCCTTCGATCGGCATGGGAGGCTTTTCGAGGTACTGCCATTGGTACCCAATGGCATTGGGAGCCGAAGACTCCTTTTCGAATGATTCCGACGGCAAATTTTCAGTGACAGCTCCCTGAGGAACTTCTTGCGGCTACACTATGTTAGGACGTGAGTGGTTGAGAAGGGTTAGATGACTCACTTGCTGTGCATCAAGACTGCCAGGAATCAAGACCTTTTCTTTCTGCAGATACGCACTTTGCCGAACCCTCCATTTACTACGCGGATTCTCAGGGTTTCCTACCAGCTTGCCAGCCAGAGCAATCAGCCGTTCGCGCATCTTGTCGAGGTCCTCCAGGTCATTGCACTCGATGGCTGCGAAGATGAGGACCATGGTTGTATAGATTGTCTGAGCATAAGCACGGGAATATTGGCGAAGCCATGGCCACCCACCCTCAACCAGAAGGTTATTGAAGCGGTCCCAGGTGAAGAGACCTGAGAAAGTGGCTATGCCTGCGACTGCGACCAGGTTAAGCTTGTCAGCTGGATGAGTCAAGCTGTGTAGCTCCGCCCCAAAGCCACCGGTGATGTTCGGAACTCCACGTGAAGACAAAACCGGAAATAAGTGTCCACGGGGGTATATCTTTTTCATGACAGCCTTCGCATCCTCTCGGTCCATCAGACCCGACTTGACGAGGAGGTCGACTCTGACTGACGGCGAGAAGTACTTGTATGGCTGAGAGAGCAGCTCTCCCCACGACTGATTCGCACTGCCGGAGCTTCCCCGGAAATACACCCAGACGTCCTCGACGCGAGAACTGATCTCTTTGTCGTTGGCCGAATGGATCGGATAGGTGCTCTTTTCGCCGTGGTAGTAAGGCCGCGAGGTACGTGAGAGGAATGTGTCTGCGCAGGCGTTGGCAAGGGAATTTTTGGCCTTGTTCCACCCATGCATTTCTACCCTCATGTGTCGGATGAGATAAGTTTCCAATGGACTGTCGCTATAGTAGATCCTGTTGTTCTTCGCCGATTGCCACACGTTGCCCTTTTTGCGAAAGCGTCGATTTGCTCGAACGATTCCCTGCCTGATACGATCTCAAAGTCAGTTCGCAGGCTCCCCAGACCAACCAGCAATAACAGCACCTACGTCTGGGCTCCATAGAATTAGATGAGCTTTCGCAATGATGGTCACTGGCTTGAAATCGACTTCCCAAGTCTCCGGTACGAGTGGGTCGGAAGCGACCAGTTTGTCTGCAATGTTTCGTAGGACAGCGAGCGGTACATCGAGGTTGGTGAAGTTTCCTGATACTGATTGGGCCGTCATTGTGCAGGTGTATTGTGCTGGAGAGGGGCGAGGTCGAGAATGTGGACATCCGGGCCATGTTGGGCTCCTTTATCTTCCTGGACAATGTTCAGGCCGAGCGCTCCAGCCTCGTCGGCGACGAAAAGTTGCGCCTGCGCATATATAAATCGTCTCCTTGTTGCAGAATACCACGACATTATTGACACTCGCGACCGCCACAGTCCTCTAGATCTCGTGAAGCGATATCATGTCCTTCAGGGTGGGATATTGGTGCAAACCTCGAAAAGAGGCTGATGGGCGAGCCAGACTCTCTTTCGCTGATGATATCGTATTAAGGGAAATGTGGAAATTCGCCAAGCTCGCCACGTTCGTTGGAGGGCTGGAAGGCGTGAAAAGGGGCGATTCTTCAGGGGGCTCAAGTCGATATTGATGGAATGCTGTCAAAATGGCGCACTACCAAAAGGGCTATATTGGGTCTATGGGTGTGTCGCTCAGGGAGTGCTCAGTGATGTTCAGCTGGAGGCTCAGCTGAAGCTGAGGTTAAAGCGGCATTCGCTCACCCTCTAGGATCAAAGCGTATGCGGCAATCAGGTTTTTAGTTCGCGAGTAATAAGAGAGCGAGAGAGGTAGTCCCCTTTCGTTCACCAGTCTGACCAGTACACCTGGGGGGCATCGGAGGGTTCCAAGAGGAGAAAAAAAAAACGGGAGAAGATGAGTTAGCTGACCTCTTCTCCTTGTCATTTTACGTCTTGTGTCTTGAGTCTCGAGCGAACGGAATCCCCTGAGAAGTACGAGGTACTCGGTAAGCATTGACGAGAGTGTGTGAGAGACTCAGAACTCAGAGGGAAGAATGAAGCATCGCCTCCATGCTATTGCTATCGTTCATCTTCTTTATTCCTGTTCATGTTCTTATCCCTGTCCATATGCTAGTGCTGTGGCCTTTGCTGTTGCCGATGCTGGTGCATGTGCCTGTCTATATGTTCTTCATCGTCCCCATCTTACTTATGTGGTACTATAGTAATCAGGAGCTCCAAGCTAAAAAGAAAATTTCTATACCCAAAAAAAAGGATTCAAATAGAAAATAGAACAGGCAACAAGCGAGGCGTATGACGTCCTACGTTCCAACCGCACACGCACACCTATTTACGCACGAACGCGCAAACTATGCTGAAACCCAACGGTCAGGCCGGCACTAGATACCTAGTCAGTTACGTGAAGCAGACAGGCAGGCAGGCAGGTCTTGCACAGAGTTTTTTTCCCTTTCCTCGTTGAATCCACCGTCGCAACCATAATCCCATTGCTCGTATCGGAACAAAAAATAATGAAAATGTCAAAAGTCGGGGTTCTCTTCCAATCATTTCGATGAATCCCGTTGGCATGCGATCCCAAGGGCATGCCTCCCATATGTCCAAATTCCCGCGCAGTATGAACTTTTTATCTGGGTCCTGACTCCATAGCCTTTTTCATTTCTCTTTGTCGCGGGATAAGTGGCCAGCCAGTCACTCACTCAATCAGTCGAAATCCTAGCTCAACCGGTTCAACACCTTTTTGCCCAGCATCAACACACTCTTCCTTTTGTTGGTTTCTGCATCACTGTCCACACCGACTCCGCCAGCACCTGTAACACCTCCTGCAGTCCCTTCCTCACTTCCGCCACCATCTCTGTCCTTGTCCTTGGTGCTAGGAGAATGACTGCCATGGCTATCACTCCTCTCACGATGCGAATGACTTTCGCTCTTGATCAACGAAAGTCCACTGAAATGAACTCTCCCTTTCACGGTGTCTCCAGAGAAATGTCTCCCAATCGTGTCTTTCAGGAGGCTTCTGGTCGGACCTTGTGGTGACGAGGGTGAGTTGTTTGGGCTGTTGAGATTTGGACTGGAGTTTGCAGCGGGACTGGCGTGTGCAGTCCGTGGTCGTGAAAAGAACGACGACGTGCTGCTGATGATTCCGTTTCCACCGACGCCTCCTCCGCTAGCAGTGCCGGGGACCGAACGTGGTGTGGCCGCTGGGAGAGTACCACCACCGCCACTTGTTCCAATACTTGGTAGGTTGATACTTGACGACCACGAACCGCTTCGTAGTAGCGGGCTAGGCCCCTGGAATGTGCCTCCTTTATGATGCCCATTCGTTCCAGGTGGTGATTGAAACGAAATACCCGAGGACTCATAATCATCATCCCTCCCGTCCTGCGAGAAACTATACAGACTTGTTGTCTCCGACGTCCCCGAAAGTTGAAGGTTAATATCCGAACTCGCAATGGCGCTTGAATGCGCAATCTCCTTGAGTCGTTCAACCTGCTTCTTATTGGGCCTGTGATGTGAGAATTTGTTCCCGATAATCGCCCCGGTGTGGCTAATCAAAGCTCTTATCACATCCTTCTTCAGCCTGAGTGCAAGGTCCAGGTTTGACCACGTCTTGTTCCGGTATTCGAGCGTCGGCATGCGGAATACAAAGTCGTGGAGATCCTCGAAGTTGCGGTCGGATTTGCCCTTATAGGAGAGGCAAACTACAAAGCTGTTGAGTTTCACGTGCGCTAGTGTCATGTAATTGGACGCACGGGACATCATTTGGGAGAGGTCGTCGTTGGCAGTGCCGTTCTTGTCCTTTTTGTCTTTCTTCCCTGCGAGGCTGCGCTCTTTGCTGGATGTCCTGTGCTTTGGGAAGCGCCTTTTCTCTGTTCCTCCGTCGCTGGAGCCGAGGGCCACAAGGCTTGTGGAGGATGCGTCATGCTTCTTTGCTGATCTCAAACTGGTTGATGATCCTTTGCGCGTGGGCTCCTTCAGGACGGAGCGAGCTTCGGACTTGTTGAAGTGCCTGAAGAATTTGTGGTGATCCCCAGATATCCCTAGGCCTTTGGTCTTGGTGTAGGAAGAAGACGATGAGTCTTTGCGTTTCTCCTCATAATCGAGGCCGTACGTGGGTTTCAGCCTTCTCGCCACGGCACCTGGTGATGAGTTGCGAGTTTTGTCTGGGCTGGGGCTCTGAAGGTCCTGTTCCGACATTAGCGCACTGTGCGCTTCCACGAATTCTTGGTCGTCCCCATCATCCGTGGGCTCCATGTTCTTAACCATGAGTGGCGAGAAGTTGCCGTTCTCAAAGGCATTCGACCCCACGCCAGGGAAGATATACTCAAAGAGCTTTTTGCCAAGTTCACGTTCGAGCTGGACTTTTAACGGGAACACGGTCACCTGGAAGCGTTCCAGTACAGGGATGCCGGCAATGGCTTCCAGCATGTACCAGTGGACCTGAAGCATCTTTTGATGAGATTCCACGGTGCTAGGTCGCCTATCTTTGTCCGACGATTCGTAGTAGGGTCCAATGATCTCCGGATACAGTGCATTGGAAAGGAGATTCCAGCCTCTGATGTGTTCCACTTCCAATGCGTTGTGATTCGACCCGTCAGTGTTGTCGATTCGCTCGTATGCAGCACTGCCAAGTTGAAACTCCAGGAGTGGTTCGTCCTTTTCCCGCATAAGGTGCCACACAATTTCAGAAGCACTTAGGTACCATCGTAGAAGACCGCTCGATTGAGAAGCTTTCCGGTCCTCGCTCTTCTGTTGAGACGTATTGATGGCTTTCATGATGAAGAACAATTCATCCTCGCAGCTTGCCAGGTCTTTCTCAAGGTTGATTCGATCTTGCCAGCCTTGCTTGTCGAGGTACTTGGCATGAATCTGGAAATGAAGTTTGATGTCTTCGAGCTGGCGGATCCTTTCTTGGAGGCTTTCGGCCATTTCGGGAGCTCCTCTAAGGTCACTGAAATCAGACGCAAGCATGATCTTCTCCAACCGCTCGCTTCGCGTCTTCTCTAAAGGTTCACTGTATAGCAACAGGTCCAAGACGATTATATACATCGCGTAATATTGGGTGGAATCGCATCGAACACGGATCCGCGGGAAGTCGACCCACAGCTGATCAATCCGGTGCTCCCTGCGTGCTGCATCATTTGGCTCTCCGTTTTCGTTGCTCTCAATCTCCTCGTTGTATTTCAAGCGAAGGGGGTTGTACTTTTCGTACCGGAGGCTCGCAGAAGTCTTCTGGATCACTCGTTGAAAACCGAAAGGTTCCAGATGGAAGTCGAACATTGCTTCAAGAGACACCCAGGGCGGCCACGATGATCCAGGAGTGTTGCCATACCTGTTACCGGAGTAGAGATGGAGATATCTAGCCAAAGTCTTTTGCGTAGCCACGAAGAACTGTGCCCCATCCATATCAAGCGCAAACCGACGCTGGACAAGCCCGCTGACGTCGTCCGACATGCGAGCTTTGTCCATGATCGATACAACTTTCAGCTGCATTCCCTTTGCTGAGATGAGCACGATAGCCTTCGTGTTTTTCTCACTTTGTAGCTGTATCTGGGGAGCGATCATGCGTAGGTGATAGCTGTTCATCGCCTGAAAGTTCTCCGCAATCTTGTCACCAAGGTCGGCAGTTGAGGGTCTCCGCTCGATATCGTCATTGTCGGCCACAGGCACCTTCTGATCTTCCTCCACCTCTCCTTCCACATGGACAAATCGGTTCGCATCACTCAAAAGCTGCTTGATCCGGTCTTCTATCACGGAATCTTCATCTTTCTCCTCACTGGGCGAGATGATACTAGGTGTTGGCGGAACTGGTGGCTGGTTCTTCCTCTCTTGTCTGCGTCGCTCTTCCTTTGCCTTTGCCTGCTCGTCCACAATGTCGAGTATAAATTTGACGGCACGGCGTGACATGTAGTACACAAAACCTCGGCGTTGACTGACCTGATGGCTGTAACGAAGGATGATGTTTCTTAGAGAGTTGTTCCATTTTAGCTGAACATTATGGATGATGAAGCGGTTGTTGAAATCACTCGCAAATTCGTCGTGAGGAGCCGAATACAACCCGTCCATATCCATCTGAGGGGTTCCAGGATTCTGCCCCTCCAAGTCAGGGGTAGACTTGGTGACGTCTCCGTTGGGTTGCGGATTATTGTCGATTTGCTGGGCATCTCCCGGGTTTGCATGGCCTATGAGGCGTCGGAGTCCATGTTGTAGGAA